GATAAATTATAGAAAAACTACGTGCCAACAGCAAAAATAGTAAAATCGATTATTAACTCCGCACAATTTGATTTTCAGTATTAAAAAAATTTGCAAAGTTAATAATCCCCTATTAAACCATTATTGTATCTTTGTGGTGTTTAGACATTATTTCTACACAAACAAACGTAGGTATTCGTTCGAAAAAATCATGGGTAATTTTATCTGTTTTGTGATCAGATGCCTCATTAACTTATAAATAATAATATTTCATTAACATGAGGTAGAAGAGGCTCTTGCAATGAAAAGGCGGTACAGTAGATCTAGTTAGTAAGGCAGAAGAGGCTGTAGAATTATCAGAGTCGAGAATCTTTTTGGCTTTTCTATTTCATGCAATTATTATGGATAATTAGTGAAAATAAATAATATGTCAAGAAAAATATATAAAACATAAGCAGGAAAACCCACACAACAGAAATTTTTTTTTCGTTAAATTGTTTTTACTTTCAAAATAAACCATTGATTTCGGAACTCACTAACTTGTAAATTAACTAACATACTAATCAAATTTAGAAAGTATCGATATATGGATAAGGTATATTGAAAATGAATAATTTTTGTACGCCACTTGGATTCTTTCAAGCATAATATTGTATTTCGCAAAAATATATTAACAAACGTTTCAAGGATTTCATTTATTCTTCTTCTCAAGGCTAAAAATATAGAATGTTCAAAACTGAATTTCGAAGAGACAATTAAAAAATAAACTATGAGGGGTTATCGAGGGAAATTAAAACCTTAATTTTGAGCTAACACAAAAATTTAGCAATAATTATTAGAGTAAACGAGTCTGTTCATGTACCGAGGAAAATCATGATTTTCACGCATTTTCCATTGACGAATCGAAAATGGAAAATTATCACCGATATCAGGGACAATTAGGGCAATTTATACCGTTGTCAAAATTATTTCAACAATTTCCCTTACAATCGAGGGGGCTACCTTCAGTCCTGTTAAATCTTTACTTTCTATACTTTCTCTCGAGTACGCAAATTATATCTGGAAGAATGTTTATTATTGCAAATGGTAACTTTACATATATTTTTCATTAAAGTTTTATGATTAGATTTAAGTTTAATGGTATATAACTGTTTGTTTGTTCTATTTTTAGTCATAAATGCATAACATTTTGAAAAATAATCTCTTGAATTTGAACTTTTCGCAGTCAACGTGTTACGCAACAAGTATAAATTCGTTTCGTTTGTTCTTGATGAAGTATTCTCATTTCTTTATCAGCGTTCTCGGCAGGCAACCATCGGTTGTTTGTGGTCGCGAGCACGTTAGAAAATGTCTCACGGGGTCGCAGCTGTTCTTAATTTTGAACCACGTTTTAATGCCGTGTAAGTACGCATTAAAAACGATGGACCGTGCTAGTAGAGCGTTGTTAGGAAAAGGGGAAAATAGAAAGAACACCGATTCGAATGTTTAAATATCGATTTAAATAATAGAAAGATGTTTGTTTCTCTGTTGCTATGGTTTTTCTTTGAAAAAATTGACTATGTTTTAGTTTCTTTGACAGTTACGTCCTAGCTTTCGAAGTGTTCGGATATAAAGATTTAATTATAATTTGTGAAGTTAGTGTTACTTAATATTAAATAAATTTATTGAACAAGAAAAGAATTATTATTTAAAAAGTAAATTTTTCGTTTGATTGAGAGAAACACAACGACCTCAACATTATCAAAATTAATATTGTGATATTAGCATGTTCTATTAAGGTTTATCAATTACTTTGTAATTAAATCATGTTAAAATGAATTTCAATTAAAAACTTAGGTTCTTGTTGTATAGTAAGACAATAAATGACTTTTTAACATTTTTTCATGAAAAGTATCATTACTTAATATATAACGTTATTAGTAGATTTTAGATTATCAACTGCATACAATCTGATACAAATATTAGATATAATAAAATGCCTAGGGTAACCGAATTAGTAATTGAAAGTTGGTATACCAAATATTTTGAGCGTTTTTAATCTTGAAAGGAGGATAAATTACCAATTAATAAAATTGAAAACTGTTAATTTATTTTACGAATGTAGACAATAAAATTTTTCCATTTTACTCAGTTTGATATTACGTAGGATATTCTTACATAAAATTAATTGTTGTATAAAATTTAGTTTTGCTTAAAAGTCTCTGTGAGAAAAATCTCTTATACTTAATCTTAATTGTTTTATCTATTGGTTAATTACTATTTTATTGAATCAAAACTTACCAACATTAGTTTGTTTCCACCAAAGAAACCTCTGTAGCTAAAGGACGCCTTAGGTATAGAATGTCTGTCCGTTTTCGTGTTGTAACATTTTGAGTACAGCAATTGTTTCGATGCGACTAAGGCTTCTATCTACACAATTCATTTTTTCATCAAAACAATTTTGTAAAATAAAATCTCGCATATTTCATATTAATTGTATTATCCATTATTTTATTAATATTTTATGATCACAACTTACCAATAATTACAGTTTAATTCAGTAACCGAAAAGTGTGGAGTGACTGTTCCCGTGATGTAACATTCTAAGTTCATCAACTGCTCCGATAAGACTGAGGCTACTTTCTACTCGTCCCGTAGTTTAGTCCGCAAAACTGCTACGTTGCATCTATTTAAATAACGCTGAGAGGGGAGAAATGCCCTCGCCGCTTTCTCCTATCTACCGGAAGAATCAAGAAACGATTTTTAGGCCTAGTAGTGTACTGTTATTAAAAAAAACGATCTGACATTTTATTGAAAAAAGTATGATAAACATAAGTAAGTTACATTCTCGTTAATTTAATGTAGAAATGTAATAGCAAAGTTAGGCATTACAGCATGGTATGAGAGAGAGAGAGAGAGAGAGAGAGCATGGGTAACTGCAGTGTCGTAGCTCGAAAAGCGTGGGAGTGAGCAAGAGAAGATTTTACAATCCTAAATTAGAGCGATTGTATGAGAAAAATGATAATCGTTCACCATTCAGTTGGATAAGCTTGTAATTAAGAAAATGTATTAATAAATAGTAAAATTTCATATTATGTTTCTTCATGTGAACGTTTCCGCCCGAGCAAAGTGAGATAAAGAAGCCACACGAGGCTCACACATGTATCTAATTTTATTTTTCTATACGACGCGTGTGACGAAAAAGTTACGCATGCTTTTTTTACTAACGATTATGCATTATTATTTATTTCTATAAAAAACATCGCTTAAACAACATTAAGAACGTAATCAACAAATGGGGAGTGTGAACTTTGGATATATTCTTATTAATGAAAATAAATTACGCGGAGATGTGTTATTCAGTTTTATCATCCTAGCTAACGACGTACAGTTCTTCTATAATTTTTTCGGAACGATTTCCGTCGATTGCCCGCTGAATTCCTCCATCTCGGATATTGATTTTTATTTGGTATTTTATATTTTTTCAAATTTTTAGGAACAAAGCCGATATCTGTCCGGAAGTTCTCAGTACGAAACAGATACCATGCACAGCGCGCGGTATAGATAGCGCGCCACGCCTACTCTGTTCCTCTATTTTCTTATCTGTAATGTGTGATTTGTTTGCCTAAAACGCCGAGTTGCACTATCAAAGAAATGCGAAGAGGAGGAAAATGACGTCGCCGTTTTATCTTATTCACCGAAACAAATAAAAAATGATTTACAGTGGTCTTATTCCAATGGTATAATTATGAGCGATATATTTATATCACATGATAAACTGCCTCATAATTTGATAAATTTGAAAGTTTGTCAAACTATTCGATCAGTTTATCGCATGACATAAATATATCGCTCAAAATTATATCATTGGAATAAGGTCCCAGGCCCAGTAGTGCGCTGTTATTAAAAAAACCTCCTGATATTCTATTGTAAAAAGCATCATAAACATAATTAAGTTATTAACATTATTAAATTATATTCCCTTTGAAAAACGAAAATCAATATGCTAATATTCGTTATAAATAGTGCATTGAATTGGATCGTGTATTGGATGGTAATGGGTTGTTGAATATGAACATATTATTCGATGCGATAGTTATTGATTGATCGCTTTGTTGCTTTTGGTGCCATCTCGTTAATTTAATGAAGAAATGTAATTTCAAAGTTAAGTATTATAGCATGGTATGGGTGAAAGAGAGAGAGGGAGAGAGAGAGAGAGAGAGACGAAACGAAAAAAGCCTGCAATTTTATTAAAAATAATAGTATGTAAAATAGTATTGTAAATAATTAAAATCTTCTCCATAACACTTTTTTTGTGGGCATTAAAAGTCGATATGTCTGGTTTCAAATGGTATTTTTATGATATTCGAAATGCAGCAGGATCCTTGTAAAATGAAATCATTTCGTCGGTCAACTAATTACAAAAAATTTTTTGGGGATGCAAGCTTAAGTAATTATAAGTTGGTTGTTGAAGGACTCAGACCGAATGCAATTCAAAGTGCACAAGAACATATGTACCTTGCAATACATAGTTTCAATTTTAATGCAATGTTTTAAATAAACATTGATAACGTGGACGCGTTATAGTAATGTATGAGCTTTTGCGTTTCATTTACGTCCGAAAAGTAAAAAACTCGAGGAAGTACCAAATGATCTTTAGGTTGAAAGAAATGAGTACCAATTAGATGGACTCAAATAAGTTTGTATAAGGTAAACTGATTAAAAGGTTAATTAATTGTCGAACCGTGTATGAAATGTTTTATTTCATTGATTAACTTGGATTTATTAACTGATCCGTTGTCAAATGGTCGATCAAATACACTTGTATAGTTGTAATAGTTTCTTGTTATTTTTATAACTTCTATAAATATTTTTATGTACCCCGACAATGTGAAAAAACATCATGTAATTCTAACGAGAAAGTATATAATATTTCATCCATCACATATACATTTGTATATAAAGAAATTACATGGATATATACTCTTCAATATATGCTATTGTTAAAATCATTTATTACTACACTACAATTAATAATTTGTTAAAAATGGTTTATCTTTAGTTTTTTGGCATGTGCTTTAGACCTTGGAAAAAATGGGTAATGACGGGATGTTCATAAGTAACAAGATACTATCAGCGAAATTTCAAATGTGTGTATTTTACATGTATTTATATTTTACAAAGTAATTTTTGCAGGATGGGATTTATGACGACTCGAAAGCTATGACAATCTTCAACACGAATATACTTTTCTTCATTAACAATCTGAGTTAACTATGAATGGGTCAATAACTGATATTTTCTTCTTGGAGCGACATTTCAAATTTTATTGAAATTAATAAGTAAATTTTTCTTTTCAATACCCGTTAAAATGTAAATAAAAATTACCCTCGATATAATTTTTTTCATATCAATAGAAAGTATTTTAATCGTAGACTTTTTTTGTTTCAATGTTACACAATCAAAAAATTAATTAAAAGAAAAGTGGTTTGTGAATGCTAGTCATGAAAAACAATTTTTTCTTCATGAAAATAACTTACGGATAATAATAATCACATTATCACTTATCATAACACAAATATTTTATCATGGTAAGTAAGCATTCATTATAGTAGTAGCTATTGAATTTGAATACGTAATTGAATAATTTGATAATGAGAAAAATGTTTTCTTTAGAATTCTATCTAGATGGAGACAAGATTTCTCAGCTCGAGTATTTATATGCCATATGTGAAATTGGTTGAACATTGGAATAAATTGAAAGTTTCTAAATTGACCACATTGACATAAAAAAGTTAACCTAGTGCTTGAGATATATATCATCACACTTGAATTTTCTGTACATGTGTATATAGCTTTATCGTATAGTGATGTATCGAAAAGATTATACATAATTTATTTTATCCCTAAAACGGAATTGGCACTTCAGTCATATTTCGAAGTCTATATATTTTTCTCGAATCATTAGTTACGCGTACCACGGTGTATGATAATATAACTTTATGAAGATTGAATTGTTACTTGTTTCTACATAGCAGTTGGATACTTTTTATACGGTTGTTAAATTTATAGATTGGTAAAATAGCTTCTCATGTGTTTAAGTTTACTGTTTTATAGTAAAGTCAAGTGTGATGATATGATGTATGTAGTATAAAATATAATCGATGATCATTTCACGATTTTGCCGAACCTACAGTTATTGTGAATACGATAAATTACTATTCAATATCTTCATTATTAAGAAATGGTTATAAATAATATTATCGATAAAAAGGGTTTTCTTTTTCTCAACTCGATTTACATTAAAGATATTTTATGATTTTAACATTTAATACAATTATTCTGGAATCTTTATCGTGATTATGGTATTTTGATATCAGTCTTATTTTTATCTGAAAATTCTTATAATTACTTTAAATTTCTCAATTTATTTTCGCATGTAATAATTTAAAGTCATGCTTTTAATTACAACTTGATCAGATATCTAAAATGATACTTCAATAGATTTATAGGTAATTATTTTTATTTATTGATAGTATCGTCAAATTTATTGAAATATTGTTGATTAGTTGTCCAATCAAATATATAATTTAATAATAACTTTATGAAAACTAATAATAGGTCACGATTAAAAATAGTTTTGATAGGTTTCTGTCAACATTTATATTTTTCCAAAATATTAACATAAATGTATTTACATGAAAGTATATATAATTACTTGATTCACGCGCTTATTGTTTGAAACAAATCACACTCAGATGTGGGAGATAGAAGTGTCAATGTGCTTTCTTAGGCAATCGAAGTGCTTATTAAATTGCATAAGAGATAGTGCGTCAGATTTGTAGCGTATGTATAAAAATCGTGATTTTGTGAACGCATAAGAAACACTTTGTAGAGCTGTTAGTGCCATTCCTTAAAAACTTCTTGGCCACTAAGAACAATGTTTTAATTTAATGATACTCTTTGGATGATCATAACGAAACTGTCAACTTATGGTTATGTCAACAAAGTTCAAGTTTTAGTTTTGATGTACCCTTAAAACACAATTTAGATGCTGTAAATTAAAACTCATCAAAGAAATTACCACTTTTATTGCAGTTGTCTCTTGTTTTCCTTTATAATCTTAAATTCTAACAGTTGTGTTAATCAAATTGAATGATCACTTCAAATTTATTTCGTCTACATCAATCATTATTATCACTTTTAAATAATTCAACATCGACTTATTTAGTGCAAATAGTATATTTATTTTCAAAAATATCTTTTGTCGTCTCACGACGACAACGTTCGTTAAAAATTTGTTAATAAAGTTTGATAAAATTCAACAACTCGTTATAACAAATATTATCAATACATTTTTAAAGTCCACAAAATGCACATCACATTCAGAATCGATTCCACTGAAATTAATTCAACAAAGACATTGATTCACATTTTCTAAAAACTCCATCCAATTAAACATTACACATTTTACAATTACATGTGATATAAATATTTGTTCAACACTTTTTCCTCGCTTGGCACACTTTCCAAGCAACTTCGTCATTGATATGCTATCAACAACTTAGCAATAAAATGGTAATTTCTATGATTTCTTTCAGTTCAAGAAGTTTCATTAGGAAAAATTATTCTTCGACATAATATTAAATCAATCGACTCATCAAAAAAAAAATAAATAAATAAATAAATAAAAACAAAAGCTTGAGCGACATTACATAACAGAAAGTCCGACACTACGTTTTACTCGAGATCTCTGGATCGCGAGTAATTTTCCGCATGGGAACACTTCTCGTCTTGTCCATGGCCAACGCACTCGATAACGGGGTCATGCGTGCTGTCCCACATACCAGGCCCGCATTGTTTGCACAAACCGGCGAGGGTGCAAGGTAGCCGGTCGAGTTGGCGGAACTGGTGTAACAAGCCGCGTGCTTTCCTCAAGATTAAAATGCCGTCCATGTACATGGCCAGCGAACTAAAATGCAGCAACATCTCGTCGGTACGAAGATCCTGGGCGATCACGTCGTCCGCGTAGACGCACATTATGGCCAGGCAGAGAAATAAGTGGAAATGATCCGTCAGATAATTTACCCAGCAGGCTTCCCACATCATTAACGCCACTTCCATCGGGAATTCTCGCTTCAAGCACCTGGTCATAATTTTATACGTTGATTACTCTAGCGGCTTCACGATCAAACTTATCGACAAATACTTGAAATTTTTAGTTAAGGTAAGCCACTCACAAGAGTATCCATCGATGGCAGAAAAGCAGCTCAAGAGCATCGGTGTGCTTTTCCAAATGAGCGTAAAAATCTGGCACCATGATTCTAAGCAACTCTCGAAGAGAACAGAGGTTGCGATCCATATCAACGTCAGTCGGAGTGCAAACGGCAACCGAACGTTGCATCAACCCAGCAAAGCACCAAAAAGACGCTTCTTCGTCGTTTAATTCAGCTAACAGCGGAGACAGCAGATCTGACATGCCTTGAGTATAGCCTAGCCTTGCGTTGTACACCGCGTAATTTAGTAGGATATTTCTGAAAAACATTTGATCGACATCAGAAAATGTGAGAGATACACAAGTATTGATTATTGTCTGATTATTGTCTGGTCAATAACTCACTTCATGATCTCAATATTTGGATTGTCTTCGCCTGCGTAATAAGGATTCCCTCGATCCGTTCTAACAACATCCTTCTCAACAATACACACAACGTTCCTCCAGAATTGCTCGGCCTCCTCGGGGTCCATCGTATCTCTACGCTTTCTAATCTCCTGATATTCCTCTCGTCTAATCGCGTCAATTTGTTCTCGATCGTCATAAGTACTTTGATACGAGTAACAGTGAAGTAGAAATGGCCAGACAATTTTTCGGAGAGCCGGTTCGAGACCTCCGAAAAAGATTCCTCTTCGCAGGGTCAAATCGTCCTCGACTTGGCCGCGTTCGTTTAGCAAATCTCTCCAAGCGAGCGACGTAATCATTGGCACTTGACCTTCCTCGGGATGCAACTCGTCTCGACTCACTTCTGGACGGCACACCATGAAATGCCTAGGTGAAGCGTATAATTTGTCATTATTTCTTCCCTTTAAAAGCGAAGCGAGAGCATGTACTTCGCTCGCTTACCTGTAAGGCAATCCATCCTCGTTTGGTCGATCGATACTGCTGAAACCAGGATTGAGTATTTGGTGCCACTGGTGTAAAGTGGCAGCAAGTCGATCGAGGCCACCGTGATGAAAATGTAGTATCTTATATTGGCTCTCGCGACTTGCGACTACCAACTGGCCGGATGTGCACTCGGGATCGGAGAAGAATAACCTCAGTGATCGCATTTGGCCGAGATCTACGCAGAAACGACGACAGCGATGCGCTCGGCGTACTGCTACTGGCGATGCGGTTGCACTTTCCGGGAATTGCAGATTGTGCTGAAGAGCTAGCAGTTCAGGCGTTCGCATCCACGTTGGGATCTCTTCTGAAATGAATTGTTTACGTAATCAAAAGAATCCACAATGGTGAGTATCGATTTTAGATGGTCAGTCGTTTTATCTGAGAAAATTCTTAAAACATATATTGAGTAATTCTACGAAAGAAGCATGAACGTGTGTTGATTTTCGAGGGTCGGTTGATAATGCAAATCATAAAATGACAAAGTTAATTTCATTCGAACAATTTTAAAATAAATAAAATAAAAATTATCTCACCGTCATTGGACATAATGATGGACAAGCTGCTCATAGAAGTCAGCGACATACTACGACTCTTAATGCTGGCTGTGTCATCCTTGTTACCATTGTCCTCGGTTCTTGAATCAGTCGAGTCTGACCTGACGAACGCTGGCGGCAGAGGAGTTTTCTTGGGCTCGCTATGCTCAAAACCATTACTACTTGGTTGACTCGCTATCGGCGTTTCTGGACGACCACCCCCTGAGCATATACGCTCACAATCCGTCGAGTTTGGAGGCTCTTTGGCTTCTAAACACACGTCTATCTTTTCGTCAGGTTTAGTTTTACCTGAAAAATTATTAGTTAAAAATTTTAACCTATTCTAATAGTTTTTTTAGGATTTAAATTATATTTTTTAAGTTTTAGTAGTAAATTAGTATGCGCATAGATGATCTAATGACATTCCAAAATGCTTAATTATGTCAATAGGCTCACGCATAATTTTTCGGAAAAAAGCACATTTTAAATATTACACTATAAATAATTATACATCGAACGATTTAGAACTAAAATCTTCAACAATAAAATTCTGGATTAGTTCGTTTCATAATTTCATATATTTTTGAAAACTCATGCTGTTATACTTTTCGTGGCTTATATTAATTATATTGCGAGCACCGGTCCATTAATTATATTGAAATCCCATCAGAGCAATAAAGGTTTCGTCCCTCTGTCTGCCAAAAAAAAACCATTAATCACTCAGCTTAATCAATAAAGATGTTCTTGGCGTTGTTTGTCTTAATGTGAGGAGCTCTCTGCCCGGTCACTTTTTTCGAGCGCAAATCCCGTTAAAAGCTCAACGCTGAGTTAAAATTTTCACGCATGCAATTCTACGAAGCAGATCATGTCCACAAAACAATGACGAATAATCATGCGAACCTGGTTCCTCAAGTTGTGGCTCGTTCTCTTTAGCTGTTTCCAGTCGTTTCACCGCCGCGTTCTCCAATGTGTTTGGATGCTTGCGCAGTGTGGTATTTGGTATCCAGCTTAGATGAAGCGTTGGCACACCCGAGACTTTGTCGACCTTACAAGTGACTGTCATGTATCCCGGGTGATGCACCACGTCACACTGCTGGCGAAGCAACGTCGGCGGATGCACGCACACATTGTTTTTACAGAAAAGCGTTTCACCGTTCTGCGGAGCAGTAGACAATTTTGCGTATAGTTAAAAAAAAAAATCCTACGTTCAAACGATACTTTCTTTCAAGATCCTAAAGCGATTGTAAACGCGCGATTATTTCGATTATTTTTTTCGTCGTGTTACGTAGTTTGAACATTTCAAAAGTCATAATTGATAGTAACGTTGCGTCGCAATGGAAACAAAAATGAAGACAAACGCGTAATTATGAAAGGTAAATTACCTCTTGGTAGAGTCTAACAATAAATTGCATAGTATAAAGTTTCCAGCGATGAAAATATTACGTCGAGTAATCCGAGCGACACCAAAGAGCTTGACTTTATTCGCAATTAGCAGCTGTACGAAGCGTCGGGGCCAAGACTGCGCGATTAGCGACGATAAATTGAGTTTTAAAGGTGTGCTACGTGATCTTACTTGATACATGGCATGAAGAGAGTCGTGGCAGCTCTCGCCAAGGATGAAGCTGCTGGCTTTCTTGAGAATACTGGGCAGCGGCATGGCGCAGAAGCTCAACTCGCAGCGGCTCTCCCGCGTACAGACCAGGGCGCCCGCCTGCCTGCCGCTACTGCTGCTACTGTTGAAACTCGACATCGCAGCGCAGTCGCCCGATTCCCCATGTCCATCCCACCCGCAGCTCTCTCTCTCTCTCTCTCTCTTTCACTCTCGTTTATCCTCTCCTACGACACATCACATTCACGTATAATAATTCAATTACCTTCTATTTTTTTGTGCTACGCCTTTCTTTTTCGCGCGTTTTCTTGTTGTGAGCTTGTTTAACGCTTTATTTAGTTTCATGGATTTCGATTCTTTATGTTATTTTGAAATTGAAAAAATTGCTCCTTTTATTTAATTATGGATAAGCATGTCTATAAAGTTACGAATGAGTAATAATAATGCCAAAACATTTCAAGCTGAATCGATTTCAGCGCTAAAACCAAACGTAAACAACGTCTTCTTTCATTAAGAATTGTATACATGTACGCTATGACATATTCAGAGTTCTTTACCCGAAAACACATTTGGAGCAAGATTTAAACTCGTAAGTGATCGATTTTGAATTCGACGCCATCCAATTACCTAATCGTAAAACAACTGGTTGTGTCACTTGCTCGCTTATGCACGCTTCAACAGTAAATAGATCAGCGCATTTCTCGTTGCGCCGGAAAGCAAACAGAGCGTTAATAAGGTCTTTTATCTTTCTTTAGCTCCCAGTGTCTTTCTAGTCATACGCTCTATCTTACCAACGAGTTTTTCCAAATGAAGACTGTCTTAAAATTACGCGAGTCATTCGAGTACAAAATTTACTGTGATAAATATACTACCATTCCTTTTTTTCCACTTATAAATTTTTTCTTTCGTTTTTAAATACTAAAAACTTATTTTCATTAATAATTGACCAAAATCACGAATGCACATAGAAAATCTTAGCTCCTCAAAATTTTAGATGCATTTAACAATACTTATACTAGCCTTAATATCGACGTAATGTCAAGGTAAAAACGTAATTTCAGTGCTAATAAAATGCAAAATCTAAACGAAGAAAAGTATCTGAAGAAATAAATTCAATCTCACCTGAAAATCGCCGCAAGATAATCCAAATCCATCGCAGCAGTAACAGCGACGCCGAATTCGATTCGACGGATCTGCCGATCGTACGATAATGTCATGACGTTAGCTCAGCTGCAAAATTCACACAACCAGCTGCATTCATCGCTGCAAAAATGCACACGTACTTTATGCGCTTCTATTCGCAACTAATGCGCGCGGATCTATGCTTATGGAAGGGGCAATTCTGCGCACGCTAAACACGTCAAGTCTATCACAAATGAAGTTTCGACTGGTGATTGACGTTTTATTTTTAGATCTTGATAAGGGACGAAGACTAATTTTGGTTTTGAGTATTCCAAATGTATGTTACTGTTTGGATTTTGAAATTTCGTCTTTTTTCGTAGAATACTTCAATACATAAGTAATGATACCTATTTATTTTCTGATTTTAATAGCTTTCCGACAAACAAATCTGTAGTCCTTAATTGAATTCATTGCATACTTTGTTAAAAGCATACTCTTTAGATTTAAGGAATTCTTTTGTAGTAGACTGTCGATAAAACGAGCCAATAATCATTATGAACAGTTCCTAAATGCATTCGCACAAACTGCTTAAACCAACCGAGTTGATGGGGAAATCAAGGCACACGTTTACTTTAAAAGTAAGAAGTAATGTAGGTACACGGTCAAGCACTTGACAATCATCACTGCTGACAAAGTTTACTCAGCACAGCTGATTTAAAGACTCAGTGCAAAGATAAAACATCGACAGAGGAAAAGACACTTCCGCTAACGTCTTATCGTCACTCTAATTAGCCTCGATCCATACACAAACCATGTTGCGATTGCTCTTTGCACATAAGAACTTTGAAGGTATTTTTTTAAGACCGTAAATCGTCGCTTTCATGTGTACGTTTTCGTCTATCTAAACTAAAAATAAAGCCGGCCGATAGGACTTCCGCTTCCATGCATATCACTCTCGCGTGTGCACACGACTTTGAAGGATTTCGCGGCTCACTTTCGGCTCCAAAATAAGCTTTATATATTCATTCGATCGACTTCGCTGATAATGCTTGTGTATTTTTTTAATTCACTTTTTAAACTTGGGGAATTGGGAAAGAAGTGACTGTTTTACGATTGCGGTGCTGCTGAGTTATCCAATGGGACATTGACTGTGAAGTATCTTGTGTTTTAATACAGAAATAGTATATGAAATATAGAAAATATCCTATGAAAATGTAAATTACTTTAATTCATATTTTTTCATTAGAATAATTAACCTAATTTTTAAATGGATACTCCAATATTTAATATAAAACAAATTAACAGTTATTAATTTTATTAATTCAAAAAAATTAAAGGTTTTCTTTCAATGTGACTAAATTTATGAAGTACTTTCCAATGTGTATATATGTAGCTTGTAGAATAAAAAGGAAAATAAATGTTGCTCACTTAGAAGCTTTTCTTGATTGTATTTGCATTTAATCTGTGACTTGTATTGTCAAAATTCGTTTGCTAAGAGATAAGTTCACGTTATTAGAATTACACTTCCTTAGTCGTTTCGCAACTTACAATTTCACAACCACTTTTTTCATGAAAAATGTATTATTTCCTTTTAAAAAATGTTACTACGAATTAAGTAAATTTTACATTTATTTCAAAATTTACATTTTTGACACAAAATTGAAATGGCCTAAGAGTTCGTCGGCAAGTCATTCATCAACGAGAAAGAAAGTCGGCGTAAAGTTTAGCCAAGCTTGAAGAACCTCCCGTTTCAACCCCCATTCCAGAAGAAAATAACATAGCTGAATGAATAATGTTTTGATACTAAGATGAAGCTTATGTTGTACTGACGTCGACTCGCGCTTTTTCTCTGCCTTATATGACATATTTCCTGATCTCTTTTCCCCGTGCAGCTTTCATCACGAGCCAAATATGCGTTGAAATTAAGATCGACCCACAAGCCCAAAACAACGAATAAACATCACCATCTCACGCACGTATTCTCTTTTTCTGGCCAAGGAAAACGCGATAGGACTTTGTTCGAGTGAAAAGGCTGATTAACTATTCATGAAGTCTCTCTATTTTGCACGTCAATCAGCAGCGAGCTGAGATGGAAAATTCAAACACAGCGACGAAGCGAGCGTGCAAACTTTAATAACCTAGCGGGAAAAGCTCGTAAGAGATTGAGAGCGGCCGGATTACCCGTGGCGATGAAAATCAGAAACTTGATAACAAAAGAAAGAAGAGAAAGGAGGAATACCGTGCATTTGATAATATACACTCACACCAACAAACTAAGCAGAGCGTAGAGTATAGTCAACGGGATCAATACGCGTTTCTCGCCCCCCGTGGCAGTCGACCACATCCACGACACTGTACTGGCGCGACCACCCGACGGCTACACGCTACTAACGTTTCGTTCGCCTGCAAGCGCCCCACACACACACACACACACACACACACACACACACACACATACACACCGTACATATATATATATATAGCTCTCACTCTCTGCGTTTTCTTTATATCATTGATCGGCTATGCTTCCGGATTCCCGATCTTCATCCCGTATTTTATTTTTTCCGCTTTCTTTTGGTTTTGTTTGTTTTGTGTTTGTAGGCGCTGCGATACAGTTATCGTTCTTTTTTCCAGAAGCAAATACTTTTTACACAAAATTATTGGATCATCGAGATGTTTTTTAACATTGAAAACCCGTAGTTTTTAGTTTAAAACAGCGTCACTTTTGAATTCTGCAACGTATGTACATTTTTTCATCAAATTAAAATAAAGATTGATATAAACATAATATACTCTGAAGTAGCACAAATCCAATCTAGCCAGACTAATAGATGCAACTCAGTTAATCATGTTTTGAGAAGCGGAAAAAAGGAATATATACAAATGTTAAATAAAACTTTAAAATATTAATAATTACAAAGTAGACGTAAAAAGATATTACGTTCTTTTTTGGTATTATGACACATTTAAAAACCAATATTATTTTATAAAAAACTGTTTTATTATTTGTCACTTCAATTTCAACTTGCAGGCGTTAATTTAATTAGTATTATAATTTAAATAATAATTTAAATAATTTAAATAACATTATACATTTTCAACATAATCTGTTATTTTTATTTAAACTGAATCAGTCTAATTTGAACTACAATAGTTCAATACTCAAGTGAAGTCTTCGACGCGAAGAAATTCTCTTAAAAATATCTCATGAAAAATTATATATTTTTTTATTATGGAAACAATATTATTTACTTAAGATAAAAGAGTGGAAGTTTTATAACAGTTGAATCATTAAAGTTCAATTTTTAAAACAGGAAAACTCAATGATCGTCCACCTCGACAACGATCTTGTGATCATTACCCATAGTCAAACCTGATTTAGGTCCTTTCTTAACGTATGTAATAGTGCTATACGCAGAGAAATGAAAATCTTCTTGAAGGTAACCATTAATTAATAAATAGCCAACAATCGCCTCACCAATCTCGCGAGGAAACTTGGGTATTGGTATACTTGAAACCCTAAGATTAGCAGCTCCCTTGTTATACCAAGCATCGATGAGTTTCAATGGTGTAAGCCTCTGTTCATTTTGTACCGCATGCGTAATAATTTGATAAATATGACGGCAGTAAGGCGCTATATCAATTTGTTTCTTGCGTTTTCCTTTTTTGCAATGATCGCACATCTCTTTACAGTCATCTTTAGTCCACGTTTCTTCAAAGTGCGTAGCAATGAGGCTTCGTCTACAGCTGCTTTGGTCCAGACAATAATTGAGGATTTTGTAGAGATTTTGCAAGCCGACTTTGTCTTGGAAGACCATAGTACTCAGTTTAAATACATCCATCAAACGGTAGAGAAGAATGCAGTAAGACTTTTGACCATCGCGTCCTGCTCTGCCGCTTTCTTGATAGAAGTTCTCCATAGATTTTGACAGACAATGGTGTATGACGAAACGTACGTCTGGTTTGTCAATTCCTAAACCGAAAGCTATCGTCGCTACTACTGCCTGATAATCACCGGATATCCACTTGGAATAAACTTTCGTGCGGTATTCAGGCTCTAACATCGCGTGGTAGCAGCCTACTTTTAAACCACGTGTTCGCAAGTCCGTCGACAACTGTTCCGATTCTTTGATGGTCGTCGTGTAGATTATCCCTGACTTTCCTTCAAATCTGCAACATTACTGATATTAGTTTTTAGTCGACTAAAATATCAGAATTCTCACCTGTTTTTCAAAAGATTAACAATCATTTCAAGACACGTTTCCTTGTCAGTCGGTTTGCGACGAACTTCATAAAAGAGATTCGGTCTATTGAACGATGCTCTTAGCACGAGGCATCCTTGGATGTCCAGCATCTTTTGAACGTCAACAATGATTTTTGCTGGTGCCGTTGCTGTAAGACCAAGAATAGGAACACCGGGAAACATCGATTTCAGGATTCCTAAAAATTTGTAATCCGGTCTAAAGTCATGACCCCATTGACTGCAACAATGTACCTCATCGATAGCAAAACGATCGAGCCTCTTCATTTCTAATGCCTTTTGTAGTTTGTTCATAAAGCGATTTGACTTGGCCATATACTCTGGAGTCACATAAACAAGTTTTAAATCGGATTTATTGTCAACCAACGAGGTCATGATCATTTTCACATTTTCTTTGGAAGCTTTCGCGCTCAACATCGCGGCATTCACCTTCAATTTATGCAGACCATGAAGTTGATCTTCCATTAAAGCTACCAGAGGTGATACCACTATTGTAATACCTTTGCTTATAACGGCTGGTAATTGATAACACAGACTCTTGCCACCACCTGTTGGCATTATGAGTATTACATCTTCATTTGACATGAAGGCATTCATTGTTTGGAGTTGTAAAGGCCTAAGTTCTTTAATTTTGAATACATCAGTCAGTGCTTTTTTAAGATTTTTTGACCATGAAAAATTTTCTGTGTCCCAATCTTTTTTAGCTAGATTAAAGCTTTTCTGTAATAAGGCATCATCCTTTAATTTCTGCTTGCGATCAACCAAAATTTTCTTGCGGTCTTCCAGTTTTTGCTGCTCACATTCTATTTGCCTCAGTTCATAATCGATTGCATTTATTTCATCTTCAGGAGTCACTGTAGAAATAATTTATAGATCAATTGAAAAATGTATTTTTGATACATTAATACTATATATATATAATAGTTAGTTTATTTATTTACAACTTATGTTACATTTGTATATACATAATAGTATAAATAATATATATATTTATATATACTATATATTTAATATATTAATACTATATACATTAATACTATATATACTACACTTAAACAAAGAAAGTAATAATTTATTCATTACACCACGTTTTAATATTAATTGCTAACCAAGCAAATAGCAAGTTCAAATTTGTATTTACTATGTTATACAAATAAAACCTACATAACATTGAAAAATTTTTAATAACAATATGATTTATAGTTTTACAATACTTTTGAATTTGAAAATTTGAAAAACTTTACCTTTATAATCATCGTCATCAAGAACAATAAAATCCTTAGAGCTTCCAGCAGCCATTTTTACGTCAGTCATAATACCATTATTTTAAAAAACATTGTCAATTCCAATTGAAAATATACACACGATGTGTAATTCTTAAGCGAAGAGTGTTTACGTTTTGATAGAGGTTATGCCAAATACCGCTCTATATGTGCCGCTATATGTATATATGTTGTTACGATTGTCGACTCCAGCGCTAGGCTTGTCTACACTATGCTTTCTGCATCTTGCGAAAAAAAATGTGTCTCGTTATTATCAATCAGCTAATTTCAGTGCAAGTGTACTTGGGTACGAGAGTAATATCGGTTCTTTAGTGCAGGCCCGAAGTAAGCCAAATTTAAAAATTACGTTTACTTCATTTGTTAGTTAAGAAATAACCTTTTCAAAATCCTCTAAATTCATTATTCTCTGTTAATAAAATTATTTTTGAAAATCTAAAAACAATGTTGAAAACCACTTTGTCACTCTGTTCTTCTCAATTGAAAAATGGACTCATTTCTGTTATTTCTGACGGTATAACAGCGATTTTTTATTATTTACCAACTTCAGTGTATAAAATTTCATTTAAAGAACTGTCTAAACTTTGTATTTTAATTGTTAAAGTAAATATACAGCATTTTGGAGTATAAAATTTTTAATAGGTTAATTTGAAATTCCAGCAAAACACATTCCGTTTATAAAATTTAGACGACTTGTCCACAGTAATCATAGTTCACCAAATTCTGTGGATCACAATAGGATGAAAGTTAAAATTTTACCTGCTCTTCAAGACAACTTTATGTATCTTGTAAGTTAATTGCATTTTAATATTAATTAAATATTGTAGAATTCAAATCTATTAGTATTCAATTAACAGATATAATTTTCTCAATTTTAATGTTGATTTGATATGTTTAAAAATTGTAAAATAGTTCTTAGGATCTGATTTTTAATTTGGAAAAACAATATTTTTTAACAGATCATTGATGAGGATACCAATGAAGCAGCAGTTGTTGATCCAGTAGCTCCAGATACTGTCTTAGCTGCTGTTAGAGAAAATAATTGCAAATTAACAAAAGTACTAACAACTCATCATCATTTGGATCATGATGGTGGAAATGAAAGCATAATTTGTTCTAAACCAGATTTACAAGTTTATGGAGGTGATGATAGAATCAAAGCTTTAACATGTAAAGTTGGTGATGGAAGTATTATTAATATGGGAAGTTTAAAAATTGAATGTCTGCATACACCTTGTCATACTCGTGGTCACATATGTTATTATGTGACAAAAAGTTGTTCAGAACCAGCAGTTTTCACTGGTAAGTATAAATACCTAAGAAAAATAAATTGCTAATAAAGTTAGTCATAATATTATTTATCTGTAGGTGACACTCTATTCAGTGGAGGTTGTGGAAGATTTTTTGAAGGAACTGCAGATCAAATGCATCATGCTTTAAATGAAATTTTGGCAAAACTACCAGATGAAACGGTATTTTTATATTTTCTTAAATAGAAGTATATAATCAGTAAATTATATAAAAAAGCATTCATATACTTTATTAGTTATTATTAATTTGTTAATATTAATTTTGTTAATATTAACTTTCACTTGATTCTTTATAGAAAGTTTATTGTGGACACGAATATACCATTAGCAACCTTAAATTTGGCTTACACGTGGAACCAAACAATCAAGCAATGAAAAAACGAATAGATTGGGCTTGTTGTCGCCGTAAAAATAATCTTCCAACCATTCCGAGTACAATTGGTGAAGAAAAATTAATCAATCCATTCATGAGAGTTTGTGAACCATCTGTTAAGGAACACACAAAAAAATGTAATCCAGTAGAAGTTATGGCATGTTTAAGAGCTGAGAAGGATTGTTTTAAAGCTTAAGCACTTGCTTTTAAAATTTTTTTTTATAGTGATTTATAACAAATATATATTTGTATTTTTTATTCTGTTAAATTAGTTCTACAAAACTAATGGTATAAAAATTAAAAATGTAATTGTATTAATAAAATTGAGGTATTTAATATTCACAAATATGAATTTTAAGTTTTTATATCGATACTTTTATTTATATTGTCCAATTGTAAGATAAAATTTACACAATTATCTCGCGAGAGATGCATTATTAATAAAGTATTTATTTATATATGCTCCATTCATCACTATTTTTTTCAATTAATCACAATTTTCACTTTTATTTTTTTTTAGATTTCATTTGTACTCGTCTATTTTTTCCAGGTCTCTGTTTATGGCCTTTATTCATTGGTTTTCCTTTACCTAACATTCCTGACTTACCTGACCTCCCAGGTTTATTTGGTCTTCTATAGTCTGAAACGTCTGCTGAACTGTCTTTTGTGTTTTTCTTTGACCCTCTCTTTTTACCACCAAATCCAAACTTGGAATTTTTAGTATTTCTTTTATCTACAGCTTTCTTGTTCATAAACTTTCCATCTTTACCTTTGGGCATTAGTTTTTTCTTATCATCTAAGAAATCTAAATCTTTTCTGATACCTTTACGATACTTTTTCACTTCTTCCATCAGTTTTCTCTTTTCAGCGTGTTTCTTCAAGGTAGCCTCTACTTGCATTTGTTTTGAAATCTTACGCTGTTGTCTCAATTGCCTAATCTTTTCTGTTCTTTGAGCTTCTACTTGTTTCTTTTGCAAATTTTCTTTAACTTTCGTCATATGCGCGTCTGATTTAGCCATTTCAGCGTAGTAATCATCTGGCCTTTTAGTGGAAATATTGAGTGCCTTAAGCCTAGCAATACCTTCAATAACTGCACTTTGTGCCTGTCTATGAAACATGGTCTCTCGTTTAAAATCGTTTAAAACTGGATCATCAGTTGGAGTAAACTGAGGCAATTTCTTATTTCCTTGGAGTTGCCGGGCTCTACGATCTGTTTGTTCTATCATTTGTAAAGCTAATTCTGGAGCTAATGGTGCTGGAGTATTTGTTAATATTAATTTTTCTATCCATGGTAGCTTAACTGTGAAGTCTTTTAATATTTGATTTAAGCCACGCTAAAACAAAATATATTTGACTGAAAATTTAAATAATACTTGAAGTGAAAATATATTTATACCAAAAGCTGAAACTTACAACATTGTTTTTGTACTCTCTTTTTTTCTCTTCAACAATATTCAATCCTGGCTTCAACAACCCTTTGGCAAAAGCTTCTTGAAGCTGAATGAACGCGTAAAAATACGAGGTTACAATTTACATAATAGAAGATACTTGTTTCAAGATTAGAGTATTAGAACAACTTACCTCTTCGTCTGAAGAATTGTACTCTGATTCAGATTCCGATAGATCCGACATTTTTCAAAGAACAGATTTGTTATTTTTTCAACAATTTCAACAAAAAATTCTTAGGAGTGGCCCCGATCATGAATTAATATACCAATTTAACAATATACTCGCACGTGCACATCGGTGCATTTAAACATTGCAACACTAGCGCTTAATGATGACTGCGAGAAAATATTGTACTATATTTAAAATTCAAGGCGGGAAAAGTGGACGTGCACTGATACACTGGCGTATTATTAAGTTATCAAGATGAAATTCGTCATAGTTAAGTGATGAAAACATCGTGAACTGATAAGGACTGCTACTTAATTAATGTTTCTCAACGATGCAATCAAGATTGTAAATTTGCTGCTGAAAAAAATGCAAATAATACAAGTTTAATTTCTAGCTTGCACGTACTTTGCACGTTTATATATATGTAGGTTGCACGCGCGAGGTCATAATAAGTTTGTCACATGTTAGTCCCGACAAACATGAGGATGTGTTGATGCGAGACCTTGCAATTATTTTTATTGTCGATATCGTAAATTCTTTTTTTATAGTTCTGTCAGTATTAAAGCATCGATTGCAGTCACGCTGTGATCTTCAGATCTTCCATAAGTGGAGAGTCAACATAAATATCACTTCGTGGATAAAGAACGATTATTTTAACTAAGTTGAATTTATAAGTCAGATGCAATATTTGATTTATTATATTATATTTGCTGTATATATAAGCATGTATGTCATTTGATCTATTCTTTTACAGTTTATATTCTCTTACACAACATGGAAATTTTTGACCCATCAGGTGAACAAATAATTAAACTTCTATGAAATCATTGTTTTAACAGTTGAATAATATTTTTCCAAATATCTTTTTGTAGAACATCAACATTGTAGGTATAATCCATTGCGAGGTGAATGGGTTTTAGTATCTCCTCATCGAATGAAACGACCTTGGGGAGGCCAGGTAGAACCAAGTAGTGATAAAGATCCCCCTGAATATGATCCACATAATCCATTGTGTCCTGGCAATATCAGAGCTAGTGGATTGGTATGTCATTAAGTTTGAGTTTATTTATTGTCAAAAGCTAAACTTAATTCTTTTTATTTCCATGGTAAAATCTTTAATTTTAGGTAACTCCAAAATATGAAAAAACATATACATTTACTAATGACTTCCCTGCGATGTTAGAAAGTGTACCAGATCCACCAAAAGAAGTTGAAGAATTATTTAGAACAGGACCAGCTCAAGGTACATGCAAAGTAATGTGTTTTCATCCTAAATCTAATGTGACAATAGCTTTGATGAAAATAGAGGAAATTAAAGAAGTTATTAAACAGTGAGAAAAATTGTTATCTGATTTAAAAATGAAATAAAACGTTTTGTAGTATTATTTGAATTTTTCAAAAAGGTGGATAAATGAAATACTAGATCTTGGAAAAAAATGGACATGGGTACAAATTTTTGAGAATCGAGGAAGTTTAATGGGTTGCAGCAATGCACACCCACACTGTCAAATATGGGCAAGTTCATTTTTACCTAATGAACCTAGAATCAAAGATATGAATTTAAGAGAATATTACCATCGTAATAAGTCACCAATGCTATTTGATTATATGAAAAAAGAATGTTCTAAAAAGGTAAAGAAATAATTATTTTTTGTTACATAATAGTATCATTTATTCAATTAATTTTTACATAATAGAATCATATTTAATGTTGCTGACTAAATTTTAAACTATGTTAATAAACAAATTTGCAGAAAAGAATAGTAATTCAAACAGCAAACTGGTTAGTTGTTGTTCCTTTTTGGGCTACATGGCCATTTGAAACAATGGTTTTACCCAAAAGACAAGTCACCAGAATGGAAGAATTGAATGAAAAAGAGCAAACATCACTCGCAGCTGTCATCAAAACACTATGTATAAAATATGATAATTTATTCCAGTGTTCATTCCCATATTCAATGGGTTGGCATGGTATGATATATGCATTAATAATACAAGCTAATAATTCTATTACTGTGAATTATAATTTAATTCATTGTAGGTGCACCCACTGGGCTAGAGTATGACAAAGATTATAGTCATTGGACTTTTCATGGAATATATTTTCCTCCACTATTACGTTCCGCTACAATCAAAAAGCACATGGTTGGATATGAACTTTTAGCTCAATCTCAAAGAGATTTAACTGCTGAACAAGCAGCTGAAAAATTACGGTCTCAGACTACTATACATTATAAACATCCAGAAACAAGTTACAATAATGAGGAATTATCACAATTTATTTAATAAATAAAATGGTTTTATATATAATAGTTGTTTATACAATTGAAAAATTAATTTATAATTTTAATATTTACATGTTGTTCAAAGTGTAATATAAAATTGGTTTTTATATTGTTGATTGTTAATGTTGTTGTTTTAATAAATTGGAAAATTAGGATCTATATTATGCGTCCATGCATGTATTCCTCCTGCAATATCTTTAATTTTTAAATTTGAATTAGAAAATGATTTCTTTAAAATTTTGACAGCTTTTTGAGAATCATTTCCACGGCGACAAAGGATAAAAACTGAAAGCAAAAATATTTCATTCTATGTATAAAAAATTTAATATTAAAAAATATATAAATATATATATGTATATTTTAAATCAGTTACCATCACATAAATTTGCATCCATATTATCAATTTCTTTTTTAACAATATCAATACCATTTTTGCCACTTATTGTTGTGAATGGAATATTAATTGAATCTTTTAAGTGACACATTTGAAATTCTTGATTGGATCTTACATCAATCAGTAGATAAGGTTTAGAGGATAATTTAATAAGTTCATGATATTCGTTAATACTTATTCTTTCATCAGTATTCAAGATTTTTAAATCTGGATTTTTATCATTTGCTTTGGCTCCACAAAACTCTTCATAATCTATTAAACTACGAATTTTAGGATTACTACCACAAACAGCACAATCTGGATTATTAGATCTTAATTTTAAATTTCTAAAAATTGTATCTATTCCATCAAATATTAGAAGTTTTCCAGCAAGAATACCTGGCATTCCTAAAATTATTTTTATAGCTTGTAAAGCCTGAAGTACACCTATAGTTCCCACTACTGTAAATGAAAATAAATATCTCTTAAAATTTATTTCATTACATAAATAACATGTGATAAATAATTACCAGCTCCAAGTACACCACTATCTCCGCAATTACTAACAGTTTCAGGAGGAGGTGGTTTTGCAAAAATACATCTATAGCAAGGACCAAAATGATTGTATACTGTTAATTGTCCTTCAAATTGTAATGCTGATCCACATACTAAAGGCTTCCCACTAATGACACAGGCATCATTTAATAAGTAACGAGTAGCTACGTTATCTGTAGCATCCAGTATGACATCATACTGTTTGATGATTTCCAAAGCATTTTTACTGTTAATTTGAAGTTTGTATGGAGTAACTTTAATGTTATCATTTAACCTGAAATAACCAACAGGATTTGTATAAATAAAATGAATCCTAAATAGCTTAATCCTATATTATTCATTTTATTCATTATACCTTTTGAGACTACTTGCTGTAGCATCAACTTTGGATGTACCTATATCTAAGGTTGTAAAGAGTAATTGTCTATGTAAATTTGTAATTTCTACATCATCGTAATCCAAAATACCAATATGACCAACACCTGCACCAGCTAAATATAAAGACGATGGACAGCCTAAACCTCCAGCACCAACAATAAGTACTGATGAATTTTTCAATTTGACTTGTCCTATATTAATAGAATAATAAAATAAAATTAGAAACATACTATTTGTTGTTTCAACAATTATAAATTATAATATGCAAAACAAGTAGTGAGTGGATTTATACCAATATTGCATATATTTAACATATAAATAAATAAATAAATGAATAAAAGTATTTACCTGAAACTCCTATTTCAGATAAGAGGATTTGTCTACTGTATCTTGAAATTTCAGAATTATTTAATCCATGTGGCTGTAAAATTTGTTTTTCACGCCGCAATTCTGCAAGGTTATTTTCTTTTTCTCGCAATTTTTCCTTTAAACTTGTTATTTCCTCTAATAATAATTTTTCAGTCATATTGTAAAATGTATCTATTATTATTTCAAATCAAATGCAAAAGTAGCACGATCGTTTGCAAGGCACTCCTTATTTCTAGCGACTGAATAATGTTATTGTTATGAAAATACAACGTGGTGAACATGCTGCACGAAAGGATCAGCTGATCGATTCTTAGTATTTGGATCAGACAAACACTCTGCTTCGAAATCGTGAAAGTAAATAAATATAGTAAAAATATTTGGTGAAAAATATCTTAATGCAAATTAAATATATGCATTCACTTATAAAAAGAAAAATATGCATACATTCTGATAGAATATGATGATAAACGAATAAACAAAAAAATCTATTTGTAATAAATTTGTTAATAAATAACAAATATTTGAATAGTTTTTTCCATTAGTATTACTAAAAGGTAATTCATATTGATTCATTAATAGATATTGCTACTAATATCAATAACATGACATGGTTCTGTCATAACAAAAACCCATCGATCAAATTATTCAAAGTCCATTCAAGCGATTCCCGCGTATCTAAAACTTGTGAACTCCGCCGCTATCGGCGCGCTAGCGAACGAGACGGAGCTAGCGTGAAGGCGATCTGGCAAACAAAAAAATAAAACGATTCAAGTCAGGTAGTCGTTGGGTCGTTGGTGAGTAGTTCGCTGTGGCTGTGCTAACTAGTAACATTACGGAGCAGCATCGTATTAGCGACGTGTTATCGTGTGCCTTGTTGTTGTTTCACCAAAGGGGTTGTCCCCCTCGTACATGCGGATATCCACTTTTGTCGTTACAGCCACCAGCATAATTATGCTAGCACAGCAGCTGAAATTTAGTAAAACCGTATAGGGAAAGCGTCAGGCATAACGACGACGCAGTCAGAGGAAGAAGTCGGGGAACGATCGGGAGGAAGAGGTGGAAGAGGAGGATTGAAGTGCAAGTGCGTGTCGTGTGTTTTGACGGTGTGCAAAATGGTGGAGCCGATATTTGACTATCAATTTAGATTGATTCTCATCGGTGATAGCACTGTGGGCAAGAGCTCACTGCTCAAATACTTCACCGATGGAAAATTCGCTGAGGTAACGACGCAAAATATGATGACACATGCTTCACTATTTTCATCGCTTTCCCCTCTGTTCTTCCATCTTCGTTCTCACTCTCTTTCGCGGTTGTGGAACGTTTATTGAAATTTACGTTTTGTTTCTTTGTTTACATATTTGCGTAGCAAAGCGGACGTATGATAGTTGTGTGTGCATGATTTTCTGCTCATTTTTTAAAGCCTCGTGTTCTCTCATTTTTACTGATTTAATTTTCTAGACTCTATACGATAAAATATCTTAATAATAAATTGTCTAGTTACCTGTACTCAAGTACTAGAAATCAGCGTTACAACTTATTTACTGTCAAAATATAAAATGTGTACTGTCCAAGCATGAGTCAGGGAAATATGTGGTTATATATAACTGAGCGGCTAGGGAATAATAAATTATCATAGGTTATAAAAATGCCATACTCTTTCATGGTTTGAAAAATACTGTAGTGTGCCCTTCCACTATGACTCGCTTTGCTTGGTCGTAAACCTCAGACGAGACAAGAATCTACTTTGCCTCACTAGTTAGGTAATATACTAAATAAGACTCCGCATAGCACTGCTTAAAGTAAAACAATCAATACCATATTTTCATATTAATAATGCACCGATTTCTTTTAGGATCGATGTTTTTCGATGAATTTGTATAAAGTTTAATAGGCGATATTCATTGGATTTTATACTATATTTTCTAACAAATATTTATAATTATAAAAATATGAGAAAATACTCACTAACATAGGTTTTGTTTTTGATTTATAATATTTCGTTATTAATTTGAATTGACTAAAGCCGACAATATGACAGAAATAACCAGTATTTACGTCGTACATTATTAATATAGAAAATTGAACAAATGCGTTAGCCAAATAAAACTATTTATTAATACGCGAAATTTTTTAGCACTTATAGATACTCTATTGCGACTTGCATTTTCTCTTTAGTCAAACAAGACAGTTCTACTTATATTGTATATATATTTACGAGAGAAATTTGCTTTGGAGAACACGATATGATTTTCCCAGTGTGATCGCGATTTTCAACAGGATAGAGATAGTCAAGAGCTCATGCACTCGATTTGCCTCAATGACAGCACGTTGACAGATTTATTTGTGCAGTTTTATATGCAGATGGTTTTACTTGTGCGATTCGAGCAGCTTTGTTTGGAATTCCATGTTTATCGGCTCAACACTTCAACTCGGTTTTGAAACATATGTATGTGGCAATTTATGATAACATCATTAACCTACTGAAACTTTTGTATATTGCACTTCTGTATTTTTTCTGATAATGCAAATACTTTTAATCTTTCTATCTAAGCCAAAAATACTAGGTTGTATCAACGTTTTAACAGTGGAAAATTTGACGATATAAATGAAAATATTTTAGGTCAATGGCAGTAGCACAAAAAATAATCTAACTTTACACAAGAAAACTTGGCATTCTTTATTTTTTGTAAGCAACCATCTAAATTCATCTAACCATAAACTAAGCCCACATTTCATAAAAGTTCATTTACGCGTTGTGATATAGTTTTAGTATAATTACTATTGTCGTATTAGTAGATACGTTAATGTACTCTACTCACGCATTTTGTCGTTATTCGGGCCTCGAGGACATTGAATTTTCCAAAATTACTTTTTACTTTATTTATTTTAGTTATTATGATTTCGCTTTTATAACAACAAAATGTTTCTATTTGAATTGTCGAACATTCTACCGAAATATCAAAATAGTTGAAAAGAATCCAAAAATATACGTATCAATTATTTTGTCCTCATAAGCTGCCGACTGATAAGCTGACAACGGCTGTCAGTGATAAAATTAGACGCGCTGCATTTACGCGATGAAAGCGATAAAGTTAAAAATTATGATTGCCTTTGACAAAATTGCAAGCTAGAAGATGAGCGACAAATAATGCCGCTATACACATTTATGAGTACTATTTGCAAGTATAATAACGCACTAAATTTATAATAATTCATACAGCAAACCATTAATTGATTTTTAAAGCGAATAAAGTCATTTTTACAGTTTGAAAGTTTTTATGTAGCGTTTATTTTTAAAAGCAATCGAAAGAAGTTGTTTGTAGAGCCAATCAAAACGAACTTGATGTAGTGTTTAATAACTATCTTATCAATTAATATTATGTCAACATATCACGATCAAGACGAATTAGTAAATGCATTTATATTGGTGTGCAACATGAACTTTATAATTGCGTATAGAGAAAATGTCGGTCGATATAGTAATTAGTTCTATGGAGTTGTAAGGGAAAATGCAAATGCTAGTTGCACAAGCGAAGTGGAAATCATTAAATATCAACCACGCGTAATTAATATTGCGAGTATTACATAACGGCAATTACATGATGAACGTGTTTCATCAATTTAACATTAGCGAGACGATTGTGAAAAGAATTATTTGATTAAAAGTAGTCGAGAAGTGACTGTCTTTTATAATGACACGATTATCGTATTATTGCAGCTCTCGGATCCAACGGTAGGAGTGGACTTTTTTGCTCGGTTGATTGAAGTCAAAGATGGCACAAGGATCAAATTGCAGCTTTGGGACACGGCTGGACAAGAACGGTTTCGGTAATTTTCCACATTTATTAAAATCGTATGTTTTTTGGTATTTTGAGTTTGCATAACACGATGATATATCATTGAATGTCTATTTTTCTTAAACTTTGTTTTCACACAAAATGTAGGTTTGAAGCTTAATTAATAAAAAACAAAGTTAATTTTGCGACATTGATTAATACAGAAAAAAACGACGTTTCCTAATACTAAATCAACTTTTTCGAACACTCACAAATGATACAGTTATACAAGATAAAAAAATATAAAATATAAAAGCATCAATGATAAGCTTCACCAACAGAAATAGATGGAAAATATGTATTATTATTTACATATGCATACTCGATGACTCACCGAAACTGTATCCAATTAAACCACCAACGCCTCTGCTATATTTTTTCATGACTGCGTTTCAAAATGAAACGTACAAGGTAATTCTGTCTCTTATTCGCAGGTCCATAACGAAATCATACTACCGCAACAGCGTTGGCGCACTTCTCGTGTACGATGTGTGCAATCGCAAGAGTTTCGAGCATATACCTCAATGGATGATGGAAGCACGTCGTCACATCGAACCACATCGGCCGGTATTTTGTCTGGTCGGTTGCAAGCTTGACCTTGTAACAAATGGTGGTCGACGCGAAGTTTCGAAAGAAGAAGCGAGAGCATTTGCCGATCAGTACAACGTTCATCACGTGGAGACGAGTGCTAAGACCGGCTTGAATGTCGAGGAGGCATTCAGGACTGTAACTCAGGAGGTTTACAATCGGATACAGAATGGCGAGTATAAACTCGAGGACGGATGGGACGGTATCAAGACTGGATTCGCCAGACCTGGCGGATTGGACTTTAATCTCGTCGAGGCTGAACCCGCTAAGAGTTCGTGCTGTTAATTTGCTTTGCTTTTTATTGTCGATGACCGATTTTTAGTTTGTCGTCTAATCATATTAGTGAACGTTTAATCGTTGGTTTGTTGTTGAACACGATAAATTGTCGAAAGTGTGCTTTTCGTTTCTTTTATTTACTCTTCACAAAAATCTGCCTAGCTGCCATTATAAAATCTGCAGATTCATTGTTCGTTCGATTTTTCTTTTGAAACTTTTCTAATCTTTGTTCAGCGACGACTCGTTATATAATTGCGTAAGAATGCATTGAAAGTTATTCTCTTGACAAAAACTTTAGTGTAGTAATTTTTTAGCTAAGACCAGAAAAAAACTGTTTTTGGATTTTGTACTGTTTTTGTGTATTTTTTATTTTTATTTATTTTGTATTGAATTTAGATCAAGAAAACGATATATTTTTTTAGTATTTATAGTTTTTATTATCTGACAATTATTGTATCGTTTTTAAATCACTAATGCATTCTTGCAGCTACCAGAAAAAAACTATGTTATCAGAGACATTAATTGAATAAGCATGTATAGGATAAATATTCATTTTTGTATATAGATTGTATAAATAAATTAAATAAGATTGTACACCTTTAGTAGAAAAGATACAGAAAAAGAAATAAACTTTGATATGTAATTAAATACTATCTAATAACAACTCGTGGTGCGTCTTAAAAACTTGAAATTTTAATACGCATGTATATCAAGTTAATTTTTTTAAATAAATGTTCAAATTCGGTTATTAGTCATTTCTGTTACATAAATACTATTGTTTTCATGAGTTATTTTTAAGAGTCATCTTTATATTTTTAAGAAAACAAATTGAAGTTACTAATAAGTTTTTATATAAAATAATGTAATATGTATGCATTCAAAAATATTTTTCCAAATAATTCTTAATCATTTTACGACATATGCATAAACTATTTGACGTAGCAATGGTTACTCATTGCTTTATGCGATTTCACTGAATTCAATCATGAAGAGTGAATAAACTCGATAAAATCTATTTTGTACTGCTTATAATTATAAACATTTTAAGCTACTATATTTTATACCGATTGATCATTGATGCCATTCAAATTTCATGTGAAATTAATGCGAGTAAATTCAGATATGGATGTGCGAGAGAATAAGACAATATATTGGTGCAGGTTGTACATTCTTTTGTTAATATCTGACGAAGAATTTTGTTGTATAACTACCGAAAATTGTACATAATTCTTATAAAGCTTAATTATCCAACGTATATACATTTCTGGACATTAGCAAACTCTAATTTTATTTGCTAATAAAGTTAAATGAAAGAGTTTTAAAATAGATCTTTATGAAGACTTGTCACATTTTTTTAACTATTAGAAGTTATTACATAACATCACTCGTAAGCGGAATTCCGAAAGTTAATCGAAACCAAACGTAAAAAGTGATGATTACACTGTGTTATGATTCAACACGATATAGACTACAAAGAAAGTTTTTATCATAAACGATATCTTCAACAAAGTAGTATATTATTAAATATAATGTAAATAATTGGATATATATCAGTCAATCTTTCTCAACGAATGATCCCCTACAAGCCAAAAATCATTTTGTTCATCAAATTTCGATAGGTGGTCAATTTCTATATAGGTCTTGAAGCCTACTTTTGAAATTCTTTTTGTTTATTAAATTGATAATAAAGCCTGCATCACGAAGCTGATTGAGCTCTAAAACATCCCAAATGAAAGGTCTTGAGTTCTACTTTCGTAATAAATTCATACTTTCATTCAATAACCAAATGATTTTTGGCTTGTAGAGGGTCATTCGTTGAAAAAGAATGACACACACACACGAGGTCTGTTCAAAAAGTATCGCGAATTTTGAATTTTCGCGGGCTATGTATATTTAGTTTTTAATTTTTTTGTAACCTTATGTTAATACTTATGTCCCTTACTTATACTGACAACGTCGACCATTTTTAATGTTTTGTTAATTTTTGGCAGCTGTTTTGCTTAGATATGTTTTGGTTCGTCTTCGATTTTTGCCTATTCCAAAAAATGGATCGAAGAATCCGTATCAAATTGTGTGTGAAAAACAAAATAAATTGCACGTACGCATTTCGCATTTCGAATGTTAACTGTGGCATATGGTGAAGCTACCTTAGACTAAAGCAACGTTTATCGGTGGTACAAAATGTTTTCAGAGGGTCGAGAAGATGTGAACGACGAAGAGCGTGTCGGGCGCCCGAGCATGTCAACAACAGATGAAAACATTGCTAAAGTGAAGAAAATAGTATTAGCCAATCGTCGAATCACCGTTAGAGAAGTTGCTGAGGACTTAAACATATCTATTGGTTCATGCCATTCGATTTTAATCAATGAATTGGGCATGAGTCGGGTCACCGCGAAATTCGTGCTAAAATTGCTCAATTTCGACCAAAAACAGCTTGCGTTAACATTGCTCTGGAGATGTTGGACACGGTCCGTAACGACCTAAATGTGCTCCAGACGCTTCAAGTAACGGATTATGGGTTTATGGTTATGATGTGGATACCAAAAAGCTCAATCACCTCAATCGAAGCTGCCGCATGAGCTAAGACCGAAAAAAGCGCGCAAAGTTCGGTCGAATGTGAAGGTTTTGCTCACAGTTTTCTTCGATTGCAGGGGTGTGGTGCATCATGAGTTCTTGCCACAGGGTAGTACGGTAAATAAGGAATATTACTTGCAAGTTATGCACAATTTGCGCGAAGCAATCCACCATAAACGTCCGGATTTGTGGAAGAACAAAAACTGGCTTTTGCACCATTTTAACGTCCGTACTCACACATCATTCGCTTGTGCGCGAATATTTGGCCATAAACAACACAGTAATGGTGCCGTATCCACCATATTCCCCAGACCTGATCCTCTGTGACTTTTTCCTGTTTCCAAAACTGAAGAGGCCCGTGAAAAGATGACGCTACGCTGCGATTGAGGAGATAAAGACGGTATCAAAGGAAGAGCTGAACAAGATCACGAAAAATGATTTTTTTTAAGTGCTTCGATGATTGGAAAAAGCGTTATCATAGGTGCATTATATCCGAGAGGGATTACTTTAAAGGGGAAAAAATAGATATTCATGAATAAATAAATACTTTTTGAAAAAATATAAAATTCACGATACTTTTTAAACAGACCTCATATATATATATATATATATATATATATATATATATATATATACACACACATATATATATATATATATATATATATATATATATATATATATATATATATATATATATATATATATATATATATATATATATATATATATATATATATATATATATATATATATATATATATATGAAAAATCATTTTTCTTATGCGATCAAAGCAACGATATTGTTTACAAATGTTCATGAGTCTTTTTTACATTGGACACCTTTTTACATTATATATTTTAAATAACCTTTCGTTACCGAATAAACGCTTGTAAACCCTTTGCACGTCACACAGTCTTGTGATAAGAAATAAAAATAATTTAATTCTGAATCATCATTTCTTGAATATTTTTCTTTCCACAATTATTACAAATAATTTTGAAATGTTATATCAATTTTTAACAGATGATAATGCATAACTATTAAAATTGATGTACATTTGAAAATCTAATTTAAAAAGCAAAAATTTAAAAATCTATCGGAAATTTTATTGTATGTACAGTATATTTGATTTTTTCCTTTATTTTCATCATGTATGCAGACTAAGTTCCTATTCAAAATTTATTATTTACCTTCACCTCTAAATCTTGAAATAATGCTAGATTCAGTTTTTCGTACTAATGTTTATTTGACCGATAATAATTGACGAAAATACTGTTTGACAAAAATACTGGTAATAACAATAAACTGGTAAAAATACTTTTAATATCTAGAATAAAAAAATAATTATTACGAACATGGATTAGTTTGTAACCCAATTTGTAAAACAACAAAAATTTTTTAATAAATTTCTTTAGAACAATGTTAGTCATCTTGGAACTACCAAAAGATTCGAATACACATTTTCATATGATAATTACTTGGAATAAAACACGTAAAAAAGGGAAAATGTACGTTTTTTTTCTTGGAGTCAATATTATAAGAAAATATGATCTGGTAGTTAGTATTCATAACTATTCATTGTAACAGATAAATTAACAAATAACAGTAGAAGATTTTATTTTTATCAATTTTATTACTAATAGTTTTCACCAATAAAAGGTATTTTATACATGACAATAATAAACCAACTTATTCTAAGGTATTTAACAGTGCCCAAATCTAACACTATCGACGAATGCTTTGAATTCATATAAAAAGTTCCGAATTTTACATCAAGTCTTTGCTTTAATATGCTTACAGCTAAACAAAAATTTATATTTCTATATTTTTATACAAGTGATTTATATGCTGACTACGTTTAATCTTATCAATGACTAAATAATTATTTGACCAATGCTCATCGATAATCAAACATCAACAATTCTTCAAATGAAATCCGATACAAAAATATAAAATTTTAAATTAGTCAGTACATATAATTGGATTAAAAGCCTGTTTTGTAACTTGAATATACATATTGTTTCTATCAACAACATTCAATCGTATACTTCTATGTCATTTCGATTCTCAGACATTTTAATAATCATTAATCATTAAAATATTAAAAAATAAAACCACACTTTTCCGTCGACATATAAGAAAAACTGTACTACATATACATAAGCATTAAAACTTATTAAAGAAGCAAAATAATTTGAAAAAGTAATGTCAATAAATCAATGTCTAGGCATTATCGATAATCGATACATTATTATTTTATACTTTTAGTTAATACTAAAGTACTTAGTATAAAAATTTTTATTTAAGCCGTGTTTGTGAGGATACATGGAATAGTTTGAAGGGGCAGCTTTAAAGTTGTTGCGATAAAACTATTTTAATGAAAAACTCCAAACATCATAATAAATAAACGATGCTTTAATATTATTCAAATTCTTGTCCCATACGTACGATGATTAGAATTAGTTACTGATTTTAAATCATTCCAAATAAACTAACTGTAAGTAGAACTTGTGGCTCGGAGTACAATAGATTATGAATAAATGTGTAGTTAGCAGATTGTTATTATGTGCATGTATGTATTGTATAGATAGAGCAATGGTAATTGTAGTACAATTTTTGTCGTCCAAGAGCGATGCATAAATATCTGGATAAACAGTCGAATTTTTTCTTATTGAAGGTCTAGCTAGCTTATATATTTTCGCCTAGAACTACTCTGTAAACCTAACAGAATTAGAATTTTATTTTTATAGCTAATGTTCTAACTACAAGATCTTATTTGTATTACTGAATATATTAACTTGGAAGTAAACTCTCTTATAATTCTAAGTTTCAAATATGACTAGAAACTTCCCCATGTAATTTTTTTTCGTTCTCGTTGACCATACATATTTCTTTTGGCAAGACTTTATCCGATATAAATTTAAGAAATAGCCGACATTTTTATGTCGTATTCTCTTTTTTTTCTTTAAGAAATACTAATTGTAAGTTCTGTATCACATAATTATTTTTTCTTTTACTTTTGTTTCTCAACACGACGTTAAGCATAATAAAGACACTCGCTCACTTGTCTTATTTACAAAAAAAAAGTTTTATATTATCTATGATCCTACTCAAACTCACGAACACGTGGCAGACCTAAATATAAACATTTTTTTCCTTTTCTTAATTAAAGAAAGTACTCATTAATTACCAATTTTGTTCAATTTTACATGTTTCAAACGAAGAGACAAACTTTATCTTCAATAATCTGATTATTCATAGCCATTAGTAAATTATTAAAACTTTTTATATACTTCACGGGTTTTTTCATTTTTGTTATTGATATTATGACATTATTCATTTCCTTTAGATATGCACAAAGTGCATACTATTAATAATCACATAGAAAAGTGTCTATAAATTTCATAAATTTCAAAAAAAAATTACATTATGAAGCTAATTCAATTAGTACAATATCATTATAAAGCATAAATTTCTAACTTATTTAAGGCCTAAAAATACATTCAATTCCATATTGGGTTGTTGGCTCACTCTGCACTTTTTGATAATAGTAAAAAATGCAGTAGTCAACAAATTAAGGAATTTTAAAACATAAAAATAAAAATAAATATTTGATAAAATTTCAAACAGCCTTTTGCTCTATAATGTAAATGCTATTCTTCTTTTGGTAAAGAAAGTGCTTCAAAGCATAGATATTATCGGCTCAAATGAGAAAAACAATGGGAATGTTAACAAAATGCCAAAATATATTTTATGTATCACGATTGACTGTTATTATGATATTTTTTTAATATCAAGAAGAATTATGAATATTAAAATGATTCCCAAGGAACCATTATTTTTAAACATAATTGAAATTTCATGACGCATTAGAATAAGATTTTTAAGCCGATCATATCTACAATTATGAGAGTATTCTTTTTACACACCCAAATCAGTCCTAAAAAGTTATTCCATATTTGTGATTATAAAGTTTGATAGATCTTCGAAGAATATCCCTATAAACTTATCAACAGCTTGGGATAGAATATATTGTGAGATGGTAACATTGAAATTCCTGGTATTATCTATGCACTATTTCATATTGTGCATTTGTTTTAGTAAAGTTACTTTGAAGTAGCTGTTTGACTTAGCATTTCTCTTAATGGCTTGATAATGATTCACATCCAAAAAGAATATATTCTTCTCGTGACAACCAAAAAGGAGTTCCTTTCATGTACTCAGGAGGTGTTTTTTCTAAGAAATAATGACAATCAATATATTATAAATATTAAGATTTTTATAGTAATTATATTATCTTCAAACTAGATAAAAATATTTACCAGGATGTACAGCTAAAGGCACATAAGTCGATCCCATTGCTACATTCCAACTGTGAGTACCAGGACAACTCTTCACTTCCAAGATCTGTGCATATTCCGGAAGAATTTTTTTCAAATCTAGTTTCAATCGTAACTCGAATCCAGCCAAGTCTGTATTTCCACCTGTAAGAAGTATGCGGGAAAGGCAACTGACTCTTATTTCTTCTGGCAATCCTTTTGTGACTTCTTTCAGAACTTCAGGTAAATCCATACTGACGTACATAAGCTCTGGAGCTGTGTACAACTCTGCTCCCAATGAAACTTTCTATAACAAATTATACATAATTAATATATTAACAAACCGTAAAATTTAACGACTTTACAGTTTATTAATATATTAATCATAATTTTTATTTATTTCATGATTAAAAACATACCCAATCCTTTTTACAGTTTGCATAAGTATCAACTCTTATATCTATATCTACTTTTTCAGATTTATTTTGTCCACCTTTATGTAGTCTGTCGGATCTATTATTGCACTCTTCTTTTCTTATGTCAAGACTAAGCCTACATCTTTCTTTCACTGTAGGGTAATCTAAGTATGATATTGGAATTTCATGGAATTCTTTTGGTTGCCAATTCATTGCTTGTTTCAGATAGTATGCTACGTGCCAGCCTCCAACAGGTATAAGTTTCCACCTATTTGGCATTACCCGCCCATTAAATACAACAGCCACAGTTGTACTCAAAGCACCACTGTCAACGACAATACAAGTTTCTACTCCAAGCATAGCACATGCTGCTAATGGTTTTGGAACTAAGCAAACTCTGTAGATACAATAATGTTCATTAGTAAAAATACATTTTGATGTACTACATTAAATAAACCAATGTGTCTATCTTACCTTGCTACTTTAACTTCTTGAAATAGATAATGTAAAAGTTGTTTTCTAAGTAACGGATGTATTGCCAATGGTTCACAGAACATAAGAACAGCATTTGGTTTTTTGAGTGTCTCTGTTAAACTCATTTGACGAAACAGATGATCTACAAAATCTTTGAGTACTGAAAATGTTCCATCAACAAGTAGTGCTTCAGCTGGATTAAATAGATTGATATTTGGTATTCCTAAAACTTTTTCTGTGTCTGTACAGTAACCATTAATTAATTTCTGGTAAATAGGATTGCATCTAGTATAACAAGATGCATCATTAGGATGCAATTCTATCCTTCTCTTCTCTCTATAAAGCTGAACTGAGTTGCAAAATACACAAAATGGTCCACTACGAGGTGGATCTTTTATGGATTCAGGCTCTGAAAGTTTCAACAATTTAACAATAGACTTCTTTGTAACAAATTTACTTTCCAATTTTCTTCGACAACTACTACTAGGAATGTTTTGTACAGGTGGAAGAATTGGCTTTTCAACTTGATTGTGAGTTTCACTGTTATATTTAGGGAAGCCAAGCATGGAAAAGTGTCTTCTTAAACCAAAGTTAGGAGTAATAACCCATGTATACTTATTTCCTATTTCTATAACTACTTTAACACTGGAACCTTCAACACAGTTCCTCTGACATGTATAGCTGCTGCAGTTGCAGCATTTTGGAAATGAGTTCTCATTGGTCTCATTCAAGGTTAAAATCATGTGCAGCCGATAACACATAGCTTTAAAGCTGACACTTAAATTTTGAAGATACTTCATGTCAGGGAATTGAAATTGTACTGTTGATATAAGTTGTAACCATTTCATTTTCCTGAAAAAAGTATAATGTAGATTAAGGACATTATGGTAGGTTGTTATGTACGGTATATATACTATATTTGACTTGTTCCTCAATGCTTTAAAGTTTCTACGACTATAATTATTTGTAGAGTAAGATACTAAAAATATGTAAATTAAGTTTATTCAGACTCATTCCTCATTATGACAATTATTTAAGGACTTAAGAAAGTCATATGCAACTGTATTTCCAAAGCTTAAATGTGTCATTAAACTCGGGAAGAACTTTGGTAATTGTCCTTGATAAATAGTTACATTATAAACATAAAAATGTAATGTGCGTAAGAACGACCAGTAAATGCAAAATAAAAATATGAAGTTGGAATAACGCAAAACGATTAACCTCACTCACCACAGATAATCCGTGTCGGAGGTTTTGCGTAGGTACTTGCAGGTGCTCCCGAAGGCTATTATATCAGGTACGTCGCACTCAAGTAGGATCTTGATCCAGATTTCTTCGGGGAAAACCGCGGGATCCATGATTGTAGATGTGTAATGTAATATGTGTGTATATGGATCCTCACGATGTAAAACACACCAGGTCAAGATAACCAGGAAGGTGAATGACGAATATAGTCGTCGTTTGCGAAAAAAAATAATAAGCGTATATAGGTACAGATAAACGAACGAAAAGCAAATACCGCCCAGCAGTCTACGCTCGCTCTACTGCCCGCAGCAGCAACACCAGAGCCGATATACACGAAACGAAACTTCTCTCTCTCTCTTTCCTCGCTTGACACTCCCCGAAATCTGCGAGAATACACTAGTCAGGTTCAAGGTTACTACGTTAAAAAACGTTCTAACTGCACACGCAACTTACCGCCCGTCGGTGTTGTTTCTATTGATTTCAAATATTATATTGTCTGCTGCGCTGAATGCAAACGTTACATTTTTATTATAAACAAATGACCTCCAACTAAATGTTTATACTTAATGTAATCTCTCAATAATTTTTAACCATTTACTCTAAAGATACATTGTAGAAGTTGCATCGCAGTTACGAAAACAAGTGTTAGGAAACAGTTTTCCTAATGAATAACACAGAATATCTGATATATTAAATCAGCAATTTTACATTTCAAATAATAAATTCATACAATTATTTAATTAAAGAACTGGAGCACGAGTTGATTTCCCATGCATGCCTCTATAGTTTACAAACAATGTAAAGTAGAGCAATAGTGATGAGGTATATGGAGCCGTTGTTTTTGCTCTGCTTGATGACATCAATATAGGTATAGATCACTGCATTAATATGATAGCACTTGATGTAATCAATGACATCACAGGGATTTTTATAGGCTCGCATACACGAACTAAAGGATGATTCATTCTGAGCTTAATAGGCTTATTATACGCGCGGGATCATGTAGTTTGAGATACAATAAGTTAAATTTTTTTTATACAAAAAAAAAAACGTTTATTACAAAACCGTACAAAAATAAATATCAACATGGTTTCATACATCATTTACAGAGTAAGCTTAATACTGCAACATTTTTTAGGAGTGAAGTTACGAAAATATATAAAAGTAAGAATTTACGCTACTCCTAGTAATGATTTGATGTACGGATTATTATGAGCTAATACTTCTTTTTTCCAATTAAAAACTTGCTTTTTCAATTCTTCGACCGGCAAAGAATCGTCCAAATCCTTGCATTTCCTCATAAACTCATGGATAATTTGTTCACCTTCCTAAAATATTCAATAATATCGTTTAAACTTAGTTTAAATTTGAAAATCTAGTATTTAAAAAATTGTGTTTACTTTTATAATTTGCTTTTTCTTTTCTGGATCATTAGAACCTTCAAATACTGCACCTTGTAAATCTTCCAGCTCTGCTTGTTTTTGTTTGGCAAACTAGATATAAAAACAATATCACTAAATTAAACATTTTTCGAGTTTTATTATATCAAATTATTTTTATTACTGTGAATATTCACCTCAATAACTTCTTCAGGGAAACGTGCCATTCTAGCTACGTGAATACCAAAACTCTGGTCACATATTCCAGGCTTAACTTTGTACAATAAAGTCAATTTATCTTCAACAAGAGCAGTAACATGGAAATTTTTGACAGTTGTCACATCATCTGCAAGCCTAGTGATTTCATGAAAATGTGTAGCAAACAAACAATATGACTTTATCTCCTTAGCTAAATGTCTGAAGAAAAAAAATTTACGAAATCAAGTAAAAAATATAGTTGCAATGAACAGTAAAATGTAGTTAAGCTTACTCAGCAATGGCCCATGCTATTCCACATCCATCATAAGTTGAAGTTCCTCTACCGAGCTCATCAATAATAACTAACGAATTATTAGTGGCAGTCTAAAATCATGGTTTTAATTAATAAGCAATTACTTTATAGTAACGTAGATGAATTACAGGCATTGAAAAACTTACTCTTATAATTGCAGAAGTTTCAACCATTTCTGCCATGAAGGTAGAAAGACCTTTAGTCTGAGAGTCGTCGGCACCTATTCTCGCTAGAATAGAATCAAGTAATGATATAGTAGCTTTTTCGCATGGCACGAAGCTTCCAATATGAGCCATTAGTGCCGAAACTCCAATGGATCTAATGTAAGTACTTTTACCACCCATGTTGGGTCCTGTTACAATATGAAATCTGCTATCTGCAATATAAGTTATTAAATTTAGTACATAAATACATAACGACAGAAAGTAAATAAAAATGTAAATACCTTTTTCAAAGTGAACGTCGTTTGCAATATAGTTTACTCCCTCTTGAGATTCTAAGCATGGATGTCTAACTTGCACAAGATGAAGTTCTTGTGCTTCACTGGGTAACATCTTAGGTCGAACATATGTCTGATTTGAGGAAGCTGCAGCTAGAGCAAATGAATTCAACACATCGAGAACTGCGACCACGTTACCAATCTGTTTAATTGGAGGTACATAACCAGCTATATAAAGATGAAATACAAAATATCATAAAATTCTTAATCTTAACATGTTAATCTAAAAGTTGAATCAAACAAACCTGCTGTCTCAATAATTTCTTTAACAATTATCTTTTGTTTATCAGTATAATTATCTTTATCACTTAGGTAATCTTTATTCAGTTGTTCCAATTCTTTATTTCTAAACTTCACACCACTTTTGTTAGAATCCAATATATTGTAGTTGTTGTTCTTTCTTAATGATTTCTCTTCTTTCAAAGTAATCCTGAAATGATATCCGTACTGTGGATTATTTTCTAACTTTATATTTTTTCCTGATTCCATGTTTAAATCATCAGCGACTGTATTCAATGTTGCCTGGATCCTCTTTTCTTTTTTATCCATACTAACTTTCAATTCTGTAAAATAATTTATTATCACTTTAGTTTATTGTTATTATTTAGTCAATGCATTAGAATTTTAAACTTTTACGATTTACTATCCTAAATTAGAAGTAACAAGAAACTCACCTTTAAGCTCATCATCAAATTCTGGTTTCACCAAAAATTCACCCTTGTCCACGGCTTCTAAATCAATCGTTTGTTCAACCATCTGCTGAAATTTGTCCATTTCTTCAAGAAGCTCTTTTAAAGGATCGATAAACATAGCTTTGATAGCAGCAATGTTTGAAACTGATTCGAGTTTTTCAAGCAGAGTTGGTAGATGTGTCATACATTGGAAAATTCTTTAAAAAAATTAATAAACAATCGTTTTTTAATCGAATGGTTTCTAAATATACAAATAATATCAGAGAAATTTTCGATTGTTAAAAAACTACAGTAATATATGTACTTATAACAGTCGCTGAGTCCAGCTTTCTTTCTTGCAAGCTTCTTGGCCAATTGTTGTAAATCAGGTACACGACGAAGACAGTCTTCACTGACGACCGACCTAAGTTCTGAATCTTCAAGGAAACCAGCGACGACGTCGTGCCTATCCTTGATGAGTGCAAGATCACGCAGAGGTTGCCTAATCCATTGACTGACAAGTCGGTGACCCTGAGCTGTTCTGCATCTGTCCAGAAGACCGAGAATGCTAGAACTAGCGGATACATGCGTTGCATCAGGATGAGGCTCAATGTTCAAGGCGTTTATCGCTGCGGAATCGAGGCGAAGATAACGGGTACGTTCGATCTCTTCGATTGAGTACTGGTGCATATTACTGTCATCCTCTGTTAGCTATAAATAATTTCAGAATTTATTATTATCCTAATACTTCTTTTAGTGATAATTTGTACATAACACTGTAGAATTTACACGTGTCACTTTTACATTGGTGTTTTTTAATTACTGGCAAATTAATGATAATTTTATAAACTAAAGTGTGAATTATTTTACTTAAGTGGTAATAACACAATGTAATTTATCTTGTTGAAATATAATGCGATATAAAATTGAGTAGTATTTGTTAACGTGTGTTGTTATATAAAAAATACCGAAAAACATTTTTACCACCAAATAAAAAGTACTAGACGACGATCATCTATTAAATAAGACATCAAACTTTTTAGAATTACACTCACAGCTAGGTAACTAATCAAAGCAGATGTTGCAGCCATGGCAAGTTTTAAATTGGTTTGAGGTATAGCTTGAGCATTCTCTTGCTGTCCTTTGGCAAATCTGATGATATTATTCAAATCTTGAATCAAGTTGCCTGTACTGAATTCGCTCTTCTTTCTTGGAGTAACGAGAACATTGTTTCGTTCCATCAACTACAATCAATTTACTACGTTAATACCAGATTATGAATTTTTATGATTATATTTTGAGCGAAGGAAGAGTTGATTAAATGGTACCAGCTTAATAGCTTGAAAATCTGGGTTATTTTCGCCCATTTGTAAGATGCACTCCTTAGGCTTGAGCGATACAACGATTGCTTCGAGATCTATGAACGACTCGTCATCTTTGAATTCAGATACCGAAATCAATGATTTGATAGTATCGATACAGCTGAGACCAACTACCTGTAAAATATTTATTTTTTCTCAATATCTGGGGTTAATATTGTCTTCAAAGTGTTCATCTTAATTTACGTTTATATGGATACCTTAGAAGAAGTTTCAGCGCCAAACTTGACCGCCATAACCACAGCCTCGACAGCGACTTCAGCGCTGCTGAACAACAGATCCTCAAATTGAACTAAATTGCCCGGTGAACCTTTGTACTCAAGGACCCAGTCATGACTTTTAGAAGAACCTTGATTTACATACACCTCTACACGATACTGCTTTATCAGTAATAAATCTTTTACGAAACTCTCGAAGTGGTTCTTGTTCAAGATGACGCTGTCAATCTTACTGTGCTCTGTAATGTGATTTTTATATTACTATGCCATAGCTATTTTGTATTATAGACCATTTTTGTTTGAAATTTTTTTTTTTTATTTGAACCGTTTTTTTTCTGTTCAAGTTATTGTTATACGATTTATAGGGATAATACCGATGAGTAGTTTTTTTAATTATTTAAGAAAGAAAATATTGACCTTTCTGTATTAAATATTATGAAACTAAAGGACTTTTCCAATTGTTCTATGCAACATTTTCTAATTGAGAGTTATAAAGATCATATCCTATCGATGAAAATAGTTAAGCCAATTTTTTAAATTAAAAATATTGGACTTTGGACTTCATTTGGAAATATAATAAAAGCTCTGAATTGCTTACTCCACAAGCTATTTGTATTGTCAAATAGTTTTGCAATTTGATCAAGATAGCCTATAACCATAAAGAAATTAAATTTTGAACTGACTGGTCACACGACCTATACCGAATACGATTCATTACATGTTTTCAAGCGGAAAAGTTTTCCCAATGTTAAAATCAAATTGGTGATTCGGAGACGTTAAATTCTTCTCACTGTCTACGTTCAAATAAATTATTATTAACTAAATTTGTATTAACTAATACAATTAGTTGTATGCAATGTTACTTCGAAATAATTAATAAATGGCATAAATAAAATGTGATTCATACGTGGTCCAATTTTCTTGCAAACTGACGTGGTCTTGAAAATTTCTTGAGCGGCGAATAGAGCGTCATTTCCATGTACTGTATAATAATCCAATCTGTTGAAGAACCTTATGGTACTACTCGGTTTCTAGAACATCCAATAACATTGCACATCTCATTACATAAATCGAGTTAATGACTCCTTCAATCTTACATCGAACCTTCTCTCACGGAAGTTGAACGTGTAAAAACAGTAATATTTTATCACGAGCTTCGATCGCGCACCAACGTAGTGCGTAGTCTCGGAAAACAATTATCAGCTAGTAACAAGTATCTGTCGTGGCGTTGCACAAGTCAAAGAGCATTTTACTTTTTGCAGTGTAGACAAACTAATTTAGCGAAATAAAAAGTTTCGTAAAACAATCGCGCGAGGGAGAAAAGTACAAACGAAAAGCACTGATAATGTGGATAATAAATCTCTCGCGCGCAGACGGAGTGGAAAGCACATAAATCAGCGGCAATCTGTAGTTTGAGAAGAGCATTTTGATATAGGTCATTCTCTACTCGCACGAACGTTAAACAATGTCAAGGATGACGGACAACTTATTACCTATTTTTATGCGCATGATTTGAATTCCTGCCGAAGTATTGGGTATGAAACAGTCAACGAAGATTGGTCAGGGAAAAGCAATTTTTCATAAAAAAAAAATATGCTTTCCAATTTATAATCCGAGCTCTTAGGTGCGCATACTTTCTTGCAATAGCCAATCAGTAATTAACGTAAGTCGAGTGAGGAACAATGAAAGTGGGAAGAATATATAATAAGACTGTCGTAACAAGATTTAAATGTTACAATCATTATAACGAGTGCATGTGCGTATAGGGTCACGCATCTATCTCCGACGAGGTCAGTCGTTGTACATGGGAACTTCTCCCATCGGACATTCGGAAAAAAGAACATTGACCGTTCATACAAAGTGCTCCCGCACGTCAACGGTTTGAGACTTTTTTTCGGAAAGCGTCTACGTTGCTATTTGAACGTAATGTCATAAAAAAATTGTATTTTCGCATGTTATTTGCAGTACAGCATGGCTAACGAAGAAAAAAAAGAGTCTTCAGCGATTACTGTATATTAAAAACACTTTCATAAGGGTTGAGATAAAGCATTCCCAGAATTGCGAATCATTTCTATCAAGTGACAGGCGATGATATTTTTTTCATTAATTTATGCGGATCTTGCTGACCGTATTAAACGATAATCTATCATTTATTTGAAAAAAAAAATCCACTGTGGACAATTCTAACGTAGAAACTATTTTTCGGAGTCATCACATACAACGTCACTGAAGATATATATACGATTCCGATAATTCTTTTTTTTTCTCGACAGATGTTCACTTTCGTCATTGGACTACGTGAAATCAGGAAAAAAAAACTTTCAATGCATTTGTCTCATCATCATATTCTTTCGCGCCAAATACATAGCAAACTAAACGAGTCAAGTTTAAATAAAAAAATGTTGTGGGTAAAGTGGGTATTGTTACAGAATACAATGGAGCGTGAACGAGTTCGGGAAAACCAATCGTTCGTTATGAGATTCATTAGACTTTTTTCTTTTACTTCGACGTATCAACTGATTTTGTTTTTTTTTTATATGTGATTTATTCGACGTGTTTGGAAATTTTAATAAACTACAGAAGGAACTTTAGAAATAGATGAAATACCCTCACATACATTGCTCAATCTGATATGCTGTACTTAAAGGACTAGGGTTATTATGAAACTAAGTGATTAAAAAAAAACTGACGATGACTTGATAGATGTATTTTACTATGAATTGTTATATGATTCATCTAATTATGCATGTCACGCAAATTATCTCGAACAGAAGCTTTGACATTACCGTAGTTCACTATCTGGCGCCTAAATATTTAATGAGGATTCTCGTATTAAAATTGAAATTATATCCAAAAGTGGCGTTGAAATTCAATGATGTTTTATTCTTCATAATTAAATATAAAAAATGTGTATAACCTACTGGTTTAGTTGTAATGAGTGCGTAATAACAAAGTCAAAGGTCGCATCCCTGAGGGAAGGTCCGATCGACATGCGAAAGTAGGGTATCGCCAGACTGTCAGCTTGTAGTGAAAAAGAAAAGAAATAGAGATAATTCTTTTCTCGAAACTATATTAAAGACTCATGTGTATATCTGGAGTAGATTTTTCTCGTTTGTATAGCGCGCTATCAGTTGTATATTTTCTCCGCGCACTCTTTTTTCATTCAAACGACATTTCACTTTTCATCTTGTGTAAGCAAGAAAGACGTGTAAGTGTATTATAAACAAGACGTTGAGCACAAAAGACCATTCGACATATCCATCTTCAGCCATATGAATCAGCATAAATACATTTTTCTGATATTTTTCTGTCGATTCTCTGCTCAGGTAGTCAAGTACCCGCGCGCACAAAAAGGGGATTTCCAGAAAAGGCGCGACGATGCTTCTGCATATGAAAAAAAGAAAAGCAACGGTCGTATAGTAACAACACAGCCAGCTTGCAGCTGATCTCGATGATTATGCAATTTCTGGAAATCCGCTTATAGACCTTATTTAGATGAGAGCACGAGTGTGTGTCACACTGGTCGGCCGAGAGTTATGATGCACTCGCCTTTGTCGTTTCTTACCAAATATAAGAGGACGACTGGTTTTCTCGCTCTTTTAATCAAGTTTGCATAGAGTTCTTTCAAGGCGAATAAACACCCGCGTTACGATGGCTCATTCATGAGTTGGGATATTGGAAATGCGACTGCGAGACTTTTCCTTGCTGTAATTTACACGATTTATTGGTCTTTTTTTATACCAAAACAAATAATTCTTGAATTTTATTTTTCGGATTCAATTCAAGTAGCTTACTCGACTTTTTAAGTTAATTCAAACGGCCAAAACATATGTACGATAAAGCTTCATATATGATACGAGACATTGCTGCGTTAATTATTGAGGCCATCAATTTATGTTGAAAAGGCGATAAATTGATAATTCTTTTTGTTTGATACAGTTTTTAATGCGCCTCTGTTTTAAATTTAACTCTTAAGAGTAGTGTAAATTTATTTTGATTCACATTAAGTTGTTTGTTGACTTGGTATGCACATGATTGTTTCTGCTCATGTTTTTTTCCAATAATTGCAATAAATATAACCAATTCAGTAGCGCTTACAAATGAAAATTGAATTTCAAATTTTTTAATTGAAATTTCAAATAAAAAAATAAGCACTTTACAATCATTTCAATCAGCAATAATGACGATGTATAAAAATATTAATAATGTGTTGCTTGAAGAAAATGGAGACTTGACAAAATATCATTCTGAATAATACCTTATTTTTGCATTCATAGACTGCAAACTTGTAGGCTGTACTTGAATGATATTTATCAATACTGACATATGTGGATTGAAAACGCTAAGACTAAATTTCACTAAGATTTTTCTAGTTGTAACATTTCGTCACGACTGACCCAAAAGATGATAGATAAATTTAATAAATGCACGCCTATAAAAAGTATGGCTGTAATCATTGTATGGCATGCCCATTGTATCATTCAAATGTTACTCCAGCATAGATTGTTGGAATTAGTACATAGAAATGTATTTAATAAATTTTTTCTTATTAGAAGAGAAAATTACATAATATTGGCCGATAAAATTTGGTAAATCCCTCTTTTTTTAAAAGATCGATGGCCTGGTGAGTGAAGCCATTTTATTTATGATCTAATTGGCTGAAAGAAGTAATGTGGGTTACTGTTATGGGATAGCATGTAACACACGTCTATTAGGTAGATAGTGTTATTTAACACAGCAGCTGATATGTTCAGCAAATTTACGTTAATTGATTTGATGATTAAGGAATTTAACATTGATATATTATCAATTAGCTAATTTAATGTAAACTAAACCAAAGGATTCCCTGGTCACATAAGTTTATTGGATATATTTGTTATAAACTTTAGGTTTGACTAAATGTTAGGAGCAATGAAAAGAATTATAAATTGATGGATTAATTGCTATAAAATACTGTGAAGTAATGACGGCTTATTCAGTATAGTATTTTGTTAGAAAATTTTCTAAATTATTAAAGTTACAAATGTAAAATAAACTTTAAAATTGTCACGGCTGAACAGTTGAAAATTGACAATTATGTTGATTGTTGAAATTGAAAATTTTGAAAATTATTTTAAGTCAATAGTACTGACTAACCTAAAATTTATTTACAGCATTTTTGTTAAAATAATAAATCTATTAATATAGAGATAATCTACAAAAAGTTTGAGATCATATAGGCGAATATATTAAAAAGCAAAGAAAATTAAATCATCAGGCGCAGCTAACAAATCGATTTACGAAGGTAAAAAATTAGAAACAAACTATGTTCGCTGTCCATAATCTATAGCTAAACATTTTACAAGTTACTATGTTATTAAATTTGAAATGGTTCTTGGAATATCAATGTATTTGAGTAATTATCAACTAATTAATATCAATGAATGTTAAGCATTTCAAATCCTAGAATTATTTTAAGTATTATGTATTTGAGAATTTTGAATTTTCAGGATAATGGATTTTATTTTATTCAAGTATCTAACTGCATATTAATTATATAAATAAGAAATAAATGCGCGAAGTACGCTTGACGAAATTAGTAAGCGAATAACAAATAAGCAAATCGAATAATCAATAGTATAGGTCAAAAGTTACCGATTAAAAAAGTAAAATGTGAATGTGAAAAATCATACTTATTTCTATCTCAAATACGATTAATCCAAGAAGGTAATTCTTAAATTATTTGCTTTCATTGAAGATGGAGTATCGTTACAAACGAACGAATTCAAATGGCCAGAGCGACCAGAGTGTATATTGTTCGCGGAAACATTTGAGTATTTAATCAAGAATAAATTTCATTGTGTCGAAGCTCGGTCATTTTAGAATGATGAATAGAGTCCATCAAATGGTGCTGACTATTTTCTAAAATGTTTTTAGATACATCAATGCGATAGATGGTTACAATGAAAAATAATAGTATCATTCGATAAACTAGTCATACCATTTTTTTTTCATTGATTTATTCTTTGGCAGAATAATGTAAGTATTTTTACAATACTAATTTTCATACCATAAATATTAATAATAGGATAATCAAGAGAAATTTCTCTTTCTGTAGAATTTCAGATTATTGTAATAAATAAATAAATAATTTACAACCGCCCGGATAAATTGTAAAAGATAAAACTTAATTTATATAAAAGAAACTATTATTTTTTCCCTTACCATTATCCGATAATTGTGAAATAACTATACTGTTTCACCCTTTTTAACTCTTGTTTCACAAATAAGACAGCGAAAAAAATAGTCTTGATATATAAATTTGTTTTAGACTTTGAATGTCGTACAAGAAACAATCGACACTACGCATGTTAATTAGAATCTTATAAAAATGAATGTGAATTTGGAGAATAAAGAATGATGGCAATTTAAAACATGAACTTATCGCACGAGTGAAAAAAGAAACTAACTTATAGCGCTTATCGAGTCGAGTTGCGGAGCAAAGAAGCGACGGGGGAGGGTAGCTTGGCGTTGGCGGCGTCTGCTTTTCCGTGGAGGAGTAACACTTTCGTAGAAATCCACGCGACGATAAACAAACGAGAGCGACAAACAGGCAGAGAGCGACTTACGCATCGAAAGAGGGAAAACCTTCAATGTCAGGGCAGAGAACGAAGAGGGGGGTTGAGAGCATAAATGATCTGCTGCTGACCGCTTGACTTACATGTATGCGGCGATCGCAGTTTGAGTATAGTAGTGCCACTGCCGCATAGCTGCGCGCAACCTTACCTTATTTGCTCGTCGCGTTTCTCCCCAACTTCAGCAACGACTTAAGCCCTCCTCAATATAAGGTAATAATCATGTATTTCATTCGTAATTTTTTCCAAAGGTTGTGTGTGTGTGTGACGAGTTAACATGTCAATATTACGTGATTCGATTGAGCTTTCGTAATGTAGTTAGTTAGTAATACGATTTCGTCCGTCGTTATATGTATATAAATGTGACGTTATGTTTAGATATTCGCCATTTTTTGCAAAATGTTTTTTTATCTCTGATGGAAAAGATTTTCTCGTTACGGTTAATATTTTTCTACCAATGTGCGAGCTTCAGGAAGCCATGGTCGACTGAGCTTTCGTGAGAATTATTTAAAATTATATAAAATTTGTAAGTTGGATATAGTTTTCATCTGTCTGCTGGTTTCCAATTTACCTCACATCTATTGCTTTTTACAAAATTGTAGTTTGTAAAATTTCTTTAAACATTCTATTAAATTTAAAGAACGAAAGTATGCAAAATGTTCACCCTCGCAAATGTTCATATTAATATAATTGCTTTTTTATTAATGTAATTACGATTCGGTTCGTCATAAATATTTCCAATCACTGTTTTGTATTGTTGATGAAAAGATGAAACGGCAATCCAAAAATAAACTTCTATAACAGTGTAGTTTGAAATTGTAAATTACGACGAAAAATCAATTTCGCAAAAATAACATGTTAATCATAACACGTGCGTATATTGGTAAAAATAAAAGTAGGATTAAATAAACTACGAGCGACAATACATAAAGTTATTCACGCGGTGAAAAATAAGAATGAGAAACGGTCTCGTTGATCGTTCTAAAATTATGCTATAGATGAGCGTGATGTTTTTGTAAATGGGTCAGGAAAGTGGCGAACGAAGGAGTGCGATAAAGTCTAGTATTAATCTCCGTCTCTCCCGGAGAAGAGAAAAAAGCTCATGCCGGAGACCGTGGCATTGCGAAAGCTCCGAAGCTTGCGAAACCACGCTACACTATCACATTCTGCGCGCGTGGTGAATTATTGAATAGCTCGAGATAAAGGTTGCTGTGCGCTAATTGAATTATTTTGCCGATGAAAATGATTCGCAACTTTGCCCCTTCGGAGGAACATCGAAAGATGCTTAATCCAACGGTAACCGAAAATTTTGATTGATTTCAGAGAGCCCGTCGAAACAAAGAGATGTTCGCCCTGGTGGTAGTCACCACCCTGGTGAGCCAATCGCTGGCCGCGCCATCAAACTGCGGCACCGCATCGGTATGTGATTCGTATTCCGGTCGTCAAACACTGCCCGGATCCAGTCAAACTAAAGGTGGCTACAGTAGCTATTCAAAATGGGGCAGCAGTAGCAGTTGGTCATCAGGACCCTTAGTGGGTGGCACGTCCAGTCCATCGGCCAATCTCGAAACGTTCGACGACGGCAACTTGATCGGCACAGGAGGCCTAAACCGCCCGGGTAGCTGGAGGGACGAGAAAAGTTACGTAACCGACGACCGTAAAGGCAAGATCGACTACAAGGCTAGTCAAGAAATCACCGGCAACAGCTACAGAAAATCAGCCGAGTCGAGTTACAGCTGGGGTACCCACGACTACAATGAGCCCAAAGCCAACAGTCAGTTTATCCACAGTAGTCAATTCGATGGACAGATCCGAGACGTGGAGAGGGACATGGAAGCGTTCATCGGTCAATTCTCATTCGGCGCTGGCAGCACCGTCAACCAGCAAACGTTGGAAAGTTTCAGAAGACAAGCGGATCAGCTGAGCAGACAAGTGACCGGCTTGTGCGACCAGGCTGACGTGAACAGCGAGCAGTATCGCCAATTGCAACGTATCAAGCAAAACTTCGACCGACAGGTGCAGTTGAAACAACAAGAGATCATGAACTTCGCGGTCGAGAGTAAGCACAGCATCAGCGGTAGCATTGGCAGCAGTAGCGTGGGTGCTTCATACGAGCAACCACAGCCGCACTACTCGACTGTACCGGTTTACCCGGAGCCAATTTACCAAGCACCCGTCACGGCCAATCCAGTGGAGATACAACGAGAAAGGGTCCAACAAGAGTGCAATAAGTTGCGCGCCAACATCGACAGCTTCTACAATAACTTCGTCACCGCAGACTACAGCACCTACGATCGCGAGGATACTCTGACGACATTCCGAGCACAGGTGAACGCTCAAGTTGCGACCATCAATCAGCAAATCGCCAATCTAAGGGTGGAGAGCGCCAACTTCGAGTACCAGCGTAATTTCGTCGAGGAGATGAACAGAACGTTCGAGTCGTACGTGACCAACTTGAATCAGCACATCAAGGACTGCGAGGACAGAATTCGCGCCGAGCAGCTTAGGTTAATCAAGGAGCAAGAGAGAATACAAAAAGAGAAACTAGAGCGAGAGAGATTGGAAGCCGACCGTAGGTATCAGGAGAATTTGCTGAAAATTCAAGAGCAGCACGACCGAGAGCAAAGGGAATTCGAAGAGCGCCAGAGACTCGAGGTTGAGAGGTTGGAAAAAAAGAAGATCGAAGCTGAATTGGAGTGGGAGCGCAAGAAAGAGAAGGCCGAGAGAGTGACGTACCAACCACGACCACAGCCATCCTTGCCGCAAGTTCAACTTCCAGTACAAACCGTCGCGCCCAATGTCGAGGTTGCACAGAATGGCGGCTGGTCGCACAAAGTCGACGTGCATATCAGCGGCTCACAACACCACGAGGTTTCGGGCAGCGGAGTCGGCGGAGCCAGCAGCGGGCAGCAGATCCAGTATCAACCGGTTCAAATTGGACCTCACATCGATTTCACCGAAATCCAGAACAAAATGAGCCAGGAATTCAACCGACTGGTCAGCAGCGTCAACAGGCTGTCCAGTTACAGCATGCAACTTACGGAGAGCAATCAGCAAACCATCAATGCTCAATTCCAACGCGATGCTAACGAGCTGCGTCGTAAAATTGAGAACTTGTGCCAGGAGAGTAGTCAGTACCACAACGATCACGTCTTCAAAGCTGCCGAGGATTTGAAACGAACTCTCGAACAATCCTTCCAATACTTCCAGCAGGAGTTAGCCAAAGTATCGTCGTCGGGTAGTTTCCAAGACAGCTCGTCTTGGAACACTGGTAGCCGGTACACCAATGTCAGACAACCACACATCAGCAATGTTGAGATTAATCACAGTAAATCGACTGAATTCGAACTCTCTCACGGAGGTCGCGGAAATGCCGGTCAACAGCAGGTGGTCTGCGTCGAACAGTACGCCAATCAACCATGTATCGAGCCTGTTCGAGTACGCCGCGATGCTGGAGGTAATTAAGGGAGGGATCCCGCATACACAAATTTTACGACTGTCGAGATAGTCACGATTTATTTGTAAATTTATTTGTTAACTTGTAAGCTAACTTAACTTTAATATGAAAACTACTGCCAATTCTTTTCTTGAGTATTTTTCCTCATCTAATATTTTTTTTGTAATAACCTATAGTTCGATCAAACGCGTTTTTATTGTCATTACATTTTTTACTCGACTTAGCTTAGAAAGAAATATACATCGACATGTAACTGTTTTTTATTAATAAAATGCGTTAATCAATCATTTTACATGGCGTCATTCCTTTCTTTTTTATGTACCATCTTCCGTTATTAATTTTCAACCTTTCAGGTGCTCACTTCCTATTTAATTTTATTATTTTTGTTTGACGAAATTCAATCATTTCAATTATCAAATAAATTTTTTATCCCTTATATCATATGGCTAACATTGTAGTGGAAATCACAATGTATCATCATCAAAGTATTGTCACAGATCGAAAGGCAAGTTTTTTTTAAATTATTTTTTATGATTGTAAGTAAACAGTCAATTCATGTCTTTTAGCAGAAGATAACTTGTGTTTTCCATCTTTCCAGATATTATAAAAAATAAAAACAATCATTCGTAACATGCATTATCAACGTAATTCTAATCATCAAGTGCTTTTTGGCATGAATTGACGGAAATTTAATCGTTTGATTTCGTATCATTTCAAAGAAGCTTCATCCACATATAGTTTTATGAAAATACCAAATCTAATCTTTTTATAGGATACTACTCTCAACAACATGAATTCAACTTAGGCGAGTACACACCACGACAACGTCGTAATCAGAGACGTCGTTATGAATTTGAAACTGAAGACTATTCGCAGCAACACGTTGATCCACAAATTGAACTCAGCGATTATTCTCAACGTATGACACATACAGAATTGCCTCGCAATCGTCAAGAATCCACCCGAAGTGACAGCTACAGAAAACGAGATGACACGCAAAATCAAAACTCACAGCTTGACGAATTGACGCGACAAGAGAATACTGATCATCATTCGCAAAGAAGTCACTACAGTCCCTACAGTTCGAGATATGGTCAGCGAGAGACTGAGGATTTATCTCAACAGTACGTTCAGAGTGGTCAAAATGAAGATTTACAATTATATCAGAAACCACGTAATGGAAGGGCTCAGGATGAGTCTCAGCAGTATGTTCAGAGCGGTAAAAACGAAGATTTACAATCGTATCAAAAGCCACAAAGAGAAAGAATCCAAGTCACACCGAAATCCGAAAGGTTGGAAGACTTTAGTGAGGAAAGTCTTTATGTGGATAATCGTCAACGCGGATCATTACAAAAGACTCAACAGATTGAAGCTGCTAACTTAGAACGTGAGCAATCTTCAGCTTCTACAGGAAGAACGTTGCTTGATCAGAGACTAGTAGTTGACGAGCCACAGGATATTGTGAAACCCATTATCAAACCCGGAAAACTAGGATCTACACGTGACGTTAACGATTATAGTCTTGAGAATAGTGGCTTCTATGATAATCCCAAATCCCAAGAAAACTCAAAGTTAAATGACAATCTGCAGCAGAGTTACCAAAGACCAAGTCAAACGCAAACCATTGAAACGCATGGAAAATTGAGTGACGAAACACAAAAGCCACGTGGTTCGTCAATTAGCCAGCTCACATTAGAGAATAGTGGTTTTGACGATTATCGAAAGCAAAATGAACAATACGCGATAACTGAAAGTCCCACTGAACAAGTCACGACATTCAAAAATCTGGTAGGTTCTCAACAATCCGAAAACTTGACGTTACAGAAAAGTGGTTTTTTTGAGAATCCTGGACAAGATCCAAATTTAGAAATGATGGAATCATCAGAATCTACAAGAAATAAAGATTTTGTCCAAAATGACGATAGGCAACAATCGTTGGTAGGTATGAATTTCGGTTCGGAAATTCAGCTGGGAAGAAGATCAAATTTGAGACCTGAAAGAATCAACTCACATATTGGTGATACACAACAAAATCTAATGGTACCAGCCCTTTCGACGGAAAATAGCAAGTATAGTCAGAGAGAACATCCAATGGAACAGTACATACACAATTTACCTCAACAGAATAGACCACCATCTCCCAATATCATTGATCTTGAACCTGATGAACCTAATAGTCAATTTGTAAATAATAACAGTCAAGATAAAGTTCTTTCGTCAGAAGATCAACAATCTTTAGTAACAGCATATCCTCCAGTCAAACCAGCTCCTAAACCAATCCCAAGATACACTAGACCATGGCAAGTAAGTCAAAATAGAAATGAGCCACATAAATCAGAAAACGAATATTCGAAGCAGTCTGGAAATCAGAACACAGTCTTAAAATCTAGCAGTTCTCAAAATTCAAATGAATCTAACAAACCACATGGACTTTATAGAGGTGATTTGCCAGGCCATTCAGAGTCTACAGCTGAACAACCTGTGTACATTCCACCACAAAGTACACCTGTCCCTAATGTAAAACTAAATACTACAGCTCCAATCACTGAGACACCTGGACAACCTGTTGAACCTGAAGTTTTAACACAAAAAACTCCATGCATAACCGATAGATGTCAAGATAATCAGTTTGATGAATTAAGTCAGACCTATTACTACCGTCAACAACATCAACAAAACATAAGATTCTCTCAGCAATCTATTCATAGTAATCAGCAAAATCTGGAAATGTTAGGCCATCAACATCAAAATCCTTTTTACCAACAAAACAGTCAGGTTCAATTTGATAAACAAATGAATCCAGTTAATTATGCTCCAAAAAATGGATATACTTTTAGGTACAGAGATCAACAAACAAATCATTTAAGTATTAATCATCAAGGATCAACTCATTCTTTTGCAACAGAGCCTACATCACTTGAGCAAAGAGATTTATTAGGATTGAATGAACAAGAAAGCTTGCATCAACAGGTCCAAAACCCATCTCTTGGCAATTCATCTGGTCAAAAAGAGTTTAGCCAACATCACAGTACTTTTACTTATAATCAACATAGTAATTACTCACCAGATGATGGATTTCCAGCAAGAGTTATACCGTTAGGTAAGACACAATCTAAAGATATATGGGCTGATATAGAATCGACTACACGACCAACATTTTGGAATAGAGTAGGTCATAAGATATCAAATGCATACGATAAAGTCAAAGAGAGTGCAAGGATAGTCTATGGTTGAGATAACTGCTTAATACCTTTGAAAAGATAACAAAGTTGCACTCTCAATGTATTTGTAATTTATCAGCTTTGCAATTTGAATGCGTATCTTTATTCATTTTCTTGTGTTTGTAACAAATCAAGGATGCTTTGACTTATCAAAATTGTAACTAATGACCTAATTTAATTTGATGATAAAAATTGTTATTTTAATGCTAAATTTGTTAGAAACTTGTACATGAACTCTATTATTGTTTTTCATGTGCATAGTGTTAATCATAAAATTCTTATATATGAAAATCACAAATAGTTTTAATGTATTCACTTATTACATACCTCTGGCAAGCTTTTGTAAAATCGAACAAATGTCTGTTGAGCTGTTACATCTAAAATTTAATAAATCAAATCATAAAATAAAAATTTTTTATTTTAAATATATATATTCGAAGGTTATATATAAATACACATACCCATATCGAGTTGTTTATTCGGTTGGACAGCCATTTTTACTTTGATATATTTAAGCTGTGATCACCTTACTAAATAAAAACTTTAAATTTATATCAAAACTATTATCTATATTTGTAGAATACTAATTTTCCCAGAATGATAAAATCCGAACGTATCTTCTTTGTTAGCTTCCTAATCATGGGGTTTCTATCTGGTTTCTATATTCTGTTTTTCCCGCGCACGGTGGTAAGGTCACTTTACTTTATTTTACTGTAGATGGCGGTCGATTTTTATTTCTATCTATAGTAACTATATTATTATGCTATGTCAATAACCAAACGCGCATGACGCGTATATTGTAATGGAGTCACACTTACAGTTACACACGTGTTTCTGACTTTTTACTTTTTAGTTTTAGCATTACTAACAAGAAATGTGTTAAATAATTGTTAATTTTTTTATCAAATTTATTTAGGTGTTCTAGTTGAAAATAGTTATACAATAAAAATGTCTAAAAAAAAAAAACGTGAAAGTGAATTTCAAAGAGTTTCGAAAAATAACAACCTTAAAAATGTAAACAGTTCAGTTAAATCTACAATCAACAAATTTGGTGGCGTATCAAAAATTAAAAACAAACAAAATATAAAGGATTCAGTCTTATTACAATCCAAAAAAAAACAAAACATCAAAGACAATGTGAAAACTAAATTCAAATTAAAAAATCAATCGAAAATTAAAAACATTCACAAACTAAAATATGATAATCACAAGAATTTTAACGCAAATGCCAATGTAGGTAAACCCAACAACCAGTTGAAAAAGTTAAATATACGTAAGATCAATGCTCTATTAAATACCAAGCAAGTAGAAGATGAGAAGAAGCAACAAAAGAAGTCTGTAACAACTCTCTCATTAAAAGAACGAATGTTGGCTCAACTAAGATCTTCTCGATTTAGATTTTTGAATGAGCAGATGTACAGTACAGAGAGTTCAGCCAGTCAAAAATATTTTCAAGAAGATCCTAATGCTTTTTATGCATACCATGAAGGATACAAACAACAAGTGAAAAAATGGCCTGTAAATCCTATAGATATTATAATTGAATCTGTTATAAAGATGTAAGTTGAAAATGAAAATAAAAATTAATAAGAAAATTCTTGTTCAAACACTTATGAAAATTAATTAAATCTAATTGTAGGCCAAAAGACCATGTAATAGCAGATTTTGGTTGTGGCGAGGCAAAACTTGCAGATTCTGTTCCTCAGACTGTTCATTCATTTGATTTAGTAGCTATTAATGAGAAAGTTAAGGCTTGTGATATGGCTCACACACCACTTTTAACTGGACGTGTTAATGTTGTGGTATTTTGCCTTTCTCTCATGGGTTCAAATCTTGGTGACTATTTGTTTGAAGCGAATCGAGTTCTAGCAATGAAGTAAGTTTTAGACTAATATTGTCATTGTAATATCATTTGAAAGCAAATAGTAGTAATATTGTATGGTTTTTCAGTGGTACTCTTAAAATAGCAGAAGTAGAAAGCAGATTTGACAAAGTAGATGAATTCATTAAATTAATGACACAATATGGATTTGTCAATACATGGAAAGATTTATCTTATAATTTATTCTATTTTATGGATTTCAAAAAAACAAAAGATGTTTTAAAAAAAGATGCTAAAAAGCTTCCTTCTTTAACTTTGAAACCTTGTTTATACAAAAAGAGATGAAGTATGAAAGGAATTTTTTTTCATGAATTATAAAATGAAAACTAAAATAAAAATTTTTATTGTAACAGTATATATATGTATGAATACAAATGATTTTGTTGATTTTTGAAATAAAAATACTTTAAAATTATATAATTGTATCATAAGTATCAATTTCAATCATTCTAAACTAATGAAAGCTTGAAATTGTTATATGACAATTTGATTTTTGTGCTAGCTTGAACTACACATCATAATTTTTGAATGTGTTGATCTGATAAGCACAACAATTCAGTTTTTAGGATTTTTTTAAAATTTATGAAAATACCAATTGATTTAATAAATCAAATATTAAACTTTTATTATGTATACAAAAAAAATCGAATTTCACATTACTGTAATGCGGCATTTTTACCATCATATGAAACAAAAAGAGAATTACAGCTTTGATAAATAAATAAATTCTGTAAATAATAATCAGAAATATAGTATAATTGTTTCAACTAATATCACAGTCATATAGTACGTTTCACTAGTCGTCATAATGTTGTAAACAAAAAGTTTTAAATTTCCAAACCATCCAGAACATCTTCTACTTCATCTCGTAAATTTTCAACTTTCTTTAGCACCAGCAACTGCAATCAAATCATATTTATCAATAATTCTATAAAATAAATGTAAATTTAAATATATCAACGTACCTTAGCTGCAGAAATAATTTGTGAAACAATTCTTCTCGGTAAATGATTGATTTTATCCACCATCTCGTCTGGTTTCGCTTTTGCAACTGACTGTAAAGTTTGATATCCCGCTCTGTACAATTGCATGGCTCGTCCCTTCAGTGAAATATTTAATTATCAATATGCAAAAATATATAATAGGATAGCAAGGTAAAATAAAATGCTTACAATTTTAACAAACGGTAATTCCATTAATGGTTCCAGTTCAGCAGCACAACAGTACGTTAACTTTTGACCAAACTCGGATAATAGATTCTTGAATACCCAAAATTCATCCAATTCTTGACAAAATCGAACGATCGATGAAGAAAAAGAAGATGCAGAACTTAACAAATTTTGTATTGTTCCACGATCGACTTGATATTTTGCAGCTACCTTATGAATCGGTCGTCGATGCCACAGTTCGTGTAACATGAGAGTTACGTAGAATTTGTTTATTACAGCAGTACTAACAGACTGAAAATTTTAAATTATGATAAAGTAATACACACACACACACACACACACACACACACACACACACACACACACACACACACACACACACACACACACACACACACACACACACACACACACACACACACACACACACATACACACACACACACACACACATACACACACACACACACACAAAATCGAATTAAATGTCAATTTACGGAAGTAGGCATTCCTGCGCGTATTCTGATCACAGTTGCTTCGTTTATACCGAGCAATTTAGCAACCTGCATTTCATTTGGTGGTAATTTCATAATCTACAAAAAAAATTAGTTATACTAAACCATTTAATCTAAGGTCTATTTTTAAAAGAAATCTAAGTAATTACTTACAGTATCATAATAAACATCGCCAACCGGCTTTACTTGACTAACTTTCTCGAAAGGAGTAATTAAATATAGAAGATGTAAGTAATTGTCAAGAATTAAATTTTGTTGAGCTATCTTTAAATCTTCATATAATTTTTCAGCAGTATGTAAATCGATAGATCCTAAAACACAAAGGCATAGTTTAATACATAAGCGTGCATACATTTTATAATTTAATAAAAGTACCCTTCATTGCTGCTTTTCCAAGAGGACAAAGTTCTAGCTCTGTACTATTAGTCAAGTAGATGATATTTTTCGTTTTCTTTACAGATTTTTTCGTTTCTTCGTCAACTTCGTTTTGTTCAATCTGTGTAGGAAATCTAACACTGGTATCTAGATTTGAATCTGATTTTATTGAATTTGTTTCTTTCAACCTAAGAATATGGTTTCTTAGTAATGATACTAGAGCTTTATCGGTAACTTCTTTGACTGAAACGCAAAGTCGGTCTTCTTGTACTTTTAATAGCGTTTTTGACATAATTTTGTGTACATCGGCTCTTGTTGAAGCTACAGATAAAAGAACTGAGCTGATAATCAAATTATTGATTCCGCGATCTTTCTCTTCGTGTAGCGAGCTTATAGAGTCATCCATTTTTGAGCTCAATAATTCCCGCACCTGTAAATCGCACAACGAAGTTTCAGTTCTAAACTGCTTTGGTAATTTTCGTATACGTATAATTTTGACAAACTGACCTTCTCAGCATCAGTTTTGGCGCATATTAAAATGCTCTCTCCTATTTCCCCTAAACCAGCTCTGCCTGCTCTGCCAATCATTTGTTTATACCGACTAATATTTAGAAATTGTGTGCCAACGTAAGGAGATCGTATAATTACCTAAAAAATAATTAAATAGTTTTTGCCTATAACGATTATAAATTGACAACACAGTTTCATTTCTAGTAAATAAGAAAAAGATAAGAAAACTACTTGCCCTTCTGGCTGGGAGATTAACTCCTGCTGCCAAAGTTGATGTGCAACATATAACGCACAAGACACCGGATTTAAAAGCTTCCTCAATTAATCTTCTTTCTTCAGCAGTTAATCCTGAGTGATGATAAGCAAATCCAAATGGAATAGTTTTCCTTAGAATCGGGCAAATCTGTCCATTTTCAGTTATCAGAGCATTTAGAAGTATAAGTTTTTCCTCCGCTTTGTGTTTTTGCATTTCCGTTTTTTTTCTATATTGAAGAGAAAATATTTTTAAGAAAATAGAAGGTAATCTGTATAAAATAAGTAATTCACGTAAAATGAATAAAAATATACCCTTGCAGTACATCAACAAGAAGTACAGCTACATTTTCACAATTCTTTTTTGTAGAACAGAATACTAAACAAGAATCTTTTGGTGCCACTTCCATAACTAAACCACCCAAAAAATCTTTGTCTCTTTCGCGAGCTTTTTCGGTGTACTACAATAGTTATATTGTTTAATAATTGTTGAGATATTGCAAAATTAATAAGAATAAAATAGTATACCTGATAATTAATTATTTTCTCTCTAGTAAACATGTTTTCTTCTCTTTTATCGATGAGCCATTTAGAATTTCCACACTGCACATACTCTTTGATCTCAATTGGTCTGAAATTTTGCTGATATAATTCTGCATTTAAAAATCTAGCTATCTCTCTTAAATTGCCAATTGTTGCACTCATCCCAATTATTTGAATATTTCCTGTTTAAAAATAATATATAACTTAAGTTTTGTAAAGATACAATTTTTAAAATTGATAAAATGCAATATCTGTTCAAAAATATTGATACAACTCTTACGTTCAGAGAATATTACTTTTGTTAATAAACATTCCAAAGTAGCTCCTCTTCCACCGTTTTCTCCTAATAAGTGTAACTCATCAACTACAATAATTCCTAACTAAAAGACATAAAGCATCTTAAGTATAGTAATAAAAAAAATTATTAAAAATTAATTTGACTCACCTCATCTAGTCGATTCAATTCAATAAGACAATTAATAATTGTTTGTGCTTTTTCTATAGTACACACGTATAACGAATTTTTTTTTCTTCTTTTCCTTGGTGGGAAATGACCTTTTTCCGCTGCATATTCTTCAATGAGAAAATTGAGTTCTAAGGCAAAAGGTGTCATTGATTGAATCTACAATAAATAAATTATATAAAGACATGCATATAGATAATTGAACAAACTGTAGAAATTTTTACTTTTTCTTGGACTAATGCTACAAATGGAAGAATAAACATTGCATTTTTCTTTCTACACACAATTTCTTTAAGCATTAATATTTCTGCCACAAGAGTTTTACCACCACTTGTTGGTAAAGCATAAATGAGATTCTTTCTTTCACCTATTGCAAGCATGTTTAGACATTTTTCCTGCCAATCTAAAAGAAATAATTACACATATAAAACATTTTTTATAATAATCATTCATAAAATATTAAAGTTTAATATACATATTAATATACATAAACTGTTAAAGTTAAAATATACATACCATAAAGTTTGTCTATTCCTTTGTAATTTCTAATAAGATTCTTTACTTTATCAGGCAACCCAAAAAACGATTTTGGAGTAACATCATTCTTACTTAAATCTATATGTCTTCTTTTAACTGAATTTTCTTGATTTGTATGTGTTAGAAATAATTTTTTCTTTAATAAACTAACAGAGTTGTTCAAATCAGCAGTAATGTTCCGACTCAAAATATCACTATTTATTTGACTTGCAGTATCTGCAAATCTAGATTTATCTAAATCATCATTGAACCAAGATTCATTGATAGATTCATTTTCTATGCAATTTTGGTTGACTTTGTCATTATCAATTTCCAAATTATTCAAAATAGTTTCATCAAGAGATAGTAAAGACTTCATAGGATTATCATAACTTGCTTCTGTCGAGTTTGAATTAGATCTTATTATTTCAGATTCTAGAGTCAGAGGAAAATCTGACCTGCTCCAAACTTCTTTATAGTCAGAAAAGAACTGATCATTATACATAGCCATTGTTTAAACAATTAAATTCCAGTTTATTTCTCTTTTAAGGCAATTTTTTCTGTTACACGGATAATATTTATTGCACATTAAATTTTAGTCCTCATGAAAGACCTCGGAAAACAAAATTGCTCTCTTCAACACTGTCACTGTAACACTGTAGCGTTTCAAAGTCAAAGATTTAGCCGTTATACATGATATCCGTCGCGCACGGCGCGGGATAAATACGAAAGCTAAACTCTGAAGGGTTAGGTTTGAGTAAATGTCAGTCACGTATGTAACATTTTTATTTTTGAATTTGTCGTCGAAATTATTTTTATATTTTTGTAGTTTAAAAAATTACAATATTGTTGTACTTGAATAAAAAAATCGATTTATTTTGCTATTGCAACAAATACAGATTTATTTATATGTCACAGACAAATTACTACAGAGATGATTAATCTATAAATATTTAAAATAATTAAATAGCAATTTCAATAACATTCTTGAAAACATTCATACATATTTACAATATCTACAAATATAATAAAAGTGCTCCATTCATTTTCATTTACAAAGGTATAACAGTATAAAATAAAACAGTAACTTTGAAAAAGTTACTGTTTTATTTTACTTTAAAACAGTAACTTTTTTAAAGTTACTGTTTTATTTTATATTGTTGTCGTCAATTAAAATAAAAAAACATATACAGTATGAAATTGCAAATATCTGATTAATCAAAGTTACATAGTAATTGTAGTATTACAAAAAGTTTAACAAATACTGGATCAATAGCATGTCTGTAACTGATTAATAAATTATAATCAATTATCGTAGAAGACCTATTGATCTCAGACAAATTTGTGCAGCTTCTGCTTTAGCCAATTTTTTATTGGGACTTGCTACTGCTGGCTTATATTCAATGCCATTAACTCTAACCTGAAATGTATAAAATAATCATGAAAAGATAAAAGTTTTTTTTAATTAAAACATTTGATCACAGAAAAAAAGACTTGCCTTAAATAAGAAATTTTTTTTATGATCTGGTCCACATTCAAAGCATAATTCATATGTAGGTGCTCCATATTTACGTTTAGAACAGTATTCTCCAAGTAAAGAAACTGGATGTTTACCTGAAAACGTAAATTAATATATGATATATATACACACACGCATACAGTGTAAATGAACTTGTAATTTTTTTACATTATGTAGTACGAATATAAAGTATTAATTGAATGATGTACAGAAAAGATTAATGTCTTATAGTCAATAGTTTTTTCTTGCTTTAATTATTATCCAACATGACATTTTTTTAGACAAACATTCTCTTTTTTTTAATATAATTTTTTCCAATTTTGACAATGGATCTAAACATACCATCTAAATTTTTAACTGTAGGTGCAGAAGATCTTGAAGTTCTTCCCATTCTAGGTGCTACAATATCTTGATCAGAAACCAGACCTCTTTTGTCAAGTTTGACCTCCAGTTGTAAAGGTTCCAATGTCCCTTCTTTATTTTTCCCTAATCCCTCCCCTGGTTTCCAACCCATTTTTTGTAGCAGCGCCATTCCCATACCCCCAGAGACTGGTTGTGCTGACAGTAATTGATCCTATGTTATAAAGTCATTTGAAACAAACAAAATAGATGGAATATTAATTGTTGAAGTAAATTATAACTTTTTCAGGGCAATGATTTTTATGTGAAATGAGCATAAACATATTTTCTTATTCAAAAACATGCAATTTTTTATAATTAAAAATTGTTCAACATAAAATGATTTTTAATGATAAAGTTTGGTAATTGGTTAATAAAAATTTAATTGGTAATAAATGTTTAAATTACACTATACATTAAGAGAAAAGTAATTGAAGTACTTCTGCAATTTATCGTTTTAAAACAATATTTATCGCAAGTTTTGATATGTACATATAGTTTATCAATATATTTAAGTATAAGAGTAAACAAGTAAACAAATAAATTATGATGAAGCAGTACTAGTGGGACATTCGTTCAAATACTCACCAAATATTAAATAAAATGAAAAACTTCAGGCTGCAGTTGGTGATCCTTCCCCAATATAGCTTAATGCCTGTAACAAACCCTCAGGTGGATACAGATTGCTAGAAAACTCTTGTACCAGCTTTTTCAAAATAATTGATCAACTCATAATAAATAAATTGGACAATTGATGAGTTAATTCATTAGTCTTCATCAGTCAGAATCATTAACTGACTCATGAGTCATTTAATTTCTCTATATCTCTTTCAATAGGTTTTTAGACTTTAATAATTAATAGATTAGCTTAATGATAATAAATAATTGGAAGCTGATACTGAACTTCATAGTAATCTTACAGAAAAAAATCATTGAAATAACAATTATTTTCTGTATCCGTACAGGCACAGAATCCACCCCTTGATAAGAAATGGTCTGTGCCTGCAACACAGTCTTTGTAATACCGAAGACATAGACGATATCTTTGATATTCAACAAGACTGTACCTGAAAACTTGTTACAGGCAAAGTGACTTAAAGAGTTTAAGTCACTTTTAGCACTAAAGCAATTGAGGAAAATAGCTTGGCAATACAATTTTGGCCACTCATTTAGCCAAATTCGAAATTTAAGTATAAAATTTAGAGCTTATAAACTTTCAACTTTTTGTTAAAAATTTACAAACTTTACCTAGCATTGAAGCAAGGAAACAAGAGGAAGTGAATATTGTTTCTAATTTTGTTACCTTTCTGGCCCAAGCTTGATGCCCTGAATTTAATTCAGCTGGTGTAAGCACTCTGGCTCCAGTAGAACCAGTAAATTGACCTGGAACTTGCTTACTTTCTATCCATGTTTTCATCTGCATCAGTATACAAAGCAATTATTTAATTGATCAAGTGACTGATCATTCAATAATTCAAAAAAATGTACATACCTCAGTTTGTGCTTTGTACATTTGATTAAGAGCTTGTATATCATTTGGATTTTCAGATAATTTTCTCATAGCAGCCAATCGTTGGGACACTATTGAGCTAATATCAACTTGCTATAATATTCAATTGTAACATAAGTATTTTTATCGAAAAAATTTAATTTTCACTATAGTAGAGTAATATACATACTTCTGCAGAAGGTTCAGGAAAAACGGACTGTTCAGGTGAAACTAGTTGAGGTACATGTGTAGATTGATCAACTGGAATTCCAGATTGCATGGGTATCACTGGAGCGATTGGGGTATCAGGAACAATAGGAACTTCTTGAGTAGACAATGGTGGAGTCACAATAGCCTGAGGTGTCGTGTGGAAAACTTCTTTTGCAGCAACAAATAATTTCTTAGTCTCAGATTTTTGATTCTTAGGTTTTGGTGACACTGGAATCCATTCTTTTTCTATCACAAGTAAAATATTACAATTTATTATTTAAATCATTCAATTAACCAGACAATTACGATTTAAAGGCTTCCAACAATCAGTTCAAATTACAAATAAATGCTTGCTAATATATTGAATTTAAATATTTGTTGACTGGTAATTTTACAATTAGTTTGATGTTTGTACATTCATTAAAGGTTTCTTACCACTTTTTCTGTGTTGTTGTCCGCTAGATACAGGAAATTGTAAACGTAATTGGGTAGTTGTTTCAGTCGTTTTCTCTAAAAATGTTTTTGTTGGTAACTGTTTAGCATCCTGAAAGAGATTTATAAAAATACTCATAAGTTTTAATATTTAAAAAGTTATGCTAGTTAATTCTGTGATAATACTAACTCGAATATTCATAATTATTAAATTTGGACGTTCTTTTATTAAGAATGGATGATGAAAGCCTTTTTCTGTACTACTTTCATCATCGGATGATACACTTGATAGTTCTCCCAATGCTTCAGACTTTGACAAAGATTTACAGAAGTCTAAAAATTAATTTATGGTTAATTCAATGATTTAACCCATAAAAATTTAGTGAAAACAATGTCAATATCATTCTTATTTACCTGTTAACTCTTCTATGCTTTTACCACCGGCTTGAATTGCTGCAATAGCTTTATCTTGTTGAGCTAATGGCAATTTACCTTTCTTTATCATATTAATTGCATTTCGTCGAGCTATTTCTAAAAGTTTCTTTTTGTCTATTTCAATACGTTCTCTGAAAAATTACAGAAATTTAAACAATGTTATAATATTCTATATGAAAAATAATTCATACATACTTCCTTTCTTTACTCCTACTACGTCCTCGTCTTCTATTTCTATCTTCACTTCGACTGTATCTATCCTCTCGATCTCGCTCTCTATCGGTATTTCTTTTCCTGTTTCGCCTTTCTCGACTTCTTTCTCTACAATATCTTTTTCTATCAGCTATGAAATAGACAAATAAACAAATATTAAATATATAAAACCTCTGATCAAACCGTTATTAAGGATTTTATAAAAAGATAATTAAAAAATGTTACCGCTTCGACTTCGCGTTCTTTTGTCTCTAGTGTGACAGCTGTTACTTCTATCTTTATCTCTACTTCTACGCCTTTTTTTACCATCTTTAAAATTACTTTTAGAGCTAGATCTACTGCTACTGACGTGTTTTTTCTTGTCTTTTTTTTTAAGTGTATTTCTTAAATCACTCTTTTTTGTGCTTCGAGAAGATGGACTTTTTGAACGTCGTTTCTTATCGGAACGTAAACTATTTATTCCAGAATGACTGCTTCCTAATGGAGGTGTAGGACTTAAGGATGGAGTTAGATTTTCGTCTTCACTGTCGGTTATTTCACCATCTTCCATACGTTCCACTTTTTTCTTTATTTTGTTTTCTACTTCTTTTATAGTGTTGTTGTACACTTCACTGTTTTTAAGATCTTTTATTTGAATTTTGCAAATTGTAGAATTTTTGGTTTTTTCTGTAATAACAAAAACATTTGATATTTTTTCTTAATTTTTTAAATATACTTTTCTGTTATAATTTACTGAATTTATATTAAATCTTTCAATGAAATGATACAAACCTAGTAACTTTGGTACTTCAGGAGCTTCTGCATCATCGTCTAATCTTTTAGATATGGAAGATATAACAGGACTAGCGTCTTTTTTATTTGAGATTTCTGGTACATGTTTGTTATCAATTTTCTCTTGCTTTATTTTCACAGCATTTGAGGTTTCCTCTTGTTTCTTTGAATTTTCTAAATAAAATTAGATATATTTAAAAACTCACATTCAAAGATTTATTGTCAATATACTATTCAAAATCACATAAAAAAACGTAAATAAGAAAATAAAATTAAAATTAAATAAAATTATGATTAGAATTACCAAAATTTCTCTTACGGAACTTTTGCATTAATATATCATTATTATTTTGTACAAAAGATTCTATGTATTTTATAAAATTAATAAACAAATTTTATTTAAATGCTATTGAAAACTGTATGAACAGAGCATATTCAATATATTATCTTACCATCATTCTTTGATGATTGGTTTTTATTTTCTTTATCCAACTTTCTGCGCTTTGAGCTTGATTCTTCATTTTCTAAGATTTTGGAGGAATCAGATTCATGTTTACGTTTTGACTTCTTTTTTTTCTTTTTTCTCTTAGAGCCTGTGAATAAAATTGATTATATTAGTTTTTGTGAGTAATACTTGAAGTAAAATTTGAATAATATTCCAATTAAATACTTGAATATTACAGCTATATTATATAATGCTAGAAAGTCTGCAAATATATTATAAAATAAGAAACTATATGAACCTCCATTCTCAGCATCGCTGACACTGTCAGAAGAATCATGTTTTGAGTTTTTCTTGTGCTTGTGTTTTTTCTCTTTATCTTTATTGTCATTTTTGTGTTTGTGCTTTTTCTTAGATTTCTTCTTCTTACTTGAACCCGGCTCGTTGTCTTTCTCAACTTTTACCTTTACTTTCGTTTTATCCATCTGTTCGACGTCAGTGCCGTTCTTTTGTTCAACTTCCTTGCTGCTCCGAGAATTTTCTGATTCGTCATCGTCGGGTACGTCAAAAGTGCTGAAAAGTTCAGTTAATATCTCGTTGGATGACTTTTCTGGGAGCCCGGGCTCCGGTTTGATCTTTACTGCGTCCACGCCTACCGTTGTTATTAGGTTCGCCAAATCAAACAAATCACCCATGTCAAACGAAAATAATCTCTACCCGTCTTTATTTCAAAATTTTATACTGCTATAAATAATGATTAATAATATTGTTGATCTTCATAACCATAATAAAACTAGAATAATATAGTTATATAATCCACCTATCCAGCTGGGCATCTGCTGCTTGCGCTGGTGAGAGTGGTGAGAGATGACTCATTTCATTTCATGAGCAATAGATGGCAACACTTATTTTACTAAGCTAGTCGATAAGGTATCTTTCCTTGCAGAAAATTTAATTATAATCATTATAGAGCTTATTCAACGTATCGAGTACATAAATTGTAGTCATTACGAATTCTGCTATTTGAATATCTTTCTGCCGGGTTAATATCAACAGGCGATGCTGAGACAGAGCGAGTCTTCGACCTGAAGGGACCCCACATTAGGAGTAAATACATTCATGGAAAAGATCCTAATCAGAGATAATTCTCTTAATTTATGGTTGCGATCAGCTCAATAAAATCTCGTACACTAAAAGAAATTTGTGGTGTGGAACGTGAGCGACAGTAGATACGTGTTATATATTGCCCTGGTTCCTCTTTTTTCACTTGAGAATGTAATGGACATTGATCTCCGGTCGTGTAGACTGTAGTTCTGTAGTCTTTCTTTCTTTGACCTACAGCCTACAGCGGTGTCGACGCCAAGCGGCCAAAAGACTCACTTGTATCAGTATATATATATAGGGATGCCAATGGAGAAACTCAGCGGGAAATCGACAATCACAACTTAGTTACTTTTTTTTGTTAAAATAAACAAAAAGTTAAACACTCTCACATCAGTATAGATATTCCAATCATTCCAATATGGTTTTTATAGAAATGAATGTGTTGAATTGTTAGTAAAAATCACACGCAATTTTTCTATCCAATCAAAATATTATTATTTAGGAATGCAGAAAAATTAATAATGGAAAATGGTCTAATGTTAAGTCTAGGCATGATAATACTTCAAAATATCTTTTATTTATATCTTTTACGATTACAAAATCTATTAAATCTGGTAGCTTATTTTAATTTGTTGGTTCTCCAGTGGATATTGGAGTGTAGTTATTTTTTTGTAAAATTTCATAGAGTACTCTACCTCTAAAGACTGGAGTTGATAATCTTGACCCCCCCCTCCCCAGTATTATAATTATCTCCTGCTATAAAGCGATTTTATAAAGTTTGGAAGTAGTTGGTCAATCCAGTCTTCTTTTGTTATTGTTTAGTTCGAGGGCAGTTAAAACACCTGATTCTGTTATCAGGTCGTTATTATCATTTATGATTATACTAGTTACTAATTGTAAATAAATTTAACTAGTGTCTGTGTGTAGACGTAGTGGTTTATTTTTGTTTCGATTATAATTGCAGTGTCTCCGTGTACTTTATTGTGTGGGTGATTTGTTTTAAGTACAATGTAGTTTTAGTACGTTGAGATAGTTCTTGCTCGTAAAGTGTGTTTCTGGATGATATCGATATTTTCGTTGATAAAAAATGCTCTTAATTCGAGATGTCTCTGTCTAAGCCTGTTTATGTTCCAGATACCGAGTTTCAAACTATTCATTGTGCTATTTTATTTACTAATACTGTTAATAAGTTTAAAATAGTGTCCATTCTTTGCATTAACTGTTCCGAATTATATATTCAAATTTATTTTTATTTGCATCGTTGTCGTATTTACTTGGTTCTATCTGAGTATTTGTTTGATTTAATTCTTCTGTCTTACTCTGTTTGTTTTGCTTTGCTGTTGCGTGGGCATGTTTTGTTTGGTCTGACTCTGTTTATATTTACATTTAAATTAGATTGAAGATGATTACTGTTTTGACTTAGAGCTTTTTCTTAATCTGGGATAGGTATAATTTTTGTTCAAGCTGTTTGCAAACTGAGCATTCTTTATAATTAGCAGTGTGATTATTGTCAAAATTTGCGCACTTTACTTCTTTCATTTTCTTCAATATTTCCTCTAATCAGATAGTCTAATTCAGTTGCATGTTATTTAGCACATTTAACATAAGCTGCACTTTTCTTATAATAGTTTTTTATTGACAGTTGTGACATTGTAGGATACCTCATTTTACGTACGGTGGTTTAAATTTAATTACAATATAACCTATTAATTTTATGTATTTCTTATCAGTCGTATTATTACTTTATTTTGAACGTGTATTCGTTTTTAGATTGTGTTTAGCAGATTTTCTAATGGGCGGATATTTTCTACTTTATGTACAAAAATTGGAGAAGATTTATTTTTTACCATGTTCACTTCGTTATTCATTGTTTGGTTTTTTTCAGTTTGATTTTCCCGTAGTACCTCATTTATTTGTAGATTGGTTTAGCCAATAATTTGGTAATTAAATTTGCCGTTTCTTGTTTTGTAGTTAATTTTCTTAGCTACTTCGTTGTTTTATTTTTTATGGATTTTTCACTCTTCAAAGTTGTTTTGCGTAGGACTAAGCGTTGTATTCCCTGATGAGTAAGAAGCCACTTTGGCCGTTACTTATTTTTTTTATTATGTTATTTAAGAGTAAATTTGAGTTATTTGTCATTTAACTTGATTGGTTAATACTTTTCGAGTAGAGCGCGGTGAAAATACGTCTATGCTGTTCTCCACAAAGATCTAACGCTAACTGGAACATACTAATCAAAAAAATATATATTCCAAGGTCCTGAATAAAAAAAGAAACGTATGAAATCGAAAGATATACGTGTAACTAATTTTTTCAACTAAAAAAATGCTTAATAAGTTGTCTAGTTTTTTTTAATCGACTAATCCAAGCAGGTATTTACTGGCTCACACCCAAGTACTGCGTTGTTTACATTCGTTATACTGTTCATTGTGCAAGTGCAAATGGCAAATAGGAAATAAAAAGAGTATATTGTTTAATTATATTAGTAATCTTGATCTTAGGAGTCATCCCTATAAGTCATCCCTAAGATCAAGATTACTAATATAATTATCAAACATCAGGAGTGGAAAAAATTAAGAATAATTTATAGTATAGTTTTTTATTGTCGCAGAATAAGGAAAACGATAAATTATGTTTTTATAAGCCTCCAAGTAACAAAAAATTATTTAAAAAATGGTTAGTCGCGTTAAAAATCTTAAAAACTAATCTCGACTATAAGAATCTATATGAGATTACTTTTCAACGAAAAATTGAAATCCATAATTGCACATTATAAAATTTTAATCAATTCTTTTCAATTTCATTTACAGCTAACCCTAATCTAGAAAAAATTTTAAAGAAAAAATATGTACTACTGGCGTATATGCATATGAATATTTGCATACAATAATTTTATAACAGTCACTGACCGGTATTTCGATCGAAATTTCCATTTATATCTGAGGATTTATAACAAAATTATTTCTACTTTTCTTTCCTCGCGAGTTTTATAGCCGTATATACTATTATAATCTAATCGGCTAAACATATACACATACGTAGTCCTTCATCTAAAGGTTTTTTTAAGTTATCTAAAATGTTAATAATTAAGAAAACATAACAAATAATAACAAATGATGACCCCAACATGTTGAAAGATAGCAGAAAGCTTCCCACGTATTAACAACTTTCAAATTAACTTGCCAAAAAACTAGACAACTTCTTAATAATTTTTTATTTAAAAAACGGAATTATACATATATCTTTCCATTTGAAGCGTTTTTTTATTCGGGACCTAGGAACACTTTTAATTATATACTATTAATATGGTATATATCTTTTCCAGTGCTATTTTTTAGGCCCTCGCCACATATGCGCATACGCGCGCGTACGAGGGCGTACAAACGCGTACAAATCGCTAAAAATTTTGATAGTGTCAACAACAGAAAGTTACTACTATTCCTCGCATGCCCCAAACGAACACACTTACTCCCGGAACAAACCTTCAATAATATAGCGTTATGATACGTTTGTTCCGGGAGTAAGTGTGTTCGTTTGGGGCATGCGAGGAATAGTAGTAACTTTCTGTTGTTGGCACTATCAAAATTTTTAGCGATTTGTACGCGTTTGTATGTATGTACATACATACGCCCTCGTACGCGCGCATATGCACATACGTGGCGAGGGCCTTAAATCTTCAGGTAGTTTTCAGCTTCCTGCTTGATCCACCAGGGCGGCGCACCGGTATCGTTGAATCACGAATATTGTATACAGCAGTTTCCAACGACTAATCGACCAATGCTAAAGAAAGTGATTTCTATACATTCTACCATTATGTGTATTCAGTTGTATTGTAGGATTGTAGTGAACAGGTTATTCTCTGTCACTAATTAATAAGAGAATAATCCTTAAAACTTAATAAACTTGAAAAAGTGTTTTGAACATAAGATTTTCTTCAAAACAGAAATTGGTATGTCGGAATCTAAGGCACGCCGTGGCTGGGATGACCGACGTAACCCTGAAGACACTTATCACCGTAAACGCAAGAGCAATGACGATCATCATAGGAAAGACGAAGGTCGTTCCCATCATCGAGAATTGGATAGTAAAAGATCTCGAGGAAACGATGAAAACAACCGACATCGCAATCACGATGTTGACAGATCACACAGAGGGGACGATGATAGACGCGACAAGAGTCGTGACCAAAGCAATAACTTTAGAAGAAATGATGATCGGAGCAAGAGATCTCGTTTCCAACAGGTTTGCAAACATTTTAATTAAACTATGTTCGTCGAATAATATCAATATCCAAACCTTGATTAACAGTGGTTAAATTCTATTTTGTTTCAGTCGTTTGTAAAAAAGGAGGACGCATCGCCAGAGTGGGGCAAACCGAAAGTGAAGGAAGAAAAAGTTCAGCCTCAAGAAAAACAGAAGCCTAATTTTGAAACTTCTGGAAAGCTGACCGAAGATGCAAACACAGTGCATGGAAGAGTGATCAAATATTCAGAACCTCCAGATGCTCGAAAACCAAAGAGAATTTGGAGGTTATATCCATTTAAAGGTGAAAAGCAATTGCCAGTTATATATCTACATAGACAATCTGCCTACCTGATTGGTAGAGACAGGAAAATTGCTGATTTTCCCATGGATCACCCTTCAGTTTCAAAACAGCACGCTGCATTTCAATATCGTTTAGTACCATTCAAGAGAGAAAATGGGACTGAGGGAAAACAGATTAGACTTTATTTAATAGATTTAGAATCTGCTAATGGAACTTACGTAAATAATGTCAAAATTGAGCCACGTCGGTATCATCAACTTTTAGAGCGAGATGTTGTGAAATTTGGGTTTAGTACCAGAGAATTTGTCCTTTTACATGAGAATAGTAAAGATGATACACAAGATGATGATGTAATAGAAGAACCTACCAGTCAACCAGCTCAGTAAAAATTCTTTTTAAAAGTAAATTTTGAATTTTTAAGTTTGTTCTATGTTAACAAAATCAAAATTTTTTTTTTTGAAAACATGAATTATAACTTTACTAATTTGTAAAAAGATTTTGACAATATTGCTCTATAGATATTTATTCATAGTAGATTCTCAAAATGTATCGTTCTTTTATAACGATGTTATTTATTTCATTATAACTAAATTATAATTAAATATAAATAAGGTAGATATTTCCAGTTTATAATTTTATTTTTTTCATCAAATCTTAACAAGAACAATATTCTACAAGTTTCTCAATCCAATAGGATTTTATTAGAAATATTTTAAATTATATTTGTTGGCTTTGTTTTTCTTCTACCTTATTTACAAATGATTGGTTTTTTCAAAAACTATTTTGAATAGAAACTAGGTATTGTACAATGTTTAAAATGTGATCAACAACACAAGATAATTCAAAAACTTTTTATTAAGAATGGAAGTTGCATAATAAAATTATTGTGTTAATATAAATGCATTATTACAAAATGTGTAATAATATATTAGTATTGTTTAATATATATAACATATTTAAGCTTTGTAAATATAGTTATTTAATTATGTTAGAAAGAATAGAAGCATGAATTAATCATTAGAATTCAAAATTATATTTTTTATATAACCTTCATAATGTTTAAGGTTTTTTTTCCATGTGTTCAATATTGCATATACTTACAGCTGTATGTTTTAAAACTTATTACATTTTTTATAGTTTCAAAATATCTATGTAACATGTTTCATATAATTTACTGTCCAATAAATTTTACGAACAAGTAATTGATTTTAATTCTTTATATTGAAATATGGACAGACCCTAACTCTTATATTTATATAAGTTTATCATATCGGTTATTGGATTGTCTACTTATTCAAGGATTAATTATTTTTCTATTTCATGATTCTGAAAATTACTAATTACTGACAAATAATCAAAGATAGAAAAAATAATATGAACACGTAATTACTCACTAATTCAATGGTGTACTTTTATAAATATGTATCCAAATTGCTTGGATAATATTTTTTGGTTTTACTATTTTATACTGCAGGTATCTTATAATTTACAATACATTATAAGTGTTTGTATGCAAAGATTCTGTGGCAAAAGAAAAAAGAAAAGCTCTATTTCAGAAACCTAAATTTACTTTTTTGTATAAAAGTGACTGTACTATACTCAATTATTGAGAATACAGATATAATATGCACATACAAAATATGTAAAATTATCATCAATACAAAAATTAATTAAAACAAAAAAAAATAAATAAAAACAATTTCTTTTATTTAATAATAAAGAATGAAAAAGTACCGGTCAAATATTTAGATTATTCAGATATTCAATTCAATAAAACATAACATATTATTTTGAATGTTTTATTAATTAAAAGCAAGTACATTATCAGAACAAATTTAAAATAAATAAATTATTCAATTGTCATAAAAGTTTTAAGAAGTATAAAACATATTCTCTACTAAAATAATTCTTAGAAGTGCTTAAAAAGCTTATTTTCTAGAGAAAATAGTTTCTCTTTGTTTGAAAAATATCTAGGAATATTGAATTTACTAAACAGTACAGGGTGTTTATTCTTAATAGATACTATTCTACAAAGTACTCACATAATTTATTTGTTAATCGTATTAATTATATCTATATAATGAAATACTTTGGTGAAAAACTACACAATACCTAAAAAGGTGAGAAGGCACACGTGCTGAATTTAACTTGAATGAGGATTGTCATAAAATCAAGAAATTATGGAAACCATATGGAATTATTTTGGAAATTTATAAACCATGGAAAATTGACAAATATCATGGAAAACAAAATCCTTTCTATTAGCTTTATGATTTTATGACTAAGAGACATAACGAGTAATAATGTACATAAAATTCCATTGGGTTTTCGTTTTTGCCTGGGCTTTCCTTGTCTCTGATGCCCACATTATTTATTGCTACGAGTATCTATAGTTAGAGATTAGGAGAAGAAAAAGAGGATTCTCCTAATCTTTGCTCTCAGATATAATAAAAGTATTTCAAATATCTTAATTTTCTTTTTCTTTACCTTTATTATTAAAATTAGTTATACAAATTACCAACAACAGAAAATAATGAAACTCATCTTATAATATGAAAATATTATAGAATATCATGGAAATTTTTGAAAGCTTCATTCTGTAATGTTTGTATAAAATTACTCATTGTACATTTAATGATCATAATTTTATAACTTATAAATAATTTTCAAATAGAAAAATTTTATGTTGTGATTACAGTGTCGTGTTATCTTATCTAGTTCCTTTACATTTCCAAAAATCAAACCAAGTGACTAAACAAGTCATAAATTATAGTCATACATAAGCTGAACAATAAAGTTGTAAACATTAATTGAGTAAATGTAAAATTTAATTAAATTACCACCTGTAAAATCGCATATTCATACGATTTTATAGGTATATATCTGTCTCTTATACCTTGTCTCTTAATGTTACTTTTAATTTATTAATTATAAAACAGATTACAAAATTTTTAATTTAGTATTTTAAAAATTATTTTCAATTATTCTATTACTTTGAATCACAATATAAATTAAAGTGCAAAAATTAACAATATTTCATAGAACTGACGAACGGGAGTATACAATGTGAAAATGTAAAAGAAAGTTGAAAAAACCATTCTCTGTATTTTTCACATATGTAGCCTATGAGTTTTATTATATTAAAATACTATATACACGCACAAACATATTTTAATAAACGATAAATTATTTCATAAAATTACTTGTCATACATTCAATGATGTAATTTTTTTAATTATTCAATAACACAGGGTTGATATTTTTTAATTGATTAACAAGGAAAATTTTATATTATGATTTAGGCTTGTATTATCTTACAAGTTTATTTATGTTTCCAAATTAAAATCAAGTGACTAAATCTTACAAGTCATAAATTAGTGATACGTAAGCTGAACAATAAACTAAGATAACGAACTTTATATTGTATACGTATATAAGATCCTTTACACTAAGTTGAAAAGCTACGCCAGTAGGAGGTTGAACGTTAATTTGTGAAAATGCCGTGGACACCGGCAAATCATACTCAGGAATGTATTTCAAACCCTTCGCAATCGCAATGTCAACCAGCAGTTATAGCGTTCATGGCATTTTTAGCAAATTATTTAGGACACTCCAATGATGAATATTTTAGTGATTCAATAAACTTGGAAACCAGTCATAGAAGTAGTGAAAAACACGACTATCATTATGATTTCATTATCGTTGGTGCGGGCAGTGCCGGTTGTGTTCTTGCGAATCGATTAAGTGAAATTGAAAAATGGAAGGTAAAGCTTAATTTAAACAATTAGAGATAGCAACTTATCGAAAATCTTTCGAAATTATGTTATGGAATGATGCAGGTTTTACTGATAGAAGCTGGCGACGAAGAACCGCTGATTGCTGACATGATCCCGTCAATGGAGTATTATTTAAAAGGTAGTAGCATTGACTATGGATATCAAACACAACCAGAGCCAGTTGCTTGCCAGTCAGATCCTAACAAAAAATGTTCTTGGCCAAGAGGCAAAACAATGGGTGGCAGTAGTTCAATTAACGGTATGTGGTATGTTCGCGGTTCTAAAGATGATTATGATCATTGGGCTCATCTCGGGAACATAGGGTGGAGCTACGACGAAGTTTTACCATATTTCAAAAAATCAGAAGATTCGAGGCTCCTAGAAGTGAGTGCAGGATTTCTCATACTATTTTCTTACATAAAATTGAATAGTATTGGTCTCATGACTTGATATTATTGTACTAGAACGCGAACAAAGACCCTGTAAGCCATGGAACTGGCGGATACTTGACGGTTAGTTATTTCAACAAAAGCAAGAATTTCGATACGTTGATGAACGCTTGGGGTGAGCTGGGTCTACAAGAAATCGACTATATAACCGGAGGTAGCATGATCGGAAGAGCAAGGGTACAATCGACGACGATTAATGGTGCACGGCAAAGTAGCAACGGGGCTTTTATCAGACCGATCCGCGGACGACGAGGTAATTTGATCATCAAAACAAAAGCTCGAGTGACAAAAATAATTATTGATACGAAAAGAAAGCAAGCTGTGGGCGTACAATATGTAACGGGTAATAATACAAAGCAAGTTTTTGCAAAAAAAGAAGTTATTGTGTCAGCTGGCGTTATCGACAGTCCCAAGCTTCTCATGTTATCTGGGATCGGGTCAAAGTTGGAACTTTCCGAGGCAAATATTGAGGTGATTCAAGAACTGCCTTCTGTTGGAAAAAACCTTCGCGATCATGTAGCGATTAAGGCGTTATCTTTTGATTTGAATGATAATTCCTCTGTTTTGGGCGATGTTAAAGATTTACAAAACAGCATCGCTTATTGGCTAAGCACTCGCGAAGGATCTGCAAATACTGCTGGATCGTTAGATTCGATGGCATATTTTCAAACACCTTATGAGACTAGGCCGGGAGTTCCCGACATTCAAATCACTCCACTTGATGATATGCTCGACAAGCCTTATTTCGCAAGATTTTTTTACAACCAGATAATTTTTAGTTGCGTAGTCTTAGAAACGAAAAGCCTTGGAGCAGTAAAATTGAATAAAACTGATGCTACATTCAATCCACCTCTCATGTATGGAAACTATTTAACTCACCCAGCTGATGTTGAAAGAGGCATTGCTGCATTAAAAATAACGCAAAAAATATTCAAAACAAGTTCTTTCATCAAAGCAGGATTCAAACAAAAGCCCATTCTTGGCTGCGATCACTGTATTGCCGGGAGCGATGCATATTGGAAATGCGTTGTGCAATTGTACTCTGCTCCTGGCTGGCACATGGTCGGCACTTGCAAAATGGGACCAAAATCTGATAGAGATGCCGTCGTAGATCCAACTTTGAAAGTTTATGGCATCGATAGGCTTAGAGTCATTGATGCTTCGATTATGCCTTCGTTGCCGAAAGGAAATATTAATGCTCCAACTATCATGATTGCAGAAAAGGGAAGTTCTATGATTAAGAAGCAATGGTTGAAAATTTAAGGCTAGGAGTGTATTGTATTTCGAGAGTGTAGGTTTTAGATTTGTTTCGGCAAGAGGTCACCTGCGATCAGCTTGACTCGAACCTTCGAGCGACTGTAGTTTCTGAACTCACGAGTTACTTTTAATATGAAGCCTAGAAGTATGTGTGCGAAACCTCCAATTTTCAATAAATAAAAATATTGCAACTCTTACTTTCAATATATTTTTATAAAAATGTATCCAAAAACTATCCAAATAAAAATCATCATTTATCTATCTCCTATTTATCTAATTGATCTAATTAGTTAACCTTATAATCAACGTTGCATTAAAATTACATAGATTGTAGAGACTTTATGACTCCCGTTTCCCATGGGTTGATCATAAAAAATATTACGCTCATACACTTTGAACATTGAGAAGTACATTTCTAAAGCCTATCGTAAATTATTCGTAGTTAATTGGATTTAATTAATTTACTAAGATACATACGGAAAACATATTATAAATAAACTTCGTTAAGCTTTCGAGACTCTAAAATGCATGATATATTAATAACAAACTGCTTTGGTATAATCTTCAGTTATAAGTAATATTTTTAGATCTTACGCTTACAGGCAGGTATATCAACAGTACAGCTCATCGTATGCAACTTACAGATGTTAACGAGAGCGTTAATTCTTAATAATTACCAGGTATGTATGACTACACGTATACTCGAGCTTATCATGATATTAAATCTAAAATTAAAGCAGTCTAATTGATTCTCTCACAAAACATTCGTCGCGCAATTGTCACGCCTAATCACTAAAGTCATAGATCTGTCACATCGATGTCCTTTTTCCGAATATTAGCGTAATTGACATTGACTCCATCTTCGGGTAGGTTCTTTTCATCTTCATCGTCGTCATCTTCAGCACCGATGCCGGACTCTTGCCTCAACATATTCAACAAGGCACTGTTAATTACTAGCGGAATGTTCGCTCGACTATTTTGTAAACTACTCTTGCTTCTGTGTAACTTTGGTGCGGACGCCGTTGATGTTTCGTTCTTCACTCTCCTCCAGTCGCTGAGTGAGTTTACTGACTCGCCGTTACCGACAAGTCGAGCGTACGAGCCTGATTGCTTCATCTCTGTCGAGTTTGGCGATCGGAACTTTTCGCCAAGACTCGCCGATGACGAACGCTTGTCCTGTTGAGGACTGTTTAATGTCTTATTTATCGGAAGGTTGAGACTGGTAACCGAGGTTGTTCGATTTCCAGTATCCTCGACACTGCACACTTCGATATACCTCGGTTGGTGATCATCCGAATTTGTGCTCCCGGGTTCCACTACGACAGGAATGGATTTCGGTACCTCGTAAGCGGCACGTGGATCTTTTGACTCATGGGATGAAGACACGTGCCAAGAGGAATATTTTGGAGTTAGAGCAGGTTTTGAATTATCCGAGTCTTGTAGCAACGAATGAATGCTTAAATTGTCTCTGAAGTGCGTGGACTTGTAGGAATTTCCTGAAAAGCCGTAGTTTGTATAAGGAACAGTGTCGTAAGTATTTGCTAACCCATAATGAAATTTACCATGAACAAGAAAGTGTCCTGGATTGACTGGACTAAGTGTGCAGTCTTCGGTATTGTTCCTCAGTACAACGATGTGGTCCAGACAGACCTTGAAGCTGGGTCTCGCATCAGGAGCACTCCAACATTTGAGCATTAGCTGATGAAGTCTGGTGGGGCAGTTGAGAGGTTTTGGTAGTCGGCCACCGGCTCTGACGTGATGCAACACCTCGAAATTCGTACGGGCTTGGTAAGGCTGCTGACCGAGGCTTGTAATCTCCCACATTAGTACGCCGAATGCCCATACGTCACTCTGCGATGTGAATACGCCGTCGACCAGTGACTCCGGGGCCATCCAACGTACTGGCAGTAAACCTTCACCTTCCTAAAAATTTATGTTAAACTCAATTAATAATTAATCAAAATTGTCATTTGACACATGAACTAAGTGTACAACTGTATTAATATTGTATTGTATAAATTTTCACTATTTCCATGATAAATGTACTCTAAATCTAATATTGATTAGATAGGGTCATAGTGGAATAACTATGTAACACGGCTATTTTGTACTATTTATGCAACCACTATCATACCCGAAGGGCCATACGAATAGTTTAAGAAATAGTTGAAAATTGCTAAAGGTTTTTAAAAAATGGCATTCTTCCAATGGCGTTGAATCTATTGATAGAAAACACACGAGTATTCCAGTGAGTTCGTTTATTGTAATTGATTATTAAATATGTATTTACCGAGTGGGCACGATAACATTTTACAAAGATATAATGTTCATCAAAATTCAGCAAACTTTAGTAGAATATTTAAATATTATAAAACTTTAATACGATCTTTCGGTATAAGTAATGTACGCATGATTATGAATCAATTACTGACTTTTAGTTTTCCTAACAACGTTGGTCCAACGATTACAATTATAAAAACTTTCACAGCAGAGTACTAATGGAAGTTTATGCTACAAATTATGTAGGTCGCTTTCATGAATATGGAAGCTCATAGCAGAAGAACTGATAATGAAATTTAGATATTTACTGACGGGCAGAAATTTTGAGGCTGATGGAATGAATTTGCTCGAATCAAACTACATTTCTGATATTACATCATTGACTTATCCTTTTGCACTGTGAGCTATGAAGCTTTCCTAATAAAATCTTATTTAAAGAGACCTTACTCTGGTAAATCTATAGTTCAGCTTTGGCAAAACGTGTGTTAATTATAGTCGTAGCAGAACCAGAAAAATGATTGAAAACATTTTTCGAATAAAATACACATTTTCTGATACTTAAAGCTATTGAAATAAAAAATTAATTTCATAAAATACTAAATAATTATTATATTGATAAATTTCTTTAATACGTTAAAATTGCTTAACGTATGTGCATGGCATTAGTCATATACAATTTATGTAGAGAAAGCATAGTATGACTACAATTGAACAATCTTAAATTAAATGTTGCTCTACTCTATTACATCATAAATATAAATGTTCCGCAGTTAATCATAATAATTCATTCGACCTAAAAAGTATGTCAATAATCGTGAATATAGATACATAAACCAAATTTCTCACAACAAAATGTATGTTCATTATCAGTTGGATTGTCAATGCTATTCAAATTGACTTGAAAAAAAGCACTAGCTTATATAGGAAAAAGAGGAGGAGGTGGTAGCGTGTTAAATTAATCATGGATGTTGAGGTTTAAGTGATTGATCCCTTGAAAACGAGTCTATAGTTGTGCATATGAGAATATGTACACGTATGTGTGCGTCCTCACATACTTCATATTTAATTGTTTTATCAAAATTCTATGACTACATGACTGCCGATATATTAGCACGTAGTATGTTATTAAAATTTTCTTTTATTTAATAGTCTATTTATTTATTTGTGTTTTTTTCTATAGACGCATTAAATAAATGTCATTAGAAGTAGACGTATAAAGTTATGTATTCTATATCTTTAAGTACTAGTATTTTTAATTTGAATAAGAATACAATAAAGAATTGGATACAAATAACGATGTAATTCGTTCCTATATGTACGTGTGTATGTGAAACTATTATTTCACCTAGTCCATCTCTTAATGTATTTGAAATATTCTTCTACTTGGCTAAAGAATAATAAGTTAATGATTTTGAAAGTTACAAATATTTATATTTATTAATAATTTATACTTATTTATTAATAATTAATTTATACTTATTTATTAATCAGTAATGTTACTAAAGTTAAAGTACTTTATGCTTAAGACCTTTAATCAAGATTTTTATGAGTCATGCATAAATAGAACTTCTCAAGCATTTTTAACTAATTTATATAGAAGGTCGAATTGAATTATATATTTTGAATAAAACTATATTTTGAATAAAACTATATAATTGAATTATATAGTTTTATTGGTGACGTCAGATTATGTACATCCGCCAAATATTTTTTACTGAATTCGTGAGTTTTCCTTTCGTAGTAGTTTTCAAAAAAGAATATAAATCAAGAGCTTTTCGAAAGGAATTTTCCGGTTGAGCCGTAAGGTTTAACCGGCTTTATACTCCAAAAATCTCTCGTTATTTCGGTCGAGCCTCTTAACCCCACGTATTTTTTCTATGACCCTCTCTCAGTGATCCGATACAAAAATTGTCCCTTAAAGAACGGAAGGGGGAAAGGTCTCGCCTGTAACACATTTCATCAATATCTCCGCTCTCGGCTGAGTAAGCATCACCCCTACCCGCAAGCTCTCGATCGCGATATACTTTTGTGCGTGCGTTGAATATCCGTGAATTAATAATTCTTCTCAAGCTACTTCGTTCGTTCACTCATTGCTTAGATATTGCAACAGATGCAACAATAGATAATAAAAAAATGCAACAATGCTCCAATAGAAAAATTACATCTAAAGAAATAAAGTTAGAACAAACCTTGCGGTAGTAGTCATTTTTGTAAATATCCCGTGCGAGACCAAAGTCACCAATTTTGACAACTCGTTGTTCACGTTCGCGCGCTGAAACGAGACAGTTGCGGCAAGCTAAGTCGCGGTGTACGAAGTGTAATTCTTCTAAGTAACGACAGCCTCTTGCCACATCCTCGCACATCGACAATAGATCTTGAAGTCGTAGAGCTGACGGATCCGATGGCTTTAGTGACCTGTTTAACACATAATTTAAACGGTGTATTGAGTATAACCCAATGAATGGGATTGAATTTTTTAATAACGATAGAACACGTTATTAGAAAATACGTTGTTAACGAAAAAAACAACTATTTTATTTCAACCGTAATTAATAACCGTAACTCAAAGAAAAACGCACCTGCTCGTTCTAAGATAACTCAACAAATCACCACCAGCCATAAGTTCAAGTAATAATAAGGGGGTGTCCGAGTCGAGGCAAACACCAAGCAGCCTCAATACGTGCTTATGCTGAAAGTGGCTCATAAGCTTGGCCTCTTGCAAAAACTCACTTTTTTCCTGTGCTGAAGCACCCTTGCGAAGCGTTTTAATAGCTATTGGTGTGCGAGAACCCGGTACGTCGAGATCTTTCGCTATGCCTTGGAATACCTGCAGCAGTAATGTTTTTGATAGCTAACTAACAAATTCGAATTATGTGATGATATTGTAATTCGAACAAGTTTTAAGTGGTTTTCCTCTTTAACTTTCCTTCAAATGAAGATAAAGTTCACACTAAAAATATATTATGAACTTACTTCTCCAAAAGCTCCGCTACCTAAAAACTTGTTCAATGAAATTTGTTCCCTCTGAATTTTCGGTAATAAAGAATCATCCGAATCCGATTCTATTGCAGCCACATAAAGTGCGTTAGTTTCGACAAAGTTCCCTCTTGGAATCTCTCTAAGTGTAGCCAATTCAACATTTGGCTTCGTCTTCAATGGTACCTTTTTTTGCTCCTCCTTCGTCTTTTTCTGCAGTGCTATCAGAAGAAAATCTTTTCAGTATGTCCGTCAATTTCAAGTGATAATACAATCTTATCAACTCACGACAAAGGCAGTAACAAAAGCAAAGTAACGTTATCGCTATTGCCGGTACACTAAGGCCCAAAATAAGTCCTAAATGTTCTTGAGCCATAATCATGGCTCTTGTCATTTCTGTTAGGTCAATAATACTACTACTCTCGCTCCAATTACCAAAGTCACGTTCGTTTCTTGCGCGTACTCTGAATTGATATTTGTCTTGCATCTGCTGTGGTATGTTCCAGAATGTGTCGCTGCCATTGTAGAGACTAAACCACTTAACACTCAAGTTTTCGTATGAAGAATTTATAATTGTTCCTTCTAGAAAATACATGATTGTTTCGGGATGAAGACTTGTCGAGTCTCTCCATAATAATTGGTAATTTGAGTTTGGTAAAGTAATGAGTGTTGGCGGTCCTGGAATTGTAGGGAGATCCTCTGAAAAATGTAATTTATTATATAATTTATGTAATGTAAACAGTAATTGTTCAGCATGTTCTTTTCTTACCCAGCGTTTCGAAAATAAATGACCCATCTTCTGGCCAGTAAAAGTCTTCCGTGTGGTTTTTATATTTCAAAACTAATCTGAACTTATATGACTCCTTTGGTTCTAAATTATCAACGAAAAACATCAGTCTATTTTTTAACTTAATATATTTGGTAACAGCCTGCCATTGATTAAATCTACTAATAGTAAACTCTAAAGTACAGTTCACAATATTTTCTTCTACCCATAACCAAGACAAATTCATTGCTTGCGCATTGACACCAGTGAGTGTCACATTATCTGGCTCAGAGTACATTCTCAATAAGTGTTTTTCACTTTGTGAATAGGAATTTGTTAGATTCTCTGGATAGGCTCTAACGTGTATCGCGTATTCTTTTCCCGGTACCATATCACTCAACAGCGTTGTAACTTCGTATAGATCAACGTCTTTTTCGTCTTCGACCCATACGACTTTGTATCTGAGAAATTCAGCATTCCAAATAGCTGGTGATTCCCAACTAACCATTGCTAAAGTCGGTGTGAGCGCTTGAACTTTAACGTTTTGTGGTTTCGATGGTACTCCAGCACCCGTTCTAATTGTAACCTCGGGATTGTCATCAAACTCCTGATCACTATAATAATTTGCTAGACTTAATCTGAATCGATATTCAGTAAATGGTTCAAGATCCTTAACTCTAAAGTCACGCCAATAGGTATGAAATCGAAGTCTTCGTTCATGCGCATCAGCCACATCGATAGTATAAAGTGTCGCTGGCAGTCCATATTTTTCACAACCTAGATAAGGCGTTGGTTCTGGTAACTTCACAGATATACTTGTAGACGTTTTCGAAACCAATTGTACGGTATAAGCCGTACGTTGAGGGACCAGACAGTCTGAATCAGGATAAGGTTGTAAAGATTTTCCAATTGCTCTGATACTTCGAGCACTGTGCACAGGATATTCCTTGATCACAGCTTCACCAGATGCCAGCTTCGTCTTATCCGTGAAGTAAATTTTCCCAGTTTCCAGATTCGACCAATAGATGTTACACTTGTCCATGGTAAGCGAAGCAGGTGGTAAACCGTGATTTTCTCCACCTTCCAGAACGAGATTACATACACAACCTTCCATGTCGGCGATGTAGAGTTCACCTTCTGCTGATATCCAGTAAATTACTGGGTTGATAGGGTCGGTATTGTCAATCGTGAAAACTGGTTGGATCGTTGGTCGAAAAGGGCATGTACAGTCTTCGGTGTGATTGAAGAATGGTTGTACGTTGTTACCCGATAGATCTGACTGCATTACGTAGCCGAGATTACTCGTACTTATTAACTCGATCCAAAAGAGATTTCTGTAAATTAGAAAATTCAATGAGATTTTTAAATACTTGTTTAATTTTACAAGATTAAATAAATTATACCCGGTTAATGGTGCAATATCCAGATTGACAATTCTCCTAGTTCTCGACAGAATTCTGGAGTACTTATACAAACCAGCTTCCCACACTGTAACATCCAATTTTACAATATGGCTCAGTCCAGATTCTTCGTAATTTGATTCGGTCCAGAATAGATTTCTAGATATCCAATCTGCACATAAACTCAGTGCCGTACTATTCAACGTGAGTATCTTTGTAATATTGTGTGCTTCGGAGTCAGCTGTTACTAATTCTTGCATTTCGTTAATCCAGAAAATTTTATTCTCTGCATCGAAGTTAGCTACTTCTACAGCTATGTGTCGAGTTATCGTGATGTTCGAACGTTCATCAAGATCTATTTTTTTTACATCGTCGAGTGCAGCTACCAAAAGCTGAGGTATTGGATTTTCATTTTCCGTCGATGCTGTTATTGTCTCGGTGTAAGGACCTGCACCGACTTCGGCATATGCGCAAACTCGAAAATAATGAGTGGTATTCGCTTCAAGACTATCGATTGTATATTCTATAATTAATAATTCAAATAGAATATATTTTATATGTTATATATGGAAAGGTAATATATAAAACGAGAATTAAATAAATCATTTACCGAATGCAGTTGCGGGCAGGTTAACTGAATCACATATTGGTACTTCTACGTGATCGATCACAATCCAGCATTGCACGCTAAAACCTTTAATGGGTCCATTTAGGAATTCTGGCATATTCCACCTAACAATAAAATATAAAAATTGAGAAGACAAATCCACATAAACAAAAATGGACTACTTACCTAAAAATAGCAAAATAATTAACATGTTCAGACAACGGCTCTTTGAAACTTTCCACAAAAACTCTCGGTTCCGTAGGCTGACTAGGTACACTTGGAGGAGATCTAAGCACTTGACTAACCCTACTCGCTGAATCCCAATGCGTATACGCTCTGATAGTGACTTCCAGCAACGAGTAAGGCAACAATCTATCAGCGTTCGCGTATCTGATCGTAGTTTCGGTAGTTGATATCGGTGGTGAGTCAACGTTGATTACGTCGGCAAAGTTAACCTCGTAGAACACTTTACCGTAATTCGTATTGCTAGCTGGTTTCCAAGTGACGTTAAAATCTCGCCAGGTGCCGACAATTGCAATGCTGTCAATCTCTATTGGTTCCGGACGTACGATTACGCGTGGTCGTGGCGATGGATGTGGTGTTTTTAAAGTGAATGTGACTAATAGAGTTTTCGAATTTGTGAAGTTTGCCAGAATTGCCGGGTACTTGCCGAATACATCAGTAACCATGACGGTGTTAGCTGAGGTGAGGAAGAATAGGCGATGAGATATATAAGTGAGGGAATTACCAACTGCACTACGAATTGTTGAAATCTGAAAATAATGAAAAATATTGAGCATGATTTTACGGGGTTATTAGTAAATTCACCGTATCTAAAATAAATTGTCATAATACCAATTCGGGAAGTACGTCGTGGTTACGTGGCAACATATCGGCGGTAATCGATCTGTACAGCGCACATTCGTCTTGAGTCTCGCCGATGATCCAGTAGATAAACCTATTCTCCAAATCCAGCGTCAATCCAGCAACGTGACGTCCGTCAAAGTCTTCCTCGCCGCGATAGCGTCGTCTCTCCTCGCCATTCAGCCGTGTAACTTCGACGGTACGGCTTGTCGACCAGTAGACATGTGCCTCGAGTGAATCGATCAGGAGATTACTGACAATGCCGGAGATCACTACTGGTTCTTGCTGTGATCCGTTCAACGACGATCTGACAATCTGAAAATTGGAATTGAAGCTTATTAATTCTGTTGAGTAAATTGAATATTTATATACTAGTGAAGTTTTTAAATTTACAACTATATTACTTTTCTAAAATTATACTTACTGTTTGTTTTTTTAAATCACACCAGTATATTTTTTCTGTTATCCATTCAATAGCGAGGTTCGACAAAGTATCTACGAATTCAACTTTGCTCATTTTTCCCATAGTAGTATTGAGTTTGTAAAGCTTAGAGCTGTTGCTTACGATGTATAGAACGTCTTTAAATGTACATAAATCAGTGGCAAAGAAATAATTTTCTTTCTCCAATGCTGTATTATTTAGTAGTAATTTTGCATTTTCTCCAGTTAAGTCACTGTGCAAAAGAGTTGAGTTTGTTGCCCAGATAATTGAAGCTTCTAGTTCTTTTCTAAAAATGAAAATAATATTCATACAGAGAAATATACTTTTGTTCCTTTACCTTCTTTTTTTATTTTTATTGAAATAGAGTTTTACGCATAAGTTGTTTATTTAACAAAATGAATAAACGAACCAGTTTAGGTTATTACCCAACCTTCAATTTCTAATAAACGTATAAAACGTATTTAATTAAAATCATGCTTTGCACTGTCAAAAACATATTTCTACAGTATTTCTACAGGACCTCGATAACTACATAGAAGTATTCTAGAGAATTCTAGTTTCTAAAGTATTTATGCTAAGTTTTCATGACACAAAACCATTTGTTTCCAATATTCAAAATTTTCCGGCTTTTGCGATATCGTGTGTGCTTTATCTAACAAATATTTTCTACAACTAAATTGTTATTTTTTTACACTTTTACAGATAAAAAGTCTTGAAGCAGTGGAGATAAATAAAAGCGGTTTTACGTTTCCCTGTTTTTTTTTTATGAAAATTAGTCAACTCATTCAAACGTTAAAAGAAGAATCGCAGGATCAAAAGAACGAATTAACTTAAACGAATGTTTTTAGGAAAGTAAGATTTAAAAAAAACCTACTTATGTTGTTGATAGACTTAGAGTGATGCCTGCGTTGTAAAAAAAATATATCAATTTTCTGATTATAATCATGTTATAATTATCATAATAATATAAAAGGGGAGAAATATTATTAAAAAACAAGAGTTAATTATCTAAATCTAGGAGCATATTTTATTCTGAGATTGCAAGTTTTGGGCTTTTCTTTTACAAAAAACACGCCTCGGCTTAGCTTTACTCAATATTTCGTGTGGTTTAAACTTTTAATTAATGCTCCAACGATTATGACTGCAGAAAGAGAAAGTGATATGATTGAAACATAATTGCAAAACCTAGAGCTCACAGTAAAATTTTCTTAATTGCAAGTCTACTTTTTGAAAGCCACATTTTTTATAAAAATAATTCAATGACATTAGTTCTTTGAATTTATTTTGTTGAGTAAGTATATAAATTAATGTGGGACAGTAATTCTTATGAAATGCAAAGAACTAGTTTTTATTATATTTATTAAATATTCAAGAACGTAAATATACCAACCGTTTCATAAATTTATTATTATGAAAAAACAACTAATACTTACTTGATAGTCTGGACTTTGAATTCCGGTGACCAAGGACCATCACCAGAGCTTGAGTAAGCAGCCATCTTTATACTGTAAAGTGCATGTTCTCTCAGCTCGTCTACCAAATGTTCATTATCGCGTAAACCACGTTCTCTTATCAATTCACCATCTATGTCGTCTTCGACAAGCAACGCGTATGACCAGTCACGCCAAGCACCTCGACTTTGTCCATCCAATAATTTAGGTTCATTCCATGTTATTTTTGCTGATTGAGACAGAGCTAATATTTGAAGATTTGTTGGTGGATTTATCGGGATAGGTATTGGTTGAGCAGATGATGTTAGTATGTGAATTCCTACGAAGTCTTCTCCAATCCTAAGAATACATGAAAATCAATAATAAGATAGGTAAATCTTACAATATAAATGAAAAATAATTTTTTATACATGATTTACATGTCCAACTAACTTCTTGAATATATAAGTTGTTAATAAACAGTAAATCTATAAAACAATTTAAATACCTGTTGAAAAGTCCTTTGTATAAGTATCGATGGTCGTTAGAATTATAGCTCTCGGTGAAAATTTCAACTCCGTTAGTCCAATAAAACAGACCATCGAGTATAGCTAGAGAAATGACTTTTTTGAACTTGGGTTGTTTAGCATTAAGTCGAACGTCAACAACGACTTTTCCATCCAGAGTAACAGACTTTATAGTGTTTTCCGTTTGGTAAGCTACAAGTAATCGTCTATGGGTATAATCAACAAGAAAGGCTCCTAATTGTTGTTTTCGTAAAATTTGTTCAGGCTAAAATTAATTGAAATTCCAACTAAGCTTTTCTAAATAAACAAATATTTCGTAAGTAGAATGTCTTTACCTCATTCAGACCAGCTTCATCAAACCTACTCAAATCTACCCTATAAAGTCCATCGTTTCCCATCCAAAACAAATATCCATTAACAGGATCCACCTCCAATCTCGTCACTTCTCCAATCTTTGTTATGATAGTCGTCAAATTTTTAGCGTCAAAATCACATCTAGCAATCTCCCAGTATCCAGTTACATCGTTCACTCCAGCTACATACAACCACTCGTTAAGCCAATCTATAGACAAGGCCCATGGCCGTAAATCCGTACTATTAGAGCCAAGAAGCTCGATTATTTCCGATTCCTGAGTTTCATCGATTGATACGCGGAATATTTTATCACTAGAGTCACACAAGAAGAGTTGTGACGAGGAAATTAAAAGAGCGGTATCACGAATAAGTTCTGTAGTGTTGAACAGGAGATGAGCTGGAGTGAGGGTATCCGCGTTTTGTAGAGCGATGGAATTTTCACTTATTATTATTAAATCGGGCTTTCCCGATGAGTTGGCTGCAAATTTAATTTAAATTCAGTTTAAATTTGCAAAAGTAAATTTTGAACTGATTATACCTTGTGGTTCGGATAATGTTTGAACAATTGCAGAAGTCGATGGTCCCTCGCCGTCTTCATTTCTCATGGTCAAAGTCACCGTGTAGTTAGTACTTGGATTAAGATTTTGAAACATAAATGCATCTTGTGAAATTGGAATATCCTGAAAGTAAAACCGGTTTAACAATGAAATTCACAGGCAAATACGAGCTATAAGCCGTAAGCGGATACGAGAGAATAAACCCAACTCTCAACTGAAAAGTCTCGTGGCCTTCTTGTTGCAGTCGTAGAACGTACGAGAATAAAGGTCCACTGGTAAACGGGCCAGGCTTCCAGTTGACGTAGATTCTCAAGTGATCGATGGCAATCACTTTATTAATTACGGGAGCGGAACTCGGCGCTCCGCCAGGAAACGTGGTTATCGTGTCGCTGGCTTGCGAGACGATTGGCCGGTCGTCGTTTTGTTGCGCCGACTTTAAGTGTATTGCCAAGCGGAACTGCGAATATGATGGAATGATCGTTGTTATTTTTTTCCTCTTTATTGTCTTTAGTACATAGCGACATCCGTGCTGCGGCTTTATATTTACCCGGTAATTCGTAAAAGATTGTAAATTGTAAATGAAAATTTGATTGTTTTCATTCCAATGCTGATTGTTACAATAACGCCATTTTCCGTCCGTACCTTCGATTCGCGATTGTGCAAAATATAAAATTTTATCGTCGTACTGTTGTAATATACTGTTGTCCCATTTGATCGTTAGTGATCTTGTTGCTAAGGATTCTTCGACTAGACTTGGCGCTGGTGCCACTGCTATGTCAACTATAAATTTAATACATTTTAGTAATCATTGGGTTGATATTAATATGTTGAATTTCTATTCTGACTTCCAATTGAATCTACCAAATGATTATTATTCGTGTATTCTAAACACGACGTGAATACCATATGAAAAAAGCTTATACGACAGCTTAAGAGCGTGCGATTACTGCACGATATAATAACATAACGATTGGGTTAATTGTAAGTTGTATTTCGTCATTGTTGAATGAATACCGTTATAGAACTCACAGATTTCCTGTTGATAAATTTCAAAGTGAAGTTGTCGATAAACACGAATATCCCTAAAAACACAAAGAGTATTTATTCTAACCTTGTAGCACTGAAACTTTTCAATCTTAAAACGATTAAAAAGTGAAGAATGGCTGAATAGTAAATCGATCGCTAACATGGGATAAATCGATTCATTCTGGACACCTCGGAAAAGTTTAAACCTAAATGTCATTGCCGAATAGCCGGCCGATCTCGTCAAAATCGACGAGACATACGATCGATCTGCGGCGTCGCGAACAAGCCTTCAAAGAATACGATTCCATTCTGGAGGAGCACAAGAGTTCCTTTAATGAAAAATGGAAACACGACTTACCAGCAAACAAAGCCATAGACGGTACAAGCCTTGATGATTTCGAGAGGTTGCGCACTTTAGGCACTGGAGCTTTTGGTCGAGTAATGCTGGTCAAGAAAGCAGATGACGCCAATTATTACGCTATGAAGATATTAGACAAAACTCAGCTTGTCAAAATGAAGCAGGTAAGCGAAGATTTTGCTTTAAAAGAATAAGAAACAGTCGATATTTATATTCAAATTAACATTTTACAAATACCTTGAGTTTGTTAAGTTAAGTAAATTTGTTATTTAATCATTAATTTTAATGAAATTCAATTATCGCGTAGATCGATCAACTTTTTAATGATTCATTATGCAAAAATTTGAAGCAGAATCAAGTGAAAAGACAACAAAAGTGCAATGTCTTTCGTTTACACGTTTACAATTAAAAGACAAGTTTCAAAACTTTTAAGCATAGCGAATAATTTTTTACTAACAAAATTTTCTATATAAATAGTAATACAATTCGTGTTAATGAGAAAAAAAGAATCTGAATAAGCCCAAATCTACAGGTGGAACACACGCACAATGAGAAACGAATCCTTCAGAGCCTTCTCTTCCCGTTCACCGTATATATGGAGTACTGCTTCAAAGACAAGTCGTACATCTACATGATATTGCCGTTCGTAAACGGAGGCGAGATGTTTTCGCATCTGCGCAGGATGGGCAAATTCGACGAGAATCTGTCGCGCTTTTATGCCTCCCAAGTTGCTCTCGCGCTCGAGTATCTGCACAAGTGCTGTCTCGTCTATCGCGATCTCAAGCCGGAAAATATACTCATCGATCACGACGGCTATATTCGTGTCACGGATTTCGGTTTTTGTAAAATGATCAACAACAGGTTTATCTTGCTTGTGTTCCTTTTCGCAATAATAATTTGTTAAGATCAATTTAGTAAAATTTTGTTGATTTAATAACAGCAAAGTATTTTTTTCTAACCGAAGGAAATTATCGACAGGACATGGACATTGTGCGGAACTCCCGAGTACTGGGCACCAGAGGTCATTCTATCGAAAGGCTACGGCAAAAGTGTGGACTGGTGGAGCTTCGGTGTGCTGGTATACGAAATGAACGCCGGTCACTCGCCTTTCTATTCTCACAACCCAATAAAAATCTACGACAAGATTACCACAGGCAGATATCGTTTTCCATCGTTTTTCAACGAGGATCTCAAAGATCTGGTTAAAAACCTTCTACAAGTAGACTTGAGTCGACGATTCGGAAACCTGAAAGGTGGTCCAGTAGATATCAAGAAGCATAAGTGGTTTCAAAGAATCGACTGGCTGAAAATTTACAACAAATCTGTTGTGCCGGGTTTTATCCCGGCGGTTGATGGGCCTGGAGATGACAGTCATTTCGATAGGTACGAAGAAGAAGAATTGCTGGTTGCCGACGATGATGCGTATGACAAGGAGTTTAAGAACTTTTGACTAATAAGTGTTCGAAGAAAGAGTGCATCGATTAATTTGCATTTCAACGTTAATAGAATCTCTTGTATTAAGAGTCGGATGTACATATATAGTCTGGGAGTAAAATAAGAAGAGAAATAAATTGTAAATATATTTTTAACGTTCAAGCGTGTGTGCATTCTTACCTTTTAACTGTTGAAAGTACTGGTTAAGGGCATTTTGGCAGCCAATAGTGCAATAAAGTTCCTTATAAAATAGCAAACTATGCGTTCCATTCTAAGATGAGATAAAAAGACATAACTGGATGTTAATATGATCGGCGTGTATGCGTAAGTCGGTTATATTAACATTGCTTAACGTCACTTACACAAACTTCTTGACAGCTCGAGTTGAGCGCTTGCTCCCATATGACGCAGCCATAAGAGCACTGTCGAGATGAAGTTTTGATACTTAAGACGATTATACATGAGTCGTAAATTGGAATTTTCATGCTTGCCAAGATAATTTCATTTAAATGCGACACACGACTTTCTTGGGGACTGTTAGAGATAATTGCGTTCTTTAATGATTTCTTAACACGTCTACACGAACGTAGACTTGTAAAAATATTATGTTTATGGAAGAAATCGAGTATTTATATAGTAAAGAAAATTATCAAGAAAATATTTCTTAAATTCAGACATTTTTCTTTATTGTACAATTTATTAAGTATCGTTGGTAGGCATTCATTATACGGTGGTGCTGTTAAAGCTTAGAGCACATACTGTGTAATAACCCAAGTATACATATAACCGTTGTGTCATCTAAATAACAAAATCATCACGTACGATAGTTTTCTAATGAGGAGTCGCGCAAAAGTTACCGGGGCTCGAAATTCCGGAATAAGCCGGCCGACGTATATGCACGTAGTGACACAACGCGGTCACACGGCAATTACACGATTTCACGCGCTCGCGCGCCAATTGACGCCGCGCGCTCGCGAAAATTACCATGCGCGCACTTTCACATGTCCATTCACCCGGCACTGCGAGAGAGAGAGAGAGAGTGCTGCCCTTCACCGAATGTCAATTTTCGCCGGCGACGCGCACATTTGCATCCATCCGATAAGTCCATCCCGCGCGAGGGCTTGTATTATCTAAGCATCCCGCGTACTACGCGTGAAATTGGATTAGTCTGATATGATTGTTTGAGCTTGCAAGCTTTTTGAATGCTGTGCTTGGATTTTCGTTTTGTTTTTTTTTTTTGTTAATTGGTAACCTCTGACGATTGCACGTGTTTGTTTTGTATCACAATATTGTGAATCGAATAGACGGAAAACAGAACGGCACAAACAGAACCATCTTTTACAAAATTGATTTAAAAAAAAAGAAATAATATAACAAAAATAATCATGTATACTTCGGTGAACCAATTGATATCAATATTACGTCCATTCGTTGTCTCTTTTGTTCAATTTTCTCAAGAATGGTATGTTATGTTTCAAGTTTCTTCTACGACTAAGTTTATTAAATGTTGCTGATAATACTCATGGTTCGTGTTATTACAAAGGTAGTAATCGAAGTGAGCTTTGCGTACATCATGCTGAAGATTCTACTTGCAAGCAGCACTCAAATAAATAAAAGTGCAAAACGTCCAAAATAAAATGAATTTCGAACGTGCGGCAATTACGAATTTTCGTACTATAGAACTCGAACATTAGAAATTCTTTCTTACTCAAATTCAAATTAAGCATTTGAATTGTGACGCAGAGAAAACTCAGTAACATAAAGATATAACTATAGCTAGATCTAACTAAGCCTTGTTAGCATAATTATTATTAAATGAAGAGAATTTTATGAGTGACGTAAACCTCGCTTGATAGTCCCTGCTAAGCAAGTTTTGACTGCAGTTCTACGTTGGCATGGCTTAGCGTTATTTTATAAAAAAAAGTAAAATTCGATGCATAATTGCGATTATTATTAAAACTGGCGCTGATCAAGCGAAAAACTGAAAAAAACGCAAGAAGATGTGCTTTGACGAGCCTCTCACTCTCACACGCTACAATGAGTCATTCGCAACATTTATAATCGCTAAAAGCTAGAAAAATATGTAGGACAAGCAATCCAGCCGAGGGCGTAGCATTAAAAAAGTGATGCGCCAGTTTTTATCGGTATCGCAGAGCTTAGTCAGCCTGGAGCGACCTTACAGTCTTTCTCTCTCTTCGTACGTGTATATACAATTGAGCGCGCATCTACCGGAAGCGAGTCTATTGTCTATAGTCGAGAGGGAGTCGCGAAGCTTGTTTGCTTTATTTTCGGTGCGAGCGTTAGCTTTCACGCTAATTAGATGAAAACGACAGCGCCGCGTTGTTTGTTTGTTTTTCTCTTCTTTGATCTATCATAGTGCACGGATGCACCAATAGATCGGAGTATACGTCTCTATGAGTTTTTATTAGCGTTGGAAATAAATTAATTGGCGGTTGCTACTTCTTACGTGATCGATTCTACATGGTGCTCCACAACCCACTTCCGCTCCAACATCGTCTGCTTCATCCTAAAAAATACGATGGTTTTTTAGTATTGGTCTATGAAAACATAATTGTGAATCTTTTATTCGAAACAATTATGCAATAAATTACAGTTTGCTATTTTCTAATTATTCATCGTACGCGCAATTAAAAATATTGGAATAGAATATGTTGGTACAGCGCGTCATTGGACCCTCCCACAAGTGAGTGATTATTCAATTATAGATAAATGCAGATGGCTACGCACACTTTTATTTTTGTACTGAAGTGCAAATCATAATCAAGCTGTTAAGCGAAATTTGTAATTACTAACGTGCAGCAATCGAGCATTTAAAAATTGAGCTATCCGACCTGTCCATGACATAAAAATAGCTTGTGGTGCAATGATATAGCGGCGAATTGCTCGCAAGCGAACGCTGATTATTGCATGAGGCAAAGTGTATCTATCCGCTTGTCACGTCTGATCGTGTACGTTTTGTAATTCGTAAATTTCTTCTTTTTATCTTTCTTTAAACGTGAAGAATCTACAGAGATAAACATTCAATTGATTCATTCATAAGGAGCTTTCTTCTCTCGTAAATGAACGGACAAGTTGCACTTAATTCACGGTTTCAAGAGCGTTGACGTTTACTCTATGAATCATAATAGTAGTCATATTTAAGTAGCAAGTCGTGATATTGTAAAGAAAAATCCAGTTGTACGTTCAATTTTTTATGTCATATCAACTTTAACCACACACGATTATCGTCTATCTCATGAACTTTCTAAGCTTTATCCGATGTGAACATTATTATCTTATAAACTAGAATTTCTCCAGCAGATGTTCGCGGAGAATTTTTTTCAAACTATTTCTCTCAGAGCCGAATAAAAGTCAAAGAGCGAGAGAGAGAAATTCGTCCTCGTCGCAGTCTTAGAGGGTCCCATATAGTCGCAGTTTAAGTCGATTAACGTACCGGGCGTATAGTCGGTACAAAAAGATGCTCTCACTTTCATCGTCATCGTCGTCGTCGTCGTCGCCGCCGTCGTCGTCGTCGTCGTCGTCGTCGTCAATTGATACGTCCTTGGCGTCGCTGCGGCGACGCTGTCGCTGGCAATTTTTCGTTCGTGGCATATCCCCCGTATGACTCGGACAGAATTGGCTTCTCATGCGTTTGTTATTTTTCCCTCGTGAGGCGTGCGACTCTTGTGCGAAGAGGGGCACAGTGGTTCGGACGATGACACGTTTTTTGATTGCGACATAAGAGCTTTTTGTCTTTCGCGCGAATGTGGACTTCATTTAATTAAGCGCTCGCAAGGGCTCATGATTCTTTGGTGAAATTTTGCCCGCAGCAGACGAACTTTTCGACGTGATGCATTGTAGTCGCAGCTGCGTTGTAAATCAACGGTTTGAAAATGTGAAAGTTATTTTAGATTGCCCGAGTGTAAAAGTACGCTTTACGTTAATGGGATAAAGATGGTCAGAGGCAGCAGGTTGCTGTTATGATGAATCGAATCATTGTATTTATCGCTCACTGCATTACTAACGATATTATTACAAACAGAATCGGAGCATTTGCGACCGTTAAAGAGTATTATAAATAAAAATGCCGTGTGATTTATTTCTTGATTCGTGTTTAAAAAAAATTATGCTATACGATCTCGCACCCTCTATCTGTTTTGACGTAAACAACAAAATTATGACTTTCATATCGAGTTTTCGTGAGAACTGTAAAGTAACATCTGTTAATTTTAACGAGTTTACTTCATTAGAATCAGTCGAGCGTCATCGTCACACGTACGTACAACACATGGCACTCATATTATGACATAAACTTTTAGCGACGTTTGTTCAATTTTTTATTCCAAAAATTATATACTTTTTTTTTATTCTAAAATTCAAGCTATTTTCTCGCTTTTCTGTTGTGAATACACACACACACACACATATATTAGTCATGAATTACTTATTTTGCACAATGAAATCATTATTCTCAGTAGCAAAGTTGATAGTATTGTATACGATTTTTCAAACGAAAATCTTTCAATTACTTATTAATCATTTTTTTATGTAGCTATATTAATACTTCGAACATTCGTGAGTCACTCGTGAGTTTTAAATTAGTCTTTGATGAATATTAAATTTTGAATTTTAGTTGGAAAAATATTATTCTGACAATTTTTATATCTACAATGTAGCCAATTGAAATGCAAAATATCATCAGTCAGGAGGTAGAAATGAATCAGGAATCATGATGCTCTGACTAGAAACTAACATCAGCATGCAAACGTTAATTTGTAATTAGGTTCTCATGATCATGCGAGTGGCAGAGGCTTCGGCGCGCAAGCGACAGCCTTATGTCACTATAGAATGCATAGTTCGCTCCCTCGAGAGCACATGGGCCGATAAATTTTATAGTTTCATGTTACAACGACAACCTTGCCACAGCAACAACAAAAGCGACCGAGCCCATTATCTATGGCATGTGCTTCGTCGTCTTCGGGAAGGGTTTGCACGCGCGCTGTTCAATGTTTTTCGACTGGAATTTAATTCTGATTTACGCCGCTTTTATCATCGAACGCGCGTTTGGGTATTGTTGTATGACGATTTAATGGATGCCGGAGTTGCTTCACTATACCCCCATAAAGTTTTATAAGCAGATAAAATATGAAAGCTGTTTTAAGACCAAGATATTGCTCTTTATATATATATTTTTGTAACCATATTTATTGATTAGAGCGCGAAACCTCAAATTTACAATCGGATTATTGAAACAGTGAAATGAACTTTTGATAAAATATGAGCGTTTTTTGAAAGAACATTGTTATAAGTTTACAGTAGATTTATTCACCGATAGCAATTTTTCGGAATTTCATTTATAACAATACAGTGCGCAAAAGTAAACTTCATTCAGCCGCTCACTCGGCTCATCGTATAACAAACGTAAAGGAAGAAGTATCGTGTATCAAGTACACAAAAGCCAAACTAGCACATCGGCAAATTTTCTTATAACATTACAGCTGGGTAATGCAAAGTTGCGCCCATCAACGCGATAACATCATGCGCATAAAGCGCGGACGGCTAAGCTTTCACCTCGGGTAGCGCCTGAAGATGCGAGCGAGGCGTTTAATTGATAATTGTGTATTTCTTTCCTGCTCGTTGCGCGCGTGATCGGGCAGTGTGAATGCTCTTCCTTCCAATTTCGCCGCCGATCTACGTAATCTACTTGCCAGAAGGACGCGCGCGCGAAATTTTACCGCTTGCGCTCTTGCTTTTTACACACCGCTAACGGAGACTGGAGTGTACCGAGGTGTTTCAGAGTGATGTCATAATTTAATAAGACGTAAATTGGCAGAAGCACGTTCTTTCACGAGGACTCTTGTACCTTCGGTTGCGCCTCGGCGAATCGCACAAATTATTACTGAGCTCGTGTTTGTGAAAATAAACTTAGACAAGTTTTTTAACGATACCCGCGGGAATGATTACGCTGAACGAGCGAGATACACACCAGAGTTCTTTATAAATTGGATGAGTCAGTTTTTTTTATTGTTGTTGTAGCCTCTTCTCGTTTATTTTTTCACACGAAATGCAATGCCAAAGTATGCAACGATAACGCCTGCCAATATTCATTCTTAGCGGTTGATATAATTAAATAATGCGCATCAATAATCTCGAAAATAAATCATTCACTTGGCGCAATTAAATCGATTACATAAAATGAGATTCGACATGCGGCTACTACGCCCCTATATATATACACCTTTGACTTTACTTTTATATTAAGCTAATGATGATTGTCTGAAATTGAAATTGCGGAGAAAAAATTTTATCTTTAGCCATGAGAAAGTCAGTTTAGGCGACACTTTATTAGGTTACTCATAGAAGCAAATTGGAGGGTAAATGATATAGAGTGATTTGTAAATGTTCTACCTCGTTGCTGCGACTTTCAAGTCTACAATTGCTCTACTTATTTGTTCCACTGATTTTCAATGTTTCTACGATTTGCCGCTCGGTAGTTTTGTTTGTGCGTAACTTTCGTGTAAAGGAAAGTAAGTAAGCTATCTCAGTGTATTTTAGTCAAGTTGCATGAACCTAATAAAAATGCAGTAGAGAAACCAAACAGTCGAAAATTGAATGTCGACACGGTCGAGTGATCTGATACGAAAAATTTTTGAGTGCAAAGTTACCTGAGCCAAGTGAAGACGTCGGCACTCGGCGACGCATTCGTCGGGTGCCCTTTCCTGCAACTCCTCTGGCAAATATGCAATCCCGTGAGACTTTCTTGTGGTCGTCAGCAGCAGCACTAGCAATATAAGTGATTCTCTCATAATCACTTGGCGATGCGTATCACTTGTCACTGAATGCGCCCATTGAACTCGCGAGATCGTCTCGCTCACATCACTTGGATAATAATTTCAATTCAGCACTGTCGTGCACTTGCAAAAAAAAAAAAAAATACGCAAAAAACAAGAAAAAATTGGATCGAAAACGAAACAAGAAGAGTCGTCGAAGTATTGCCGGCAGCAGCGCAGTGGGATGTAACGTACACAAGGGGCCACGTGAAGCGTAACGCGCGCACTGCCTGTCTAGGAAAAAAGCCCAGACCGTGTGGGCCTCTACTACTCCCTCTCCGTACTACCGACAACGCGCGCTCTCTCTCTCTCTCTCTCTCTCTTTCTCTCTCTGTCTCGTGTTATTGCTCTTAATCGCGTTTGCTCTCACTACTCTCTCTCTCTCTCTCTCTCTCTCTTGCTCGCTTCCTTCTTTTAATCGGCGCTCTCGACAACCTCTCCTTTCGCTTTTTTCTCTTTTTCTCAATTTTTGCTCGTTAGCCTTCATTTGCTTTCGCCCGGACTCTTCTTTCATTGTCGTTTTCGACGACCAACGACTCTCTTTCTCTCTCTTTCTTTCAATTTGCATGCGACGATTTTAAACTTTTGTTTCATTTTCATTGCAGGCCGTCGTCCAGTCTGCAACGCGTTATTGTTTCGTGTTTTATCGAGTTAACTGGATGGTAAATTACAAAAAAACGTCAAATGTCTCGCGTGAAAAGCATGTTTTAACGCTTGTTGATCACTGATAGTTAAATCCAACAGTTGCTTCGTCGCAACAATCATTTATAACAAGAAATAAATACATCGCGAACGAAGCCAATGACATTCAACGCAGCTCGCAAAAAATTGCGACCAATTTGGCGACAATATTTCAGCGGCATTTTTATTTTTCGGCAGCTTGGCTTCGTACGAAAGCAGGAGGCGATTTAATGACAAAAAATTTTGATAGAGCGCGATTATTCAAAGGGAACCCGAGAAAGGAACGAAATGTTATAAAGCCCGGCGCGTTTCTCTCGCAATTACCCTTACGACCATAAAACTGTCTCCGCGAGTTCTCACGTGGAGTAATAAATGACGCCCCGAATCTGGACTTTTCGCTATGTCCCCCGCTGTCAGCATTTTTTTCTTTTTGTCTAACCGCCGACACTCCCCCCCCCCCCCCCCCCATACATACACCACGCAATACAACAATCTGGAGCTGCGGCATCTGTTTCAGCTCCAGCTCGACGTCCCTCGCACTCCCGCAGCAGCAGCTTGACAGGTGCCCCCATGTATTTCTGTTTCACTTCCTCGTTACGGCGGACGACCCAAGGCGCGTACACGATGCAAGCTGCGCACCGTCCCGCGTTCCAGCGTGTAACCGAACACATAACACGTGTGTATATGTATGTGTGTGCGTGTGTGTGTAAGCCAACGATTTCGGCCTCGTTGTCCGACCGCCCGGTTGCCTTGCAGTTGCGCTCGCTTTGATCTTGCTCCCTTTTATTTTATAAGAGTTCAATTCGATGATGCGCTCGCTCTCTTGCTTGAATCTCACTTGCGGTCACTAATGGCATTTCTCTCTCTCTCTCTCTCTCACTCTCTCCATATAATTTTCGAACGATAGTTTCCATTCAATTATTTATAGTATGCTATATATTAATTACACATCGTGCATTTTTCTATTGTCAAGTCACGTACTTTGAAAATGCATCGTAGAAATTTTTTATTGGCATTCATCGCATTGTAAAGATTCAAATTGATTTAAAATTCGTGAAAGAAAAAAGAATATTGGCGCAGCTAGTGTACTTTCCAATAAATCTTTAGTCCTGCAGCATAGTACAAACATATATAATATGACGTATTCCACTGTCCTCAATTCACAAACACACACAGACACGCTCCTCTCTGATAACAAATTGCATAAGCCAGCCCACATTATTCTCGCACGCGCCGTTGCGCAGATAAAATAATTGCGCGATTCGTAACACAAAACCTCATTGTTTTTTAACAAAAGCCCGCGCGGCGCAAATACAAAAATAAAAAGAAAAGGCAGGAGCAATTTTACCAATTTACCATTATATACATGTTTTAGCCGGTCAATTGGCAGTTTGACCTGATTTCTTATCATGTCAACCTTTTCGCTACTTCGCGCGTCTTGTCGTTCATCGTCCTCCATTCTCATAGTAATATAATGCCATAAGTTTGCTTGTTTTTTACTGCAATAGGTAATTCAGACTTTAACCGATTGCATGGTAAACCTGGAGTAAAAAGCATTTTAAATGATTCATTTTACAGTTGGTTTTACGAGTGACGAGAATTCCGAATTTCCAGACGAACGAAGTAGAAATTTGGTTTGGAAATTCATGAAAAGTTGGATGTTATTTTGAGTTGTGAATTGTAGATGACAATATAATTGCATAAATTGCACTAATAAACAAACGCATGTAATATTCTTAAAAAATTTATTTTTATTTTTCATATTCGTATTACTTTATTAAATTAGTTAACGTTTTTATTAATAATGTTATAATAGGAAACCTGTGTCACTGTAGAGTGAGTGTCGTTTAATCTATCAGCAGGCGCATTGAAGTTGAGCACACGCTGTCTATGACCAGCAATGAAACTATTAGCAAAGTTAATATTGTTATTCGTATCACAATTTAAATTAATAATACACCATTTTAAGATATTGGTAAACCACTGCAGTATTTTGATGATATTTTATTTTTAATATTTATATAGAAAAAGTGGATAAATTCTAAAGGTAAGAAAAAGCCAGTATTGTAAGGTTGAAAGAAGTACGTGCAGTGAGATTATAGATGCTTAGCCATACACTCTGTATGAGTTATGCTCTATGTAAGTTGTAATGTTATTGCTACCAGCGGTAACGTAAAGCAATTTTTCATCGTCTATTCCGCTTATGATAAATTAAGATATTTCTTACTTTAATATTTGCTTTGAGTTGTGTAGTAAATGTATTGTTCGAGATTGAGATTACGTATAGACGAAGCTTGCAAATGGACGAATACACTGATGAATAATACACTAGATACATATCTGAGCAAGGCGCAGTCAAGTATGTAATTGCACAACCTTATTCCCCGGTCATATTAAATAATTTATACCCTATCAGTTATTTTTCGTGAAAATGAAAACAATATATGCTAGGTATGGCGTTTTGAAATCTTTACATGGGAGTTCCGTATTGCAATACTCATTGCTTACAAACATTCACAGCCGCTAAATCCTTATTCCAAATATTTGTATCATTTTTTAAATCAAATTGTATTTCTTTTAATGATACATACCGTTTATTAATAATACGCTTGTACTGATTTATAATGGTTAGAAAAATGATCTATTATTATATTAACACATATGTATTTACTTAATTATATAATCTATTATTATTTTTTGTATTACGGACATATGAAAATTTTCAGAAACGTGAAATTTCTATATGTATGTTTCTGTAATTCTAGTAGTTCGGATTTTACCTTAACTTTTGGTTCAGTCATGATGTATGTAAAAACTTCTCCTCTCTCACCATTTCAGAAGTAGTAGGGAAGGTAAGTCTATATGCTAATAACTATAGTGCACCAAGCTAATACGTACAGGTACTCAGTCTCTGCAGCGTTTTACATGAACGTAGTCTTGTAGTAATCATAATCATAAAAATAACATACACATAGATTGTTTATAAATAAGCTTTTTGTATATAAAATATTTTAGAATCCTTTGTACATTTTATCGAAGTTCCTTGACACTATATATACTTGAATCTTTTAAATAAGTGATTTGACAAACGTTTATTACATTATGAACAACGTTTGGATTATACAATTAACTATACTGCTAAGACTGGCTGAAGTAAAATATTATTTCATTTGTGAAAATAAAATTTAAAGATAATTTCAAATTAGTTTTCTATGTATGTGCGTGACAGATTGTATGATTGCGATTTGCTTGAACTATCGACATCACGTTTATACAAATACGTGGGAAAAATTAAAATTTATTTTTATTGAATATCTAAGTTTCCACGCCTGGCATCAACAAAGAAAACTATCATGTGTAGTAGGGATAAGTTAAAATTAGATTTAAAAAATATAATTGATGGTTTGTAAATCGACGCTCAATTGATCTATTGAAACTTTTAAATTGTTCAAATCGTAAATCGTTTTGAAGAAAATTGGTTTAATTGATGCTTCTATCGAAAGTAACCATATCGTAAAATTAAATTATGTTCAAGCTAGTTTTTCAAAAAAATGATAAAACAGTAGTTAGACTTAAGCTCGGCAATTCAATAAAACAAAGGATGTAAGCTTAGCTCAAAAAGAGATGGAGGCTTGAATCACTATTGGGTTTCTTATCGTTTCCATGCTACCAGGATGAAATGAAGACAATTTTCCAGGTAAGGTACGGATAATTAGCTAAGATGATAATTTTTCTGTCTTCTTATTCATTATTATTTTTTTAAAGGCTTCAAAATTCCATGTATGATCACTTTCTTGATTAGATTACGTGCTTATTACAATTATTTTCTTTTTGCAGTAATAAACTTTGTATTTAAAGAGGTAAGTGTGTTGATGTTTAGGTCGTTCGTTGGAATTCGGTCAAATTATTTAATTAGTTACTGTTAGATGTACTTTGATAATTTTTAAAGAAATTTAGTTTGCATTCAATGCTATACATTAGATATTTTTTAATTTTTGTTTCACTGATAATGTTACTGTCATCGCTTGAATAATTTACAATTAAACTGAAGAGGAAAAATATTCTAAAAGTACAATCAATTTTACGTGTAAGAATTTGTCACAACTGTTATATGTAACTTTAATTATTTTTACTTTGTCTCGAGAAAAAAAACATTCTCAAGTTGTCGCAAGTATTGAAATATATAGGCATTTCAGAACGGACTGGTCAGTCATTTCCAAGAGAAACTAATGATCGATGCGAGTTAACGCGAATGATTTATTAAATTATTGAAAAGCCTATAGCCACTATTTACTGGTATGTGATATATACAAAGAAAGTTTCTTTAATACTGTATTTAATCACAGTCACTTTACTTATAATAAACATAGACAACAAAAGATAATCAACTGATAATTTTGTCAATAACTATTAGATCATTAATAAATCAATTTCTCTAATATAAGACGTTATTATTTCATTCAATTTTCTATAATATTTGAAAATGGAATTCCAATTTACCATTTTACTACAAAATGTAACTATTATTCTGACCATGTTACCTTTGGTTTGGAGGTTTTAAATTATATTAATATTTTATTTATTCAATATTTTAGCTAATATACATATATAGAAAATAGGTAAATCAATATATACGTTACTGTAAATATATATCTTTATTTCGCCTTTTTTTAATACGTTAACATTTGAATCTTTTAAAATTTTATCAAACTTTATGTTCATATTTATTGTTTTCTGAACTTTCTTCCTCCTCCCACACATTTAAAAAAGGATAGAACCTCAAGAAAATATAGGCTATAAAATTTAGAGGCTGTTTATAAATTTTAAAATTTACTCGCAACATGCAAGTATATACACGTAAATATATGATAATTTGAATTATAACTATAAAGTGCCGTTAACTTCGCTCGTATTTCTGTTGTTATAAATAATAAAATATTTAGTGTTTTCTTGTCAAATTTAAAGTTGGCGCTTCGTAGTTGCGATGGAAATTATCATATATTTATGTGTACATATATATGCGTGCTGCTAAAAAATTTAAAGATTTGAAAACCGCCTCTATAGATTCTACGACCTAATCGTATTATTTTACCTTTTTAAAAGGAGTGTGGGGGAGGTTCTATGTATTAAGCTCGTTTCAGACTATTACGTTAGTTCTAAGGATGTAGGTGATCGATTTCCCTGAAGTTACCTACGTAGTATTGAATTTCAGTGTAATAATTTAGGCCATTATTAGAAAAGTAGGTCAACAAATATAAAAAATAAAATAATTTTTATGAAAATTAAAAAGAAATTTATATCTCCGATACCATTGCAGCTATTGAATTATAACTTTTTTTAAATAATTTTTAAACTACGTACTATCAGAGAATTAATAGAAAAACATCTTTTCGACAATATTAAAAAAGTTATAAGCATTTGTAATAAACAAATAGTTATATTTGAAAAAGTACATTTTTTATTAAAAAAATTATTTTTTCCGTTGAATTCCTTGGACATTTTTTCTATAAAAATGAACATTAAAATTAATAGCCATCATATAAGAATCAGTAAGAAACTATAGCAACCGCTCCTTTACGGCATCGGCCTATGACGAAGTTCTCGTTGCCGGCTTGCTGTTTGTTGCGATCTGCCTTGATCATTTTTTTTTCAAGAATTGGTCTATATTTGCTGATTGGAATTAATGGTAAGTGCACATTCGATACTGATCATTAAGCCAGACTAGTCAAGTAGTAAAGGTCGGCTAGCCCGTGACATGACTATCGACTTAGGCCGGCGCCGTAGGGGAGCGCTCGCTATCACCCTTTATGACTTATATAATGCCTGCTCTATCAATTTTATTATTGATTTTTATGGAAAAAGGCCCGAAGCAACCAAGGGAAAACAAAGTTTTTAATTAAAAATACACTTTTTAAGATATAGCTATTGATTTATCACAGAAGTTAATAATTTTCTTAATATTGTTGAAATGATATTTTTGTATTGATATATTGATTGTTCACCATTTGACGAGTATTTGAAAGAAATTGATACCAATATTTAAATCAATTACATACTTACATGCTATACTATTTCTGCTGGTACTGATCTCAAACAAAGTGATGGCATAGAGTCTATCCTGTACAAAATATAATCTTATAACGAGATGACTATGTACATGGAATATGCGAGCTTTACATTTAAGATCAAATGACTCGATAAAAATTATTGTATAGATTCTTGAAGCAATCCCTTAAAAGATGAATAACAAAACCATATTAACAACAAAATAATATTGTAGAAAAAGCCTTACTTTTTTATCATACCTCACATGATCAAGGGCTTTTTTATTTTACAAGCTTCCACAATAATTGAGGGGAGGGGGTTGTTCTTTATTTTTTTATATTTTACCAAAGTCTGAATAACGATACTTAATAGCATTTTAATGATTTTATTGGAGTATTTGGATGACTGGATATGTAAAAAAGTATTTACAATCAACTTGTTTCTGAAAAGATGATTTATTATTACACTTTATCTTGCTACAGTTTTACTCAAACAATTGAATAATTTTTCAATTTAAAAATTTTATTTTTACATATGTTCTTTTTAAATTATAACTCAATAATTTTACTACGATGAAATGTCAAAATGTATGTTGATAAAATGTTCATTTCTTTATTTCTGAATATCTATAAATTCAGATTATTGTTGAAAATGCAAAATTCATAACATTTTTTCGCTGGTCATTTTATCACAATGGAGTCTAGTCTATTCGGTTTACATGAAACTTAAGATAAAAATCATTCATTTTTGTCCATATACATTGAAATAACAACACACACACATACACACATATGTATATATATATATGTATGTATGTAATAAATAAATTCAATAGAATTGAATGACAATATATTACAATACTAGTGTGGAAAAGTAGATTATAGTCCAATGAGTGTTTTCACTCGAACGAAGCGATCATGGGTGATACATGTTCATCACCAGACAGAAGCATCTTTGTTGAACACATATTGTAATATATAGTTTGACAATGTTTTATGCAAATACTGTTCGTCTAAAATTACTACCGCAAGTGATTTATTTGCATATATATTATTCAAAACAAACCGTCATAAGACAAGATACAACCATTTCAATACAAAATACATGTATCCGTTTTTACATGAAAAAATGCGTTTTATATGTATTTATTATACTTATCTATTTACTGTAGTGTATAATTAGAATATATGTATATATATATATATATATTTAGAAATAATATGTTTTACATTACTATATCATATATTATTTATTAGTGCTTTTGTTCCACTTATTAAACTTTTACAGCGATGTAGTACACATATAAATATCAAGATTTATGTTAAAGCCATATACAGTCATTTGAATATTGAATTTCGCAAACATATATTTATCGATAAAATATAATAATTTTACAAGAAGACCATCAGATTTACGAGAGACAAATTTTGGTGAAAATTCAATTTGGAAAAATTCTCCTTACCAATAGAAAAACAACCGTGTTTTTGGATTTTATTTCATAGGCTTTTTTTGGACTTAAGAGTCTTTATAAATAATATTTTTATATATTGTAAAATTTAGCTTATGTCTAACGTTAACTAATAATTCAAAATTGATTTATTGCAATGTGAAAGTCATTAAATGAAAGCTATAATCAATACGGGTAGTTGAATTTTTTTAGATTAAACTGTTAGGAAGTTACGCTAATACAAAATTTGCTTAAATAATAAGTTAATTTTCTCGTGAAGGAAATTTATCGGAAATTTTATTTATAAATTTTTTAATGACTTGACTTTGGAATAGTAAAACTTTTTTCGACAATTCGTTTTAACTAATTTCATTTCTACTTGTGATCTTTGAACTGTAAAGGCTATAAAACTGTAGACCAATTTCTAAAAGGGTTATTTAGACATAATAATGGACTTACTGTTTCAAGATACTATATATAAGGCTAATTTGATCTCAAAAATGGATCTGTGAGACGGGTATTTTTATTTTTACAAGGATTATTTTTCAGCATTTGATTGAAATTTACCTCCTGTAGCTTTGTTGGTATCCTTGTTAGTATTTAGTCAATCATGAAATAGATAAAACATAATAAATATTAATGAAAGCAGTTTTTGTGAAAATACTTTTAAATAGTTTATTAACAGAATTATATCAATGATATTGAATAGGAACGTAGAGTTATACTAGAAGATAAAAACAATAATTTTTATAGGGTGTCGTAAAACTGGAGAATAATAGTCTAATGAATGGAGACTGCTTTTTACATTTTATTTCTTTCGTAACTGTAGCCCGTCATACGAACTTGTGTTTTTTGCTTCTCTTAAAATACCTACAGTTTTTGAATTATTACGCTGAGTTCTTGCTGAAAATAATATAGAAATGGTTTGTTGTTTGTACACGAATGACAATTTACTTGGTCGATGAAATTAATTTATTTAGTTTTAAAAAAACCAGAAATGTTATAATTTAATTTCATGATATGTTAAGTCCGATTATTTTTTGAAAAGTTCTACCATCTCTGATATGAAATATTATAAACGGTCTTATCATTAATGATGTTACAGTTGACATTTTTATATACTGTTCTTTTTGCTAAATAATAATAATATTGAAAGAAAATCGCCATGCACTACAATAAATGAAGATAGAAAAATTCAATTAAAGTAGTTTGGAAAGCGAACCTGCGCTGCTTTATAAAAATCTAAACTGTTCCTAACTGCTTTGATTATAACTGCATATTTTTAACATATTAGTGAGAAACTATGTTTATTTACTTTATTGAGAAAAATACATTCAAATGAGATTTTATGCCTATTGCATCCATGTATCTCATTTCACTATTTATGTAGGGAAATTTCCTCAATTTTATGATTTCTTTAAATAAATGTAGATCGACAGAAATAATTTGCATTAAATGTATCAAAAACATTGAGTGCAATGAGCTTGTTTTGATTATATGATGCGTTCTTTTTGTATTCAGTGTAAAAATAATATCTAACTTTTCTATATTAAAACATTTAAAAACTTTCATAGTAAAATACCTTTCATGAAATAAAAAATGGTGTTATGATTGAAACTGAAGAACAGTTAAAAACTGATGGCGTGGTATATGAATTTATTGAGGTATGCTGATATCGTCACGTTATGATAATGAAGTTATTCAGCAGCAAAAGAATTGTACTGTTGAACCACATACGAGATAGTTTCAATGACGTAATTTTTTATGTATTTATTCAAATTTTGAAAACTTTTGACAAATATGTACTATACAAATCTTTTCATACTAATAGACATAGTTTAAATGTGAGAAATTTGTATACATAAATTAGGCATTGAAATCTATACTCATGGTAATGGTGTTCTACCTATTCTAAATTATCATCTTTCCTTCTATAAAGTTGATTTCTGTCTGCGACGATATGATATTCAGTTATGTAAAAACCTACCATCTCGCTAAAATGTCAAAAGAACTATCGACGCTTTTATCTGATTTTTTTCATAAATTACCAATTGAATTTATTCGCTTTTGTCGATTTCCTTCACTGACATTCAATTTTCTTTATATATATGGCAATTGAATAAATCGGGCAAATATGTATGTATGTATTTGGGAAGACGCACCTCGTATCAGTGTACCTATATGTATGTACCCGGAATATAATCAAATGTAGCGGATAAACTTATCAATAGTCGTCCGCGTCTTCGAGGGCGTCAGCGTCGACAATGTTGATGACTTGTTAGAAGCTACCTTCGATGCCTCGATCACGGTCAAGCTCGAACAGATCAAGATCACCGCCTCCGGCATTTTGAGGCCTCAGCCCAACGCAATCGCGAGGCGAGCATTCAATACGACCCTCGGAGCCGCAGCTGCACTCCACGCAATTGCCTGTCGAATGCGGCAACACCTCGCCTTGCTGATATGTCCTTCCTGCAAATGGAACATACCGTGTACCGATGCTGCAATTTTATAAGATGATGTCTGGCACAAGACTATTTATAAGCATTCATCATTGAAAATTTTCAATGGCTTGTTTAAATTACTTTACATAATTTACAGTTAGTTATAAACAATATAAAATAAAGAAATTTCGGTAATGACATCAATTGCGAATCGGTTACGTATATTTCTGTAAAATATATTTTTCATACATCTTTTTATGTTTAGCCGTAACAAGCTACAAGAATACAATTACATTTCCTAATTCGACCTAAGTCGAATTCGGCGACTTTTTTTAACTAAATTCAAATCATCCATGGTATGAGGCTGCTAATATAATGAAATATTATTTTGTGAAAATGAAGCTTGAAGGCTGTCCAAACAGATTCAACTTATATTTGTTCAGCTGACGGAATATGTGATTGATTTGTACATGAGAACTACAGACATTGCACAGACTTGACAAACACAAAACAAAAATTTTTTTAATGAAATCCGTTAAAATTTGTTATTAGTCAAATAGAGAAGATTTTCTACGCCAACACAGAAAGATATCAGTGGTAATAAGGACGGCTCAGTTATGAAAAACAAAATTGGTACTCAAGATATTGTATAAATGTACAATTTAATTAAAAGTAGGTTTACATGCATTTACAATGAATGCAAGTATTGATACTATACATTTTGATAGACTAGGAAACGTATCTAAGCAAAATAAATATTTTAAGCTTACTATTATTATTTAGAATCTATTTGAATTGAAAAACTTTGCAAATTGGTTAAATGATTCTATTGAGATTAACCAAGAAATAACCTTCAAAAAAAGTTGTCTGAAAAACTGATAAATTGGTGGTTAGACTTGGCTTTGCAATTTAATCAGGCAAAGGACCAAGGTTTAACGCAAAAAGAGACTCGAATCCCTCAAGACTCGAATCCCTCCCTTGTACCTTGATGGAACGAAAGCAATTCTCAATCCGGCGGGCAGGAAATTTTCCAAGATGACCATTTTTCTGTCTTTATACGTGTATATACTCTTGAAGGGCTTCCAAATTTTGTATATTATTAATTACCGTATTAGCTTACGCGCTAACTACAGTATTTCTTTATTGCAGCTGTTACACTCGAAATAAGATTTCTACTTAAGAGAGATGAACTTGTTCGATATTGGGCAAATCGAGAAATCAAACTTGGAGAACAGATTTGATCAGTCAAAAAGCGTATAAAAATTTTGAATGTAGTTTAATTGTTTATTTTTGCTGTACATGAGATCTATTCAGATTTTTATTTGCTGATGATATTGTTTAAATCACTTTTCAAGCAATTGGGATATTATGATAAGTATTAAAATCATTCAGACAAATCATAATTTATTAATATTTTTAAATAAATTAATTTAATTAATCTATTTAGAAAGTATTGAAAATTAATTAACAATAGATATTCTAAATAAATTCTAAAAAATTAATTACGTTATGTTACAATTTAAAAACTATTGTGAAAAGTCGCCGAGTTGGTAAAATATGTAAAATTGCTCATCGGCATATGTTGAATTATTTTATGAAATCATAAATCATATATCAATAACTAATATTTTATGATAGAACATTATAAATTCAAAACGAAAGGGTTATAAAACTACATTTACAGAAAGAAATAAAACTATGTGCAATGATTGTAATATTACTACTAGCAGCTACTATTACGTATTGTTTCGAAATTTTTTTCCATTTTAAAAATAAAAATATAGTTTTACCCATGACGAGACATGTTGGACGTGCCGTTGTCGTCGAAAGAGCGGCCGTTGTTGTCAAATTTGCAGCTAAACGATTTTCATTATTCTCTTTTACGTTGCCAGCTTGGTTTCCATCTTCATTGCCGTTATGCTGCAAATAAAATAAAATAAATAATTTTTCAAATATTTTTATTGAATTTAGCCAAGTATTATTTTTTTCTAATCACGGTTTATTATATTACATAATTTTTCAACGTAAATTTTGAGAATAACAAATTTATGTTCATTTGGATAATTATTTATTTCATTGTTTTTTTTTTTTCATTCTTACAATATAATCTTTAAATATCTGCTCTATTTATTTAAAAATAGGTAGATTTCTTGCGTTTTACTATTACTATTCTTTTGTTTACTTCATTCAACATTTTTTTCCGTCTATACTATTAGCTGTTTTGATAAGAAACTAGAAGATCAATTGTATCACGGTGTAAGTTTCATGAAATTGGATATTAATTTATCATAATGTATTAATTTATCATGGTAATCATCTCCATTGTTTTTTCCATGATTCAATTCTTGGCTTTATTTATCGTTTGAATTGGAACTTCTGGGTAGGATAGATCATTTTGTGGATAGAACAAAATTTTTTTAAGATGGTTATGATTTCTATCAGGGGGGATGTGATATCCTTCAGGATAAGATTATGACTCCTGTGTCGATGTATATGACTCCCATCATTATCTCACTAATTATTTTCGTTGCTTTGCTTATGTTATCATGCTGTTAATTATGATTACTAAATGAATAATTATTTAATAATTATAATGTAGGAGAGAAAAATGGAGGAATACTCTTAATACTTCTTTTTTTCTCTCATTCACATACATACGCACATGCACACCAGGACAAATATCATATATATGACATTTTCTTCTTTCTATTACTTTTCATAAAAGTTTGTAAAAAATTTTATATATATATATATGCAGAAGATTTAGATGTAATGAAAACATAAAGATTCATATGAATAATTTTAATAACACGAAATTAAATAACTCTTATCATTAAAAAATTAAAAAAAAACATTTCAAAATTAATTCAAAGAAAACCTTCTTTATAAGAAAGCAAAAGATATCTGAGCAAGATATATGATATCCCTACGTATTTAATTAAACCTTATGAATACGAATTCGTCGTGCTCATCGTTATGCAGTCTTTTTTTGCATATAAAATTACACTTGCAAATCTGAACTATAATTTTACTACTTTTAAAATTATATTGAAGAACGTATAATCATCTTTCGATGATAATAATCTGTAGCTATATTTTTTAGAACCTATGTATTAAACGCAATTTATTATTTAGTAATAAAACATGTTGAAATGAGATTGTTTAGCAATAAAACGTGTCCGAGTGAGCTAAGCGAAGATTTTCCGGCTATTTATTAAAACGGTAATTAAGTTCTTGAAGAATGAATTGATTGGAATTACTAGTATATTTTCAGCCAACTGTATTATAATAAAAAATTTTTTATGTCCATCGCGCATATTAATTATCATTGAATATATGCACATTTGTGTATAACCTACGTTGAATGAATATTAGTCTTTGTAAAAAACGGGCAATAACTGGCATAAAAAATTGTTCTGAAAATTAATTTATTCCTTGCGGTAGGTTCAAAAACTCTATTAACTACTTTACTAAAAGCACGTGAGAATATTTCATAACAAAATGACTTCAACTTACATTTAGGCTGTGTCCGGAAGCTTCTGGTGTAGCCTCAGGCCGGGCAGCTGAGTAATCGTCCTCCTCTGTTGTCCAAGAGTCTTCGTCGTCATCTTCATCTTCCTCTTCCTCGTCCTCCTCTTCATCCTCTTCGTCGGTTGGTAGCTTGTCGCTCAGCTTGGGGCCCCCGAAGGTCTGCCACCAACAGTACACTTCGCCCGCCACGCACAGACAATGCGAGCTCTCATCACGTGATGGGATCTGCCAGAGAAGCAAAATCCTCGATTACATTTCCTATCGATTCTCAGCCTTATTTAGATACTGCGGAATAAGCAGTTGTATTATTATTCCAACATTAGAATGTGAAATATTTAATAAGGCTAAAACTTAAATGAAGATAATCTACTTATTAGTATAGATTTGCCAATATTATAAATAATTAACAAAAAGATTCATAAAAATTTATTATTTATGATTGAATTATAACAATAATACTAATAAAGCCACTGACGATCGCAGCGAATATATACTAGTTGAAAAACGTCAAGTTTAAATAAGATCCAGCAATGCCATTAATTTAAATTGCAAGCTATGTTTTTATGAATTACTTTTGCAGCTAATTTAATGTCTTATAAGATCAGAATGTCGTATAATAATGGTTTATATTGCACTAAAGTTTAAATTGAACAGATGTTATTAGGTTAATTGATAACAATTGAAATCCCTAGTAATAACATTTTTGATGAATGATTCAATACATCTATATCATTAAAACCCATTAACGTCCATCTGGACACATTTTGTACACCTCTCTTCCAGCGTTCACAGCTATTACATTTCGAGGCGAAAAAATTGCAATACTGTATACTTATAGTTTAAAGTGTGCTCTTTCTGATGGTTCCATTTAAATTATCGAAAAACTTCATTTTTGTGCTGAAAAATGTTTAAAACCAAAACATTATTATTATCGAAAATAATTTTTTTTAAATCGAATTCTCAGAGTTACCGGCTTGGAATCAATTTTAAATCAGTCTAGATCGTGAAGGCCATGTTTGAATCTAAAGGATATGAGATATCGAAGTCAGTTTGACCAATGAGACATTTCAAAATGAAAAAATTCTTAATGATCACTTTAATTGCCCGATTATAAAATTTTAGAAATTTTTTTTCATGGAAGCAAAGCACTTTACGAAAAATTACTAGGTACAAAAGTGTTTTAAATAGATCAAGGAATATACATACATTTTTTCCGTAATTTGCTAAATCAAAAAAGTTGATCGTAACTTCTCGAAAAAATTCAGGTATATTCTTTGGTCAATTCTAAGCAATTTTTTTTAAGAAATTTTTTGGTAAAGAGCTTTGTTTTCGAGAAAAAATTCATGAATATTTCGACAAAAATTTTGCACTTAAGGTGCCATTTTAAAATGTATAATTGGTCAAACTGACTTCGACACCCTATATCCTTTAGATTTAAGTCCCGTCCAGGATCTAGACTGGTTCAAAATTGATTCCAAGCCGGTATTCAAGTTTTCGTTGAAAACTCGATTTGAAAAAAAATTATCTTTAATTATAGTGATGTTTTGGTTTTAAACAATATGTTCCGGACAAGTAACTGTTTCGGGAATAGACACTCATTAGTGCCCGTTATAGTTCGAAGACGTTGGGTTTTCCCAGCACATGCCGAAAATGTATGCAAACGCGTTTACGGGAAGATTTGGCGCAGTCGATGGAGCGCGCGCGGGTTGTAAAGATAAACGAACTAATGAGGGTGCGGCAGAGAGCATATGTGCCGCACGTTTCTGATCGACGACGATGTCGCGGCGAGATAGCGCAGCTACATTTTAAAATTTGTATTTACGGTCGCGTTTTGGAAAATCCGAGAAAACAGATATCTTTCTGTCCGTGCGCCGCCGCAAGGTACTAAACGGTCAGCGAGCGCCAGGGTCGAGCGCTTTTACAGGGCGGCGGGTGAGGCTCGAACCGTCGAGGTTCACGCGCCGCACCCAAATAGGTGCTGCGGATGTAAACCCTGATACGTCCTGCGCGAATACTGTATGTTCACTAAAAATGTGTTGTATCGACAGCGAAATTATAAACAGCGAGAAGCGAAACCACTTCATCGCGCGAGCTCCCGAGTTTCCTTTCGTTTGCCTTGGGCCTTTGCAGCTCCACAAAACAACGCCGGCCGCTAGGAAGTTCCCCACGCCTTCATCCACTTTCGTATGCCCACGTCATGCAGTGGCTAATGCCCTGCCTCGTTGTCGAAGACGCAACGCCACCACCACCGCTCTCGACGCATGCCACCACGCGCCGTGAGCGCTTATCAATAAGCGAGCTCGCGGCCGTGTTTGGGTATTGGGCCGACAACACATCGGTTTTCGCGTCCGATACCCGCAAAGATCAGGAGCCCGTCGCTCCCACCACTCGAATCTGCGGAACGGGAGGCCAAATCGGGCCTCACCGAGGCCGACCGGCAGCGTCACACGAGGAGCGGGGTGGTAGGCCGCGCGCACAATTGGCCAAATGGCCGAAGGAAATTACGCCCTCACCTATATTCGGGCCATATAGAAGGGGCCAGGACGAGCGAGGCTCGCAGCGGAAAATCCGGCGGAAAGCAGGACACGCCCCGGTCAGGGAGACGGAGTGGAAGAAGAAAACGAGCGAAAAACCTCTCAGCGGCTGAAAAGTAGTACTAGCTCGAACGATCGGGTGGTTTCGTTACATAGCGTAGCCGTTCTTCACACTCGCAAGTGTAGATTAATAATTTCTTTGCGACTTAACCTGTAATTATATTTGCGTTCGTTTCAACTTGCATTAGCGTTAAGTTTTTCTTTGTACTTCGGGACTTAACCGAGTTTTTTATAGTTGATTTGTTCAACCAGTTAACAATACTATTTATACATTAAAGTACATCTTCAATCTATCAATCGACTATCATTTCACTTTTCCTTAACCCGAACATAATATTTTTCATCACAAAAATGAAGTTTTTTTGTTTTTTTTTAAATATAAAGCATTTATTAATCATGTTATATATTTACATATATATACAATTTTACGCTATAAAGGCCGATATAAAAGTGTGATGAATACATAAGTATAACGAATTGTGAAAATTGTGCGAGAATGCTAAATTTTTAGCTAACAATTTAAAAAAAACTTAGATATGATTTTACATTTCGTTGTAGAAGGTTTATAAAGTACATTAATGCTAGTAAAGAGAGGTGTAATGTTTAATCTACTTAGATCCCTAATGAAAATGGCCCTTTATTTTTTGTCGAGTGGACATTGCCATAAAATATGATTCAAGTCTTGGTCGCTCGTACCCCAAGGGCTGTCAGCGCTATCTACGATACCAATCTTTGCCAGGAAACTAGCTAGACTGTAATGTCTCGGCATCTATTAAATGTAAAAATGGTTTCTCTAGGTAGTTCCATGTTGTGGTTTACGCTCATTCTTGAGACAATTTTGTACATAATCGATTCCTTTTTCCATGCCCGTTGAATGAATGTATTCTTGAGTTGAGTGGAAAGCTTCATCGTATCTTGCGGACTCCTTCAGCTCGGAGAAAGGCAAGGCTATAGAGACCGGTGATATATAAAGGCAACAGATCTAAGAGAGGCTTCTTTACTAACTTGTCAGCTTGTTCGTTCCCTGAAATTCCGACGTGAGAAGGGATCCAGAAAAATTCAATTCCGAGCTGATGATTGATGTCTTTTTCAAAAAGATATATTTTCTTTAATTTTTAAGATATAGGGGCTAATGACTTGCCCAATTTGAGAGGATACTAGGGCCTAAAGAGCGTTTAGGGAGTCAGTGAGAATGAGTATGTTACTGTTCATAGAACAAGTAGCCAAATCAATTGCATCGAGTAAAGCTACGCTTTCGTTGGTGAAAAAAGAACTCCCAATAATGCAGCGAGTTATCATTGTATTACTATTGGGACAGTAGCACGTAATTCCTATCGCAGGTGAAAAATCTTCCACTACTGTCTTGCTCCCATCGGTGTACCATATTGAGCCATCTTTGTCAAGTAAAAATTGGTCTGGCACAGCTCCTGGATTGGTGCAATTGCACAGTTCTTTGTCGAACTGAATGTTAATATGTATATGGTGTATTGCGGCATTGTAGGGAATTGTATACAAGCTAAACCTCTTGGTTTTGAGAGTGTTTTGTTCGTTAGGATCCTTCGATCTTGAGTATTTAAATAGATATTTCACGTTGTTTATATTTCTACTTAGAAGTAACTTTTCTAGAAACTTATATAATATGTCATAAACGAAAAAATTAGAATTTGAAAAGACTTTATTTAGGTATCTTGTTGCAAGGAAGTTTGCTCTGTCAGAGATTGTAATTAATTTGGATTCTGCGAGTAATAGATTCTTGGGAGTACTGATTCTAAGACCTAATGCAAGTCTTATCGCTGTATATTGGATGGATTCAAGCGTATCAAAGAAGTTTTTGTGAGTAGAAAGATATATAAAGATGCTGTAATCCATGATGGATCTTATGTAACTTTTGTAGAGAATGAGGAGAGTGGAGGGATTGGAGCCCTGCCAAGTTCCTCTAATGAATTTTGTGATGTTGATAACTTTATTACATTTGCTTTTGCCTTCCATTACTTGCTGGTTGAAATTAAGTTTATAATCGAAGATTAACCCAAGGAATTGGACCATATTACTATTGCGTATGACAGTGTTTCGAATTCTTATGGATATTTCGCCTTGTTTGACTCTACGTTAGTTGAAATAGACGAACGTTGTTTTATGAGGACTAAGCTCAAGACCAAGATTTTTCAAATTGGAGTCGAGGACGTTTATGGCCGTGGAAAAAGCCTTTTTGCAAAAGTCAAGCGTTCCCCATTTGCAAAATACAACGATATCATCTGCAAATTGCGAAATTACGGCCCTTTGGGTAAGTTAAGGCAGATATTAGCAACATGAATATTATACAGTGGGGGCTCAGGACTCCACCTTTAGGAAGACTGAAATCGTCCCCCAAAAAATCGCAATACACGAGACGTTCAAATAATTAAAATAAATTTAAAAAGATACACAATTTGACGTATAGCATAAATTGGAGAAAACACCTACTTTGGCTAGAATTTGAAGCAGGATTTGAGAGTTGATACTTTAAAAGGTTCAGTTAACATCTAACAAAGTAGCTAGAAGTCCTTTACCGGTGCTGAAGGCATCTTCTATATTTGTAGTTAAACCTACTAGACAATCGATTGTACAGTGGCCTTTTCAGAAACGTATTTG